CTCACGCGCATGTACAGCCTCCCTCCTTACAAAATGAACGGGTGTGCCCCATCAGGGAGGATTCAGCCGCCACGCGCTCAAGCCCATGCTTGACTGGGGCATGACCCTTTCGTCGTGCAAAACCATCACCGCCAGCTCATCCTGTGCGGAATGCACGATAGAATGTAAAGGACTACTACTGCGTAGTCGTTCCGAAGGGAGTTCATGTGGATGTTCGCGCCGCCGTACACTGGCTCATCCCTGGCAAGCTGTCCGAGTTTCACATGGATGCGCCACGCAACGGCACTCGACACTGGTCAGCAGGACAGACATGGAATTGTTCGGCCGTACAGTCGGAACAAGGTTGTATCGACGTCGCCGGGACTGGCGCATCCCCCGTGGTCGGCTTGTGTCGGCACCATCCATCGTTGGCAGTCGTTCACATCGCAAACTAAACCACCCCAGTATGAGTGGGTTGAATCGAGCGATGAGGACTTTAGAATGCTAGCGCCATCTTTTCGTACGAACTTGAAAGCATTCCTCCACTCAAGGTGAAGCCACGAGCCTCCCTCGTGGCGTCAGTGCAGTCTGACGGTGGCCCACACGAGAGGGGACCTTTAGCGAGGACAATTCGAACGTAGGTTTGGTGGGGCGATGTCCAGTCTGCAGCAGCAACGAGCTGGTGCTGCATATCCTCTGTTGTCTGTCGCAGCGCGCGCTCCCTCGCGCCTGGAGATTACAGGTTCAGTCTCCGTGTCAACCATGTCCTGCCAGTCCACGCGCGCCTTGGCATCATTCAGAGCACCAGCGCAACGCGAAAATAACTCGGCGATTGTGTAAAGCTGAGCTGGCGCTTCATCAGCAGCGTTTCCAACGATGGAAATAGCGCATGAACCGGCCCAAGTGGGGGAAGGTATCCAGTTGAGCTGACCGATCATGGAACTCCCCCACAGACGTCTTGCGTATACAGAGCCATTTGCCCCGTCGCAATCGGCGCTGTGAATGACACCCCCCGTCCCTCATTTTGCAATTCCCCCGAGAACTGTCGAAGTTAGTCGCCCACGCTGCCACCGCCACCACCACCTCCGCATCTGCAATTACCCAAACGCGTCATAGTTGGAAGAGGCGGCGTCGTTCCCACGAGTAAAGCTCCTCTGGGACGACAACGCGCCAGTCGCCCCGACGCGCCATGTCCTGGCTACGCTGGTTCGGTTCCCTTCGTTGGGTATCCTTTCCTCTCCCTGTTGAAGGGACGTCTGCCCCTCTGTCCCAGCGAATGTGGAGTGCTGAAGGACTACCATGTTATCACGCCCTCGCCTGTTAGCAAGGGGGAAAGACCCCAACATCCTCTTGCAGCACTTGGGGCAGTCCTGTGACCGTCACTAAGACGGAGAAAGTCTAGAACGCACAAGTTCATACGGAAGTTCAGGGGGATGAACTGCAGGACCGGGTGCTCGCGGCTTGGCCAAGAGAAGCGTTCGGAAGCAAGTGACTTCGATCGAGCAGCTGTCAAAGTATTTTGGGCGGTGCTGACATGCACGCGTCTTTCTAGTTCAGGTTGGAAGGTCTAACGGAAGCGAGATGTTCCAAGGTTAAAAGCCTAGCCATCAGGTTGTGTCGTCAACAAAGATTCACAGAATAGCCATGATCGTCACCCTGGTTCACCCCTAGCCTTCCTAGTTGTACGCCCGTATGTCGAAAGCTCGAGTTGGTATCCAGGCATTATTGCTGATGCATCCAGTGACCATGCCCCATCTATCCCCCTCGCTTCGCTCTCGAACTCACGGCGTTTTCTGGGGGACGAAGGGGTCGTCTTGGCTAATATGGTGAGGGGTACCATTAGAGATTTGACTACCTGGAGCTGCTTCAATTTCAAATGCCTTCCACCCATGCGAATGGTCGGGCTGAGCCGACGACAGCTTGCACACCCAGTTGTTCATGGGATCTTGCTCAAAATTTGTTGGCCTTGACTGCGCCGCCATCAGACATCCGACCGTTGAAGCAACCATTTGCCCGTTGGGTTCACCTCGCTTCAACAACACCATCGATTCGTTGGGAACATTCTCAACGGCGACATCCCCCCTCCTTTCCCCCCTTGAGCTTGCCGCACTTTGCAAAACATGACGATGGGGGTGTTTGGTCAAGCGGCCGAGTCGCGCCCACTCCGGTTCCTCGTGCTGCTGCTTTTAGCCCTGTCCGTTTGGCGCTACATCACTCATGTGGTTCAACGAGAGTCGGAAGCGTCGTTTCCCGAGTCGTTGTGGACCCCCACAACTTTGACGTTCGACGTGTGGGGAGGCTGCGTCTTGGCCCTGTTAACCCCTCTCCTTGTCAGCGAATGCGTCCGCCCCCGCCATACCACTCCGTACATGGGCGTCCTTTTTGTACTCCTCTGTGCCCAGTTTGCTGTGGCCATTCTAACCCAAGAGCTTCGGGTCGTGGGACATCTCACGTCTGCCCTGGTGTCAATGTGCGTGTTGTGGGCGTGCCTCTTGATCTCGTTTACGGTGGTAGAGCACCACATTGAACCGATGGTGCTTTCGTCGGTGGTTTTCAGCGACACGGACCACGTGTACACGACGTCGAACCGGTGGGATTACCTCTCGATCCGCCTGCCCTTGGCGCTGTGGTGGGTGTATAGCAGTGCGGAAGTGCTGGCCGTGTGTCATGCTGTGGCCCTGAACGCGCAAACGAAGCCAGACATGCGAATCTTCGTGACGTCCATGGGCGGATGGGTGCTGGTGAGTGTGGGCCTCCTCTTGACCACGGGCGACACTGCGATTTTGATCGGGTCGCTGTGGATGTTGTGGGGCGTGGCCAATGCAAACTCCAGCCACTCTTCGAATGAAAGTCACACGATGGCGACATTGGCGGGACTGGGGGCGTTTGTCTTGGGGGGGCTTTTTTGCTTTTTGGTGCTGCACAAGGCGTGGCGTGGCCCAAAAGATCGATGGGCTCCATTATTTAGTCTACGTGGGGTGTCTGCCCCCCGTCGAATGGCCGTGTAAGCCCAGATTTATACAAGGCACACGGGTTGGTCTAACCTGCATACTAGTTCAAATTGCTAGCAGTAGGCGTTGGGGTGAACGATGTAGCCCTGTTCCATCACATGCTTGCATGCTCGATGGGATTGGGCGAATGGAATCCTTCGCAATCGAGCTTATCCCCAACTGTCCTCGCTACTGTGAAAGGGGGGAAGGGACAGTAGTCTCTAATGATCAATGCGATCACGGGCGGCTCCAAAATGTGAATTCGCGGGAGCTGGAGCCACCCCCCTCGAACGTGGCGGTGATGAAACATAGCAGCAATCCATTCGAGGCGAAGAGGTAGGCTGTGGGCGATTTTGAGAAGCCTCAGTCCAACGAGCTGAACAAGGCTATGAACAGCCTTGACGCCTTGCTGGGCTAACAGTCCCTATTTGCAACACACGCCACGTGCTTGGAACAATAAACATTTGCAATTAGCCAGCTATGGCCAGCTAGGGCCAGCTATAAACTACTCGACCAGGGGAAGGGCGTGGTAGAAGTGTTGGAGGTGGCTGTGGCCCTTCATGGACTGCCGCGACGCCGACACGTCGATGGAGTACCGGCGCCAGATCTTCACGTCAAACACGTACAAAGTGTCGTGATACTCGAAGATGAGGATGCCGGACAGGACGGCGGACGGTTTGTCGAGGTACAGCACGTTGTTGACCTCCCACTTGTGAAAGTTAAAGTTGTATTTGGCGACGGCAGGCAAGAAGAACGAGCTCGCCTTGTGGGGCCCGTCGCGATGCTCGTAGAACTTCCACTTGAACATGTAGGCAAAGCAGCACCCCGCAAACGTGACGAGGACAATCCCGTAGAAGCGCGAGGGAATGCCATACTCGAACAAGCCACTCGAACACTCGACGTCCATGTCGACCGACGTCAGCGTGCATACGCGGCCGACACGCGCGATGTGGTGCACCGGCGTTATGGCACTCCACAGCCCCGAGCTCACCCACGACAACTGGCCGCTGTTGGCCAGCAACTGAACTGCCAGCATCTTGAACACCTTGTTTTGGATGTTGCACTCGGCCGTGTGCTCCTTCATGATGACCGACGCAACGTCGTCGATGACAAAGACAAGCCAACTCACTTCGGACGTCGACAGAAACGTGGTGAACCACGGATACGTGTCGGCATAGATGCTCGTAAGGACAGGAGACTTGATCAGCTCCATGTTGGCCGTTGCCAAGACCGAAATCGCCGAACACGCACGCAGCAAGATCATGGGCCGGCCTACCCAAACGAGTCCCGCCACCATGTTGAACGTTCCGATGTTGCCGTACTCGACGTCGCCTTTGTTGGTCACGATGTACACGCATACGACGGCGGCCACCATCATGAGCACCCCCGTGATGTACTGACTCAACCGGTACGAGTAGAAGGAAAAGCTCAGAGGGAGCTCGCGGGGGTTGGCCGGGTTGCGCTGGACGGGGAGCGGGTTCGACAGCGTTGTAATCGCGTCCTTCTCGCCCTGGAACGCCACGGCCTCCCGCCTCCCTTCGACCCACTCGAACAAGTAGACCCACGCTGGAAAGGCCACGAGGGGGTTGGCCATCAGCGCGACGCGAGATAGCTCGACGATGCTGTCCTCGACGATCACGCCGTCCGCCGCGTTCGTTAAGAACTGGATCATCTCGAGCTTGAGGTTTGTCCGGACTTCTGTTTCTACCGCCGCGGCCATCGTACGAAAGGTCGCAAGACTGGATGCTGTGAACAAATTCGCGACAAATGCCGTGGTGTTGCCCAGCAGACCCTTGCAATTTTCGCAAGCAGTCTCGTCAGCACCGAGGACGTCGCACCCACACAAATTGGCCTGGACGTCGTCCTTCTGCATGCGCTTGACGTCGGCTGCCATGAGAGCTTTCACGAGATTCTCGTTGGATGGGGCGGCTTCGTCGAACGTGAACGGAGCGCCGCACTCTTCCGTCGAACTGAAGTAGTCCTGCGCGAGGCGGCCGCCGCACCAGTCGAATCCGCACATGAGCTGTCCTCCGCACAACGCAACGGTGGCATTCCATTCGGGAGGCATCAGTGCAAACGGTGCCACGTTGTGCTCGAACAGCGCTTGATACGTCTCGATCACTTGCGACTGGTTTGCATTGTTTTGGAGCAGCCACTGGTAGTCTGGCACGGTCGAAGCGTTCACGTTCAACAGCAACACCAGTGCTTCTGTCAGGTTCTGGTACAGCCGACGCAGGGACGTCGGACATGCCACGCGCTTCATGTCGACCGACCCGAACGGACCCAGCGTTTCTTGGACGATGTACAGTCCTTGGCTCAGCGGGTACGCCAGCGTCAAGTTTTGCGCCAGCGCGTCGGCCGGCGTGACGTTCTGGAATGCAAACTGAGGGCTCTGTCGGATGAGGTGCAAGCCCGCGACCAGCGTCGCGTTGTCTGTGACGGCCCACAGTTCACTCGCGAGGCCCCACGACATCTTGAATGAGCTTGGCCTCAACTCGTCTTGCATTCGAAACAAGCCCCGCGACCGCTTGATGGTCAGGGGGTACGTGAAGCCGAAAGCGTTCTGGACGTCAAAGGTTTCGACGATTCCGAGCTGCTTGTAGTTTTGCCATTGCGTGACATACTCAGAGATGCCATGGGACGTCCACCACAGGACTTCGGCGTCGACAGGGAGGGTGGTCGGCAGCGTCTGCCGCCACACTTTGCCATCCTGCACCGTGTCCAAGTACGAGTACACCCCAATAGAGAGTGAATCGCCCCAGCACGACGTCAGCGACGACCAGTCAACATTGCGCAGCGGAGCTTCCAAATACACCGCTCCGTTTTGGCGTTCGGACGCTTGGCACCGCGCCTGCCGCGCCGCCGAGTTGGCCATTTCCCACTTGCGTCCGAAATCAACGTAGCAGTACGCCGCCGCAATCCACGGGACGTCGCACCCTTGCATGGCGCGGAGGCCAGCCACAACGTTTGGTAGCGTGTTCACTTCGAGCTGGATCGCGGATGCGTACAACGGGGGCGAGTACACGACCGTGTCCGTGGCGTTGTAGTGATTGTCCGTGCCAACTTCGGCATACCGGAGCTCGTTCATCTGGAGCTCGACGTTGCGGTCCATGGTCGGTTCAAGGAGCTGGCGATTAAACCAGTTGCACAGGTACGTTTGGTGGCCCGTCGTGTTGAATCCAGCCCACCAAAAGTCGTTCGACATGATGTCCTTGACCTGTGCCAAGTACGCCCAGCTGCCCGTCACGGATGTCGCCATGTTGAAGAGACCGACGAGGCCGAGGAGGCGAATGTATTTGTGTTTTGTGACCGTCTCCGGCGACGTCAGCGGCTTCATGACAAACTTGGCCACGTCAAAGAGGTACCCGATGCCGTTGTGCGCCGGCAGCGTCAGGACGATCCAGCTCGGCGCGTGGAATATCGTGTCGCGGTATGAAAACATGCCGCACATGACGCACGCGACTCGGTCCAAAAAGAGCTCGCCGTTCCCGGACTGAATGAAAAACGCCTGCGCGACGCCGGGAATGAGCACGTGCGCGACAACGTTTCCATGCGCACGTTTTCGTCCCGTGACGTTGTAAAACACCTTGACGAGGACGTACGAGATGGCGATGCTTCCCGCATGCACGATGAAGAGAAGACCAAATCGCCGGACGCTGCCAAATTCGACGGTCGCACTCGTGCAGCTCGCGGTCAACCCGACAAACTCGTACGAGCACGTGCGGTCGATGGTCAACGTCGCCACGTGCGGCGACAAGACTTGAATCGCAGTCATGGTGGCCCAAATGAAAGCCGTGCTGAGCGGCGCGTACACGGTCAGCTCCTGGTCGGTGAACGGGAGGAAAATGTCGTGGAGGACAATCGTGAGCCACGTCGACTCGCCTGCAAGGACCATCGTGTGGACGAGAGGTTTGGGCGTGAACGCAATGCGGGAGAACCCCATGTTGTTGGTGAACGTCACGGTGGACGAGCTGAGGAGGAGCATGGCAGTCATGCCGCGCAGAAAAATGAACGGCCGGCCGATCCAGACGTACCCGATGACCCAATTGCACTGAAACAAGTTCCACCACTCGACATGGAACCCGATGAAGAACGAGTAAAAGATCATAAGGGCCACGACAAAGGTCACGACGAACGAGACGTAGATCGTCACGATCCAAATGTAAAAGCATCCCTTCCGAGGGATTTCCAAGTCGTTGGCGACGAGGAATACCTCTTCCTGTGGCTCCGTCAGCACGGTCAGCGTCGACACGTCGCCTTCAAAGCTGTACACTTCCCGAGCCCCAGTCATCCAGTCGTGGAGTTGAACCCAGCCGTAGAACGACCACAGGTCACCGGGGGCGACCAACGGCTGCACGAGGAACACGCGAGCTGGGACTTCCTGAACGACGTAGTCTGGGATCGGGGTCCCATCGGTTGCCGTGGGATCGTCGACGACCGTCGAATTCGTTGGGTCGGAAGCGGCACTGAGTGTTGTCCCGTCGACGTCGCTGGGCGGAGCGTCGGGGACGACCGTGGCAAACTGCATAAACGAAATGTTCAACGAGGCCAAAGCCGTCCATGGCGGCGAAAACATGGATGCGAATCGCGTCGTTTGGTTCCACTTGGCAACGAGCGGCAGGGCCGGCACCAAAGATGCCAGACACAAGTCCACTGACGTTGACGTGAATGCACATACAGACCGAATCTGGTCGATCGACAAGCCACTAGCCACCAACGCGAAAACGATGTTCTCACGTCGAAGATGAAGCGAATATGGTAGTTGTTCCGAGCAGTCATCCGAAATGCCAAACGACGGCTGAATGAATGCCACGGGATCGTGCAGGGGGCACAGCAGGTTGCCCCCGTGGTAGTTGTAACCCGCCCAAGCCGAAGGCGTGGGGTCGACAACGGGCTCGCTCAGGTGCAAGTACGCGTGCCGCAACGTGTGATCGTCTTGTAGGTATTCGTACAGGTGTTCACGAAACTGGAGAAAATACGTTCCCAATGCCGGGGGCACCGCGACCATGCGAACGTCGATCGCTCCCAACGGACCGATGTGAGATCGTATGAGATCGACGCCGGGATATCCACTTGCTGCCGCGTACAGCATGTCCGTGTCCCAGCTCACGCCAAGCGCCGCGGCGTCGTTTGGAGCGCCTCGAACGATGCTGCAGCCATACGACGACGCGACAGTCATGACACTGGCAAAGTTGAGCGATGTCCAAAAGGTCGAGCCGGGCCCGCGGTCGGGAGACGTGACGGAGAGCGCGCTGATTGTGAATCGCTGCTGCATCCCGAGCGCATCCTCGAGTAAAATCGCGTCGTCGAGGCGTTGGGGATATGTATTTTGAAACTGCAGCGTAAAGCGACGGAGCCCCTGCTGCTCCCAGTACCGAATCTCGTCGGGGATGGCGAGGACAGTGCCCTGGAGGACCATTGCGATCCATGACGTTGCTAGGTCAGGATCGACACGGGCCATCGCAGTCAGCACGGTCTCGTTGAACGTGTCAAACAAGGGCCAAGCCAGGATTGCCTTGGCCTCGGTGTTGCGCAGCACGGTTTCGACGTACACGGCAGCGTTGTCCTTGTCCGTCGCGGCGCATCGCGCTTGACGGGCATCTGTGTGCGCCGCTTCGAACCGGCGATTGAAGTCGATCCAACAAAACGGAGTGCGGTACCCAAAGTACGTGTCAAGCGATTGCATGCGGATGGTCGTGATCGCGGCATCGAATGCAATGCTGTCCAAGAGGACCTGGCGGGGTGCAGATGCCGGCAGCGTGAGCAGCGAGTCCGATTCGCCATACGAACGGAAGAGCGTCGCGTCGCTGCGTGCGACGTCGAACGTTCCAGCTTGATGGAGCGTGTGCCGGACGTGAATGAGGTCCCCCAAGTACGTTTGTATCCCCGTCGAGTTGAATTGCGGCAACCACAGGTCGTTCTCCAAGTGCGGTTGAACAATTGTCAGATACCACGCACTGCAGCTGACAGTCACGACCAAGTAGATGAACCCGAGCGCTGTGGCAAGTCGGCTCGACTGGCGCGGGCCTCGGATCACCGGGCCATCTTCTCTCGCTTCCAAGTATTTCTCTTTGGTTTGCACAGGAATGATGCGGTGGGTCGCCCCGTGGTTGATCCAGCGCATGGTGCCGCCTTTGTCGAGTTTGTGTCGGGGCGGCTGCGTGAAACCGACTCGTCGGTTCCGTGTGAAACCGACGACCCTGCGGGACTTCCAAAGGCAATCATGTGTCGTATTATTGATGGTTTATTCGATGTACCGACTTAGCACTTGAGGTCCGACCCTTTGTAGTACCCTTTGCCCCCGAGCTTCCCCGCCACCGTGATGAGAAATGGGGCGGACAGGGCGTTGTTGATGGACACGACGGTGCCTGGCATTTGGTAGAAGGCATCGCCCATCTTGTTGATTGTGACGGTGCCTCCGACAACAGCTTTGCACTGGCCCGTTGTGACGGCGGCCATGGCGGCGACGATGGTCAGACGAATGAAGACCATGTAACTTGAGAAATGGGCATCGAGTAGGACGACTCCATGACGGCACGCCCGATGCCTGCATGCGTCTGCACAGAACAACGTTGAAACGCTTGCCGACATGATGGCAAACCGCCGACTGTGTCCATGATGGAGGCCCAGCGCATGTAGCTTTGATGTCGTCGTGCCACTCGTCGACAGCGCCATGGTGTGTGCATCGACTACATTGCGCATTTTCCAGCGCCACCTCGTAGCTGCATATTGTGTCGGGACGACAACGCGATGCTTGCTCGTTGGCTACGCAACGTTAAGTTTCAGCTTCACGCGCCTTTTTCAGAGGTCGGCGCGTTCAAGGACGTCATGTCGGCATACGGGGTGTGATGGAGAGGCGGGGAAGGCGAGATGTATGCGCTTGATCATCGAGTTGGCGAATCTGGGACGGCAACGGGTCGCCGAGAACGACCAGATGGACTCTTTCGCCCGTTTGGCTTGTGTTCCTGAAGCGCAACGCAAGGTTGGTTGCGTTGGGCGCCTTGTCTCCCATTCTAGTGAGCTGCAATTCATCGCCTCGCGTCGGCTTGTGGCTCGCTCAAATTTCGGAATCGAGGGTGGCGACCGCATCGGCAAGCCATTCAATCGACTGGCACAGGACAATATTTAGCAAGCGCCACCACGGCAATATGTAGCAGCGGCGTACACGACAGAGCAGCCGTCGCTTTCCCGCAGCCATGATGAGGATTTGCTTTCGTCTGATCTGCACGTTGGATTGGGTGCTGTCGGGAGTGGGGGAGGTTCGAGCGCCCATGCCCGCCATCACCGCTTGGATATCAGTCATGCCGCCGCCCGTCATCGACATCGTGGTGTCACCATCCACCTGTTGAAAACAACGGATCGAGGGCATGGACGCAGCGCCACTTCTAGGGCAACTGGCGGCGCGTTCACCGAGGGATTTGAACACGTACGACTCTCTGGTCCTCCCCGGTTCAGGAACTTTAGCCCGGTCTGAGCCTTACATGGACAGGAGATCCGCAGACGTGGTGGACGGAGCAAGGGATTTCCGTAGCTATTGCAACATGCTTCAGGGCGGCGGAATCGCTCGCTCGATCCGAGTGCGACTCAAGTGAAATCGGGCGAATGGAGCATAGCATCGAGAAGGCATGTCGTATTTGGTACTTAAAATACGGTGATCAGGACGAAGCACGTGTACACCATCGCGGTGGGGTACGCGATCAACCAGCGCTGCTCCTTCATGTGCAAGTACTTGTCGAAGAAGCGCGTCGCGGCTTGCGTGCTCCACGCGACGCAAAGGAACGCGAGGACAAACCCGATCGCCTTCAAGTCCCTACAACCACCCACCACCACCACGCATGAGAGCAGCCAGCGACGACGTTGTTGCCGACGTACTTGATCGGCGCGACGATGTTGATGGCGGCAAGCAAAATAATGGGGAGCCATGAGTAGCCCAGGACAGAGCAGACGCGGTACACGTCGATCGTCTTGGTGGGGGAAATCAAGTTCATCAATGTCCACATGGACAAGCACCCGACCAGGCCAAAGCCGTAGATGTAGCCAAAGTGAATCTTCGCGCTCTATACGCAACCCTTCGTTAGGTTTGCCGCGTGCCTGGTCGAAGTGAGCGCACCATGAGCAGCAGCATCCCAAACCCAAAGGCAAACACCAACGGACCGGCCAGGTCCACGTCGTCCAAGATGTGCTCTGACACGGACGTGGTTGGAATCAGCACGGCCTGGGTCTTCGTCCAGATGTGTTCAAAGTTGATGCCGAGCTCTACAACAACAAACGAACATGATGATTTTCGTCCGATGCCACGTGGCGCTTGTACCTTCCATGAGCGGAGGTTCGTTTTCAAAGTCGTCGCCGTACGATACAGACTGGTCGCCCAAACTCCCCATCGACCCCGCTAGAGGCGAGCTCGATGGCGCAGACAAGTCGCCGGCATACCATGGCCCACCAGGAGGATGGGGCTGCTGGGTATAGGTCGACTGGACGAATCCTTGGCCGCCAGGGTAAGTTGAGTGTCCAGCCGATTGCGGCGCGCCGTATGACCCAGCATGGGCATCACTTGTTGTGTGTTGCGAGTAGTTTTGGTTTGCGTAGCCGAACTGGTGGTCGTAGCCGCCGTGGGGATGCTGGCCTTGGTTGTACATGGGGCTGCCGGGATTTGCCGCAGGTGGGTGGAATGATCCGGATAGTATCCGGAACATGAAATTAGTGTTGGCCGTTCACCCTCTCCCCCCACCGAGATAATGATGATCCGCCGTATGAGAACATTAGCCGCCGCTATGTCCCGTACATACTGCAGGAAGCTGCGAGGTCAACGTCGTGATGGCCGACGCCGCCTTGCGGCAACTATCTCCCTTCGTCGGAGAAGCAATATTTGGGCCAATGTTCCGTATGAACGGCACGAACATGGCGGCGGAGATGCAAATTTTAAGCAGGAATCCGTTGAAATGACGTGGCACGCTGGCCGGACGCTCTTGACACCGAACAGGGCCACTCACTCTCTCATTATACTCTCCACTTCATTCAAATCACAAGATGAACCGTGACTATGATCTCATGCCACTCTCTTTTTCGACAGTCGACACAGTACCGTTGTGGGTTTTCTGATTGATCGATCTCTTGTCAGCCAGTGTTATGATGCCGACCATTCCCAAACATCGCGCGTCATGCTTGCACCATTACCTCTGGCGCCTTCCAAGATGCCACCTCAACGTCGCATGTCCTTCACACTGCCGAAATCGCTGGCCGCCATCGAATGGACGAGGCTACGCCACTGGGCGGCATCCAAGTCTATGCTGTGGACATGCTCGTCGGCAGATTCGTCCACGTCGCTGCTTTTGGACGACACAGACACAGACGACGATGTTTCCAACTTGCACGTCGTGCGACCGCGCGGCAAGTCGGACCCGTTGACGTACACTGCAACCACCCTCCTCACGTCGTGGCGAAGTGGCAACTCGTCGCACGCGACCCGGCACTCGACCTCGAGCTGCATGTAGACTCCAGCGCCGGCGTCACGTAGCTGGAAATCCCAGTCGTCGCCGTTAGAATAGAAAGTTGTTCGTCTTCAGTTAACGACAAATGTACAAAGGATGGTAGATTCGCATGGCGTGTTATGGTGGACCGCCTCCTTGGGGGAGTGGAAGCGCGATCGCCACTGCATTCGACGGCGGTCTCTTTCGCGTCGACCACGGTGACCGTGTGAGCTGCTTGAGCAAGCGCATGCCTCGCGAGTGTTGGGGCTTGACCACTTGTTGCCGGGGCGACGCCGCGTATTTCTTGGCCACGTACGCTTTCCACGCTTCTTGGATCACGCGGGCGCAGTTGAACTCTTCCGTCAAGTCAAAGCGATGGTACGCCGTGTCCAAATGGATGTTGTGGAGCTCTTGAAAATGGCGCAATGCGCGACCGGCGAGCTTCGCTTGCAGGTGGGCTTCGATATCGACGGCTTCAAACACGGTGAAGCTGTTGGGCATGGCGTGGTGGCACAGCGTGTAGAAAATGTCCAAATAAAACATGTCGTTCATGTGGTTGCGGCGGGCGTGGAGACTTCGAATGAACCGGATGATGTCCTTGGTCGACTTTGGCGGTGGATCCTCCTACATACCGGCACGTCACCGCCGAAAAGCGTCGCCCACGTACGTTGTCGGGTCTCGACGCAAATCCGAGCGGCGGCGGCACACTGCGGAGCAGCGACACCAACTTGTACGACGGCAAAAACAACGAGCCGGTCGGGGCGAGCTTTTGCCACTCGTCGGCAAACGCGTCCAGGTGGGCATTTGCCGGTCGACCGTCGCCTTCGTCGAACCCGTCCATGTAGTTTTCAAAGTTCTCCATGATGACCGCAATGAGAAGGTTCAAGATAATGTAGTTGCCCACGACCAAAAACGACGTAAAGTACCACCGACCCACGGTCGGGTACTGCGGCAGCACGTCATGCATGTAGCACGTCCAGTTGTCGCCCTACAACGCCACGACTGAGGTCCGTGCGGGGCAGCTTTGACGACTCACCGTGACAACGACAAACAGCACCATCATTGTGCTCGTGAGCGAGTCAAAGTTGATCACGTCGCGAATGCACTGCCCGTACAACGGGTTCATCGGGTCGTAAAACAAATTCATGCCGAGAATCGCATACACAAAGGCAAACACAAGCAAGAGCGACGCCACGTTGAGCAGCGCGGGAAGCGACATCGTCAGCGTTTTCAATATCGACACCATCGAGTGCGAATTCTACACGCGGTGGACAGTCGACGCGGCATGACAACAACACAACGACGTACGCTGACGAGGTGGGTCACACGGACAAGTCGGAGCATGCGAAGCACGCGGAGGTGGGGCGAGGCGTCGAGGATGCTCACCACAACCGCGATGGCGTCGACCCACCGGGTCGTAAGATACGCTTTGTACCCGTGCGCATACAACATGAGGGCGGCCTCGATCACGTTGACTGCCGTGAAAAACCACAACACTTGCGTGTAGGCGGAATCGAAGCGTGGCGTGGACGGGTAGTGGTCCATGGCGAGGACGACGATGCTGGCCAAAATCAGGACGCGCATGCCGCCTATCGCCACATGCCCACTTGTCGTTCCATCCTTTCAGCGAAATGGACGACGCTCGACAACGGATTGTACCTTGAAATAGCGGGTGCACGACGACATTGAACACGACCTTGCGGTGGCCGCCGAGTTGGTTGTTGGATGGGGCGGGCTTGGGCTTTAGTGCAAAGAGACGGCGTTGGGTGGCCACCTGGCAAGGATCGTGGCGGGCGTTAGTTTGCAGCGAGGGAACGATGAGTTCGACGCATGGGCTTGGCTGCCGTACCCATTTCTGCTGGTCTTCCGTGATGAACAGCGTGCCGTTTTGCTCGGCTTTGAGCTGCTGGAACTTGTACACGATCACACCGAGGAAGAGACCCATCATGAAGAAGCCGCAGATCACGACAAATGCCACAAACACAACAGCCATCGCTGGTGTGTTGTTGCGGACGGGGTGCATGTCGGCGTAGCCCACGGATGGGGCGTCCATCGCCATGTGCATGATACCCGACCAGCCTTGGACAGTTGAGATTTCCATGAGTTGCAACGTCGCGTTCGGAATCGAGTCAAAGCTCGTCGACAGCGGCGTCCACAGCCGAGTCGTCACGGTGTCTGACTCGCACGTCGTCGCGTTCAACGTGTACATCTACAAGATGGGACAGCGGTTGGGAAGGACCGTCGACAGACCAAAGCACGTACGTCGACCGAGTTGCCTTGGCAATACCACAACTTGCCCGCCAACAGATGCACCGTCACGACCGCAAACATGAACAAAAACATCGTGAGAATCACGACCAGGTTGAGCACGCACGGCACGGTGATCAAAATGGCCTTCACCACGACCTTCATCCCTGGGTTCAAGTGGATGGCACGGAGCGGCCGCAGCGCGCGAAAGAGCCGAAACACCTTGACCATCGGATCGCGCTTCACGTCTATAAATTCAGGACAGTAGTCGGCAACGGCGGGGTCGCACGGTGGCGTCGTGTGCACGACGACAAATGTGCACACGATCGCCAGCATGGACGTGATGGCAACCACAAAATCCAACACATTCCACCCGTTGCGCATGTACGCGTATCGCCCCGTGAAGAGAAAGCCCTGCGCAACGATCTTCATGGCCATCTCGACGAAGAACAAGCTTGAGATCACAACGTCCGCCTACACCGCCATGGTAAACGCTCGCCCGGAACCAAGGGTGGTGGACGCACCCATAGGTAAAACGTAGCGTCGGCAGTGTCCGATATCTCGAGGGCGGACATCACACAGGATGCGAGGACGACCGCCAGGACTATGTATTTGAAGAACGGGTGCATGACGATGCGGTTGGCCATCCCGCGCACCCACGAAGTCGGACCAAACAGGCAAAACGAGTGCCCGACCATGAACTTTTGACTCTTGGCCTCGCGGGCACTTGCTGCTGCTTCGTCTCGACGGCGATGTGCGTCTTTCGCGTCTTCCAACGCCGCATGAATGTTGTTGCGCCATGGACTCGAATGAACCGAGAACACACCCGTGTGGTTGCCAAACGGCCCGGCCGGACCATATCGGACACGTTGCGTGGCCGCTGCGATCAACTCGTCGAGGAGCCCAAGCACCGCGTCCTCGGCGGCGTCGCCGGCCATGAGGTGATTCCGCGGTGGCCGCCGCCGTGGGTTGGTTGCTTGAATAACAGCTTGGAGATTACAATCCGCCTGGCGCCCAATCGACGTGGCTTCGCATTTGAATCGTTCGAGCTCAATGAGGCGGTTGCCCAAAGCTTCCGCCTCCGCGACGGTTGCGCAAAAGCCCGACGCGATCAAGAACTGAATCGCCTCAAACCCGTGGAAGCACTCAAAGTACTGTCGCGGCCCGATCTCGATCGTGTGTGTATCCATCTTGAATAGGACGATGTCTGCGATCTCGTGCAGCCGCAGGACGTCGTCGTCCTTGTCGTGCATGTCGGTTGACGACGGCTCGAACGACGGTGACAGCTTGGAGAACATCGGCTCGACTTTGAGGCGGAGGCGACGTTTGGCCTGCTGTCTACGCCAAGAGCACCCCGTGAGTCGCACGTCTTCCCTATCGTTGACAAGAGTGGGTCGTGGTGTCGTTCGCACCGTGGAGAAGCAGCCGCATGGCGCGACGGAGTGAATCGATCGATCCACGACGACAGCCAGTGCACGACCACATCGTAATAATGGGCCACGTCCGCGTCCGCGATCGTGCTAAAGTACGACCGATGGTATTCGTTTTCGTCGCTTTCAAAGTCTTGCAGCAAAATCGACAAAAAGATGTTGACCACGAGGTAGTTGCCGGTGAAAAACATGACGACGACAAAGATGGCGCCGCCGACCGCGTGGACTCGCATGCACGCGTACAGGACGTCGGTCCACTGGTCCCCCGAGAACACTTGAAACACGGTCAAGAGCGCCGACCATACGTTGTCAAACGTCGCGTAAAACGGCGTCGGGAACCCGCGGTCTTCGGTCATTTCGTTTCCAAACAAGTGCTTTCCGATAAGGGCGAAGATGTACATCACGACAAACAGCAAAAACACAAAATGCAAGAGACCGCGAAAACTCGTCACCATCGTCTCCATGAGCACGCGAAAGTTGGTCCACTGCCGGAAGAGCTGCAGCAGTCGCAGCACGCGGCACACAAACATCGCGTGGACGACGCCTTCCGGCAACACGACTGCACCGTCTCGACCGATCACTTCGACCAATCTTGCAAACAACATGTTCAGCTCAACGTACGAAGCATGAACGAAGCGGTGTGTGGACGCACCCGACTATGGTCAAAACGCCGTCAAACCGATTGTACTTGTCGACAACGTATCCTCGGCCACCGAGAGCCGTGACTTTCAACACCATTTCGAGCCCAAACACGTACGCCACGATGTCTTGAGCTACAGCAATGTGGGCTTCTCGACCGGCATGCGCTGCAATGTCGACTGGGTCGAACGATTTCAGATTAAAGCACACGAGCTGCACAACAAGGGCAGCGTTGACAATTCCCGTAAACGCCGCGTGCCGAATGCAGCGAGCGATGCGCCGTCGCCATGTGATCCACGTGACAGCCCATGGCGACGTTGACTGGAACGAGTCGAGCGACCGCATGCTCAGTCGAAGTGTATCATCTCGCGACAGGTACTTGATCCCGCTTCCTGAAAACCCAATGCGCGCCAGGGCCGATCGAAACTGACTCATCGAGATCGTCCCTACCACAAGTTGGCGACTCGTTACCACACGGACCGTTCGGCGCTATCCACTCTCGAACGAGCATACCAGTGTCATGCGGGTCAAACTCACGAAAAATCGCAGCCACGCGGCCTTCGGCATGCTCGTAGCCGCTCAATTCAATCAGCACCTTTTGCTCCAACAACGTCGACGCTTTGGACGGCGGGTCGGCAAACTCGATGAATTCCGTCAACGTCACCTGCTCCGACATTATGAACGGCTCATGTCAGAAGCGGTCAAGTCCGACTTATCGCTGGCACGCTACCTTTCCATCGTTGTTTACATCCAAATAGTCATGAAGGGCTTCGACGATGGCACGGTCGAGCTTGATCCCCACTCGCTCTTCAATTTCCTACAAAGCATGCGTCCCACCTGAGCCCACGCACCACCATGCCGGTGCCACCTACTTGAAACCCAAACACGAGTTCGTCGCGGCTCAAGTCGCCGCTGTTGTCCTTGTCAATGAAGCGAAATATCGACCTCGAGTGGAGCCCCGCCGCCTTGGCCGATTGCAAAAACTCTCGCAGGTTTTGCACCGTATTCGACACGCCACTACCACCCATCGCCACCGCACACATCAATTGGACGTTGTCCCTGCACACACCAAAGGCGGCAGTGCTGGTACCTCGACGGCGAGAAGAACTCGACAAAGTTCTTGTACTTGACGCGGCCGTCGATCGAACTAAACCGCGTCGCGAGCGTCTTGAGCTCCAAATGCGACAACTTGGTCGCGGGTAGCGGCTTGACCACGACCATATCGATGATGGACGGACGTCGCGTCCGCTTCTGTGCTTCGAGGTGCTTTTGTTTGCGCTCGAGCTATCCGTGGATATGTAAACACGCCGTGTCTCCAAGAGCGACCTCGAGGTACGCCGGATTTCACGTACCTTGGCCGAGACAAACTCGTCGCGAATGTCTTTCCACTTTTGCGTGTACGCGTTGTGCACGACCGCGATGACCAAGTTCACGACAAAGTACCCTCCGACCGGAATCACGACCAAGAAATAGAGCCCCACGACAAGTCCCCGAGCTTCGGCAAGGTTCCACATGGTTGAGCCCCAGTCGGACAAGGACGCGATTTCGATCACACTGAGGAGCCCGACCGCGACGTTGTCGAACGAGGTGAATCCGTAGTTTGGGTTCTTGTTGAGGCGGTCGTCCGTCAAATTCCGGACACATACGCCGTCCGCCATGCACGACCGGCCAACGTTCGGCGCCATCGAGCAGCGGAACCCGTTGCCGCTGATGAGGTACCCGTTCGAGTCTACGTTGAGGTACCCGTCCGACATGTACTCGTTGTCGCACTGCTGGTGCAAAGCACCCTGGAAGAGCGACACGCCCGCGATCGCAAACAGGACAAAGATCACCAAGAGCAACTCGATCACGTTCACAAGAAGCCGCATCGACTCGAAGAGACTCAAGACCAACGCTTGCGCGTGCTTGGACAGCCGAATCCCACGAAGCACTTTGAACACACGGAGAAGACGAAACAAGGACGCGAGGTTCTTGGCCATCGCGGGTGCCGTAAAGTCCGTCGTCAAGTAGGACGGCGCCGTGTCCGTGTCGGGGCTGAGCGTGGCAACATCGGGAACGCCTGTCGGCTCGGCGGGAGATTCCGGGAACGTGGGGGTATCGGGGAGTCCAGGCTCATCAGTCGGGAATACGACCGGCAATGGGAGGGCATTCGGGTCGTCAGGAGTTGATTCGGGAGTCTCGACAAGCGACGGGTCATGACCTCCGTCTGTGGCGCCGGCATGGATGCCAACGACGTCAGAGAGGCGACGACGGCTGCTGGCATTTCCCGACGAGACCAAACTGTTTGAATTCGATGGGATGGATGTCGCCGGCGACATTGTCGAGGACATGGTGTCAGCTGGATCATCGGCGGTCGGTTGGGTGGCTGGAGCGTCGTCACTGCTGGGTGCGAACGTTGGGAAGTTGAGAGCAAGCGTTGGGGACGGGCTCTCGTCTGGTGGGAAAGTGTCGGGGGCGAACGTGTCTGGCGGGAGAACGTCCGGGCCAAACGGCGACGGAGGTGCAGTCGACGGGTACGGAGGTGGCGTTGGCATCGGTGGCAACGGAGTCGACGCCGTATCGACGGGAAGCGTGAGCCATAGCACGGCAGAGACCCAGCCAAGCAGCACGAGGCCACAGTCAAGGTAATTCCACTTGTGGCGGAAGTAACCAAAGCGGCCATGCCAGAGGCCCCCCGCGAGCATTTTCACCGCCATTTCGAACGTGAACACAACGTTGAACGCCATTTCGAGCCAATTCACAATCTACGACAACCATAATCGTACTTCATGAATGAAAAAGCCGAATCGGGACACACCTCGCGCGTCCGAAGCTCTTCGGGAGTTTCTAGCTCCGTCGGGTCCAAGACAAGGCTCTTCGTTCGCTCGGGCTCTTCAAATCCGAGCAAGATCGCGTTGCTAACAATGAGCATGTACATGACGACATGGAACGGCTCCGAGAAGAATGCTCGGATGCACATCGTCCGCAGCCACGATGAGCTCGAGAGGCCACACACGACCGGAGGCATCACTGGCTTGTATTGCGGATCCTTGCTCGCTGACACGTGCTGGTGCATCGCAGCCACCGATGGCGTCACGTCCAGCACGCCGAGTGGCGAGACTGTGTTTGAAGGAGGCATGCAGCCCTCTCTGTCCAAGTCGACAACGACACAATGCCGTGAAACAGCCAGAAGATTGCAAGATCGACGGTTTCTTCGCACCCACGTTCGAGCCGAACGAGATCATCCCTTCCAAACTCAGCTGCTGCACCTCTTACCACGTACGTATTGCTCCTAAGTAGGTCCCCATCACAGGCACCACCTCCATGGCGTCATTCCTTTCAGCCGTCGTCACGAGCAGGTGGGATGGCCGCGCCGGGAAGTGTGTGAGCAAAGGGATGCATATTGAATTGTTTTATCGCAAGTATTTGAATTAGTAGAATATCTTGAACGAAATATCCTTTGGATTTTCGATTTCTCAATGGATATCCATCTTGGCAAACATGGCGTGGTCAACGGCGGTGATGCTAACGACCGGCGTGTGGTGGTGGGTAGCGCTGGCTGGCACGCCTCCGCCCTTCCACGGGTTTCGCTTCGAAGTAGTACTCCGCTTTACTTTCTACCCTCATTCGGGGCCATGTAGATGCCAGCTCCATCGCTTCTCTCGAAGGTGGTTGACGAAGCTCGCGGCAATGCGTGCTTTGGATGGGTTCAACGCACTCTTGCGGTACGGAACACATCGAAAGGAACCTCAATATATAACGTCAAGTCTTGATGGGCAGAATAGTCTTGTGGGTGAAGTGAGATGCCGTGGACAGCATGGGGCTGCCATGCAGGCATGGATCGAGTCGGCCGACCCCAACACTCTTGTGCACGTGTACGAGTCGACCAAGATTCGGTATCACTTCACGTCATTTCGAGTACTTGAGCCAACGCGCCGCACATGCTTCCTGTCACCGCCGCACGCGTGTTCGTCCCTGGACACCGCGGCTCGACATCGCACAACCAAAGATGAGCTGTAATAGTATGGATTGGCGACAGAAGTCTGTCGCGTTTGCAACTCATCCTTGCAACTAGCCTACAATCCGTACGTCCTAGCAGTCGTCCGCGCCACGCCCATGAATTTCCTTGAGCCGGTCGGCATACCGAAGCGTGTTGAGCGTGTGGTTGGAGTGTTCGGAGCACGGCGAGATGGTCGCAATCATGACCGTCCGGGACGTGTCACACATGAAGCTATCGCGGAGGATTTGGGTCAGCTTGCTTTGACGGAACGGAACGTGCTTGGCTCCCATATCCATGGCTCGAATGCACTCTTTCAGTGCCAGAAGACTCTTGTTGATCTCGGCGCCTTCCATTCGAGTCGATTTGCTACAACGAGTGCAAGCTGTGTCAATTTCTCGAGGGCCAGCCACGAGTGCGTACTCGTCCGTTTGCGTCTCACATGCCCGTTCACTGCCCGCCAAGTCCACCATGGACAGCCGTCCTTTCGCTGTCCCGCCCGTGATCGTTTGATGCCCGACTGTCGCGTCGGTGTACAACGTCACTCGCAAGATTGCATGTGACCGCGACGAGTCGTCGTGCACGCCGTTGATGCTAGTAATCCGCGACGCTTCGCCCTACGCAGCACCCTCCTGTGAAACGCGGGCGTGGCCAGGATGTCGCACCTTTTCGACCAGGTCGGTCAGCATCGTGTCGGACGTGATGGCAACTTCCGACACGCCAAGCAACTGCACCACGCCATCGTTGTCTTCGAGCGCGTGAATTTTCTTCCGGTCGTTCAGCAAGTCGCACACATGGTTCTTGTAAATGTCGTAGAAGCTCACGCCGACAGTCGTTGTCGGCCCGGACAAAGTGGCCACGTGGCGAAACAAGTCTGCCGCGGCTTGGCGGTACACCGACTTCCTACGAAAACGATGTGGGAATAATCGAGCGGATGCTGCCGTCGTCGGCGGAATGCACATGCAGCTTACATGGTATACGTCTTGCCGGACCCGGTTTGGCCGTACGCAAACACCGTCAAGATGCCGTCGTTCATGAGAAGCGGGATGAGCGGGCCGACAGATTGGTTGTACACGGCGCCATTGTCCGCTTGGTCGTCAAATACCCTGTGGCCATCATGAGTCGATCGAAAACCTTGATTGGGAGGTGGTGAAGCAGGATGGGTCGACTGCATCAGTACCCGTCAAACGAAAACAAGTGGTTCACCAACGACGCGCTCATGTCGACTTTAAATTTGGGCTCGTGGCAGTAAAGCTGTGTGTTGCGGGCACACGTGATCACGTCGTAGCCTGGATTTGGCGTTGAATCGAATGGGTGGCTGCAGTTTGTCCGAGTACCTTTGTGGGAAAGCTCCTTTTTGCTCAACGGGCGCTTGCGCACAAAGACAGATAGTTTGCTCGACGTCGTTCGCGGCTCGTCTACGTATCCAGACAAGTCAGCCCTGGTGTCGGGAAATGTGAGGGATGCCCACCGCACCTGTTTGTTTCTTGGGCGCTTTCATCCCATCCCGAAATACCTTGATGAGGCGACGGAATTTGTGGCCCGTGTCATCGCCGTGCTCCTTGACTTCGTCCTCTCTGACGGCAGCATCGAGTCAGCCACGATTGTGTTGGTGCATATTACTTTCGCTGCTTTTCTTGCATTTGCATCGCCCGCCGCTCCTCACGCTTCCGTTGGATTTCCGCCAACGCCCCCACACACGACGACATTTTGCCTTTTGGTTTTGGCGCTGCCTTGGTTTTTGGTTTTGGAGGGAGGTCAGAGCTCCACGTTGGCGATGGTGGTGACGAAAAGAGCTGTTCTTTCGGGGGGCTGTGCCGCTGTTGCGGTCGAGGGGGTGGCGTCCTCGGCAGCTGAAGGGGCTGTTGGGGATGAGTCGGTGGTTTTGGACTGTGTTGCATCTGTCCCCATCATGACAGATCCGCGAAAATCAACACAAAAACGTACTTTTCCATAAGGTTGGTGGGTCGCTGAGCTGGTCGCCGACATCACTGCTTCATTTGGGGAATCCCTCGCGGAAATGTCTTCGTCCCTTTGTCCGCCGCTCGCATCGTCTGCATCGTCTTGGTTGGTAGTGGCTCTAAAGGGAGCCGTGGCGGACGTGCTAGTAGGCGCAGCTTGCATTCGAAACGTCGATTTTTTTACGACGGTCGTTGGCTTGATCGTAGACTGTTGGTTATGAGGATGCTGCTCCTCTTCGGGTGGTGTCGCTGGAGGTCGATCGACGTTGTTGGATGCCGCGGCAGGTTTCCGCTTGGCAAACGGATTCGCAATCGCTCTTGTTCTCCACTTATTCGTCGATTTGTTTGACTCCATGGACTGTCGCATTGGAATACAGCGGTTCGCAGAGTCGCCGCTACGTGGAGGGGTGCGAGCGCGTGTGAGCGGTGGCGTATGGATAGAGCGCGAACTTTGCGGCGTCACTGTTCGGTGGGTGTTGTCGACGCCTGGCTCGTGCAAAAACGTGGGCAGAGCAGAAGGTGTGGGAGCAAAGACGTTGAGTGGTGGAGGCGTGGCAGGACGGGTAGGCACTGTTGGCAGCGGTGGACAACTAATTGACTTTTGAATGGACGGCAAAACGAGACAGGGCGATGGCGGCTCAAACGGGAGGAGTACATGTGGTTGGTGGGACTGAAAATGCTGATTGTGATGCCTGGAATGTGCATCGTCGTGCTGGTTGTTGTCTATCGGTAGCGGGGTCAGTTTCGCAGGGGGTTTGAGAGTCGCTGACGAGAGCGACTGGCGCAACGGGTGCGTGGCACTGCTGTGGTACGCCGCAGGCTTTTGCCAGTGGACATTCTGCGTACTGACAACCCGCGCCCGGGCCTTCATCCAGTCGGGGATCGGCAGTAGGGCCACGCCATCGTCACCAGGGGCCGATTGCGGCTCCATTCCGGTGTGGTGAAACCCTTTGCCTGCCGTTTCGAGTGCCTTTTAAAAGCATATACAACGTTGATTGGTCAAAATCAAATCTCCTTGGGCCAATCAAATCTTTTCATTTCCACATTAAAGATCTCAGCAAAGTGCCAACTAATTCCAGGTGACTCGGAGTCGGCAAATGGCGACGTCGAAGAAGGCCGTATACGTTGCCGCGACGCGCCAGCACGTCGGCAAGACTAGCACATGCCTGGGTTTGCTGCAGGGCCTCACGAACCGATTCGACCACATTGGCTTCCTCAAGCCTGTTGGACAGCAGTCGGTGATCGTCGAGAACAACATTCGCGTGGACAAGGACGTGCGCGTTGCCAAGGGTACGTGGAACCTCATCAGAGCAAGCCATGCCTCGTCTCCAAGGGTAAACTGCATGGATTCTAGAGATATTTGGGCTTACCCGATGCGACTATGCCGACATGAGCCCGGTTGTGATCCCGCCTGGGTACACGCGGGACTTCCTCGATGGCAAAATCACGCTCGAGTCCCAACTGTCCAAGATTCGCTCTAGCTTTGACCGTATCACGTCTCAAAATGATGTGCGTTGTCCGGTTTCCGCATCATCACGCTATCCTCTCCACCTTTCGACGTCACTAACCAATCCTCTAGTTTACAGTCGTGGAAGGCACCGGCCACACGGGCGTGGGGTCCATTGTGAACGTCAACAATGCCCGCGTGGCAGCCGAGCTAGGTGTGGACATGGTTCTTATTGCAAACGGAGGCATCGGGTCTGCTTTCGACGACTTGTCGCTGAATCGGTACGTTGATCTCCCGTCCTTCGGCGTCCTCCACGTACGGGCTAGCGCTTTGTGCCAGCAGTACGGCGTCCGCGTCCGTGGCGTCATCCTGAACAAAGTTCGACCGAACGTGCGTCCTCCATGCCATGCAACACCTCGTCACTCGTCGGCGCTCGTAGAAAGTTGACATGATGTGGGACTACTTTCCGAAAGCGCTCCAAGAATGGGGCATCCCGCTCCTGGGTGTTGTTCCCGACCTCGTGCGTCGTTGCAAATCCGTCGCGGTGGTGTGCTGACGGCCTTGCATCTCCCTTAGCCGCGCTTGGCCCAGCATTCCATGATGGACTTTGAGCACCTCTTCAAGACAACATTGCTCAGTGGCCACTCTCGCCGGATGAAGCAGTACAACGCAGTCAACTTGGTCACGTCGGGGCTGCGGCGGTTCTTGGTCGAGTTGTCGTCCAACCAGTTCAACGACACGCTGTTTGTCGCTCACGCAAGTCGCAACGACATCATCCTCGGATTTCTCTCCCACAGCCAAAACTACGAGCTCAAGACAGGCCAAGAGTTTGGCGGGGGACTCATCTTGACGGGACTGCCGCCAAAGGACCAGCCGCAGGACTACACGATGGACATCATCTCGCGCGCGAATCTTCCTGTGCTGTACGCGCCGTACACGACCTTTGACGCGATGGACATGATGGGCAATTTTACAGGTGCCGCCGGTTGATATTCATGAACGTTGTTGTGTAACCTATTGACTAGCCAAATTCAACGCGACGGACGTGACCAAAGTGCTATCGTGCGCAAAGCACTACGAGCAATGCATCGACTTTGACAAGTTGCTCTTAAACACTTGTTAGACATAACGACGAATCCGCGTGGCGATGGGGATGCGGCACTGGGGACACTCGGTCAATTTGGCGGTGCACGTCGTGCACGTCTCATGGCCACATCCAAACACTGTGTCTTTAACGTGTTCCTCGCAAATCACACACAACGTCGCTTCCTCCAGCGCCTGGATGCGCTCGAGCAGTTCGTCCACGTTGCTCGTCTTGCCCACGGGGTGCAACTCGATCCCGCACATTTGGCACACAGTCTGCGTCACGTGGTTCACATACGTGCAGTGGGCGCACGTTTTCACGTCGGTGGAGGCACCATAGCCCGCGACAGTGCTCTCGATGAGCATGTTCTGAGCCTCGGGAGACTTGGCAACGTCATGGGCCACCAGCCCGGCCTGTACAGCCCGTGAGAATCGGTATTCCATCGTGGCGTGAGCAATCTATTCTACCGCGTTGCGCTGGGATGTGTCGGCACCCGCCGACAGCAGTAGCTTTAGCAGCTCGATATTATCTCGCGTCGCCGCTTCATGCAATGCGGTTGTGCCGTCCGAGCGATTTGCATAGTTCACATCAATGTGCTTGTATCGCAGAAGCAGCGTCACGACGTCCACTTGGCCATGCATCGTTGCATACGTGAGCAACGACCATCCGTTCTACATCGTGCAGACATGGGAGCAGTCCATGCCAACTCGAATACCTCGCCAAATGGAGCGTTGATGTCGCTGATCTGTCGTGCGTTGATGCGCCGCTTCACTTCAAACCATTCGCATCGCTCGGCGCACACGGCCACGGGCAGCATGCAAATGCCAAGAAAGTATGTGATGTCGTTGTCCGACGCCAGGTCCAGTGGTTTCTGTCCTTCCTGTGGAATCGAATGAGGCGACAGCATGTCCAGGCAAATACGTGGCTCGAACGCACGTTGTTTGTGATGTGGGGATTGGCTCCTTCGTTCATGAGCATAATTACGATGTCAAGATGGCTGTGCTTGGCGGCTTCGTGGAGGGGGGTGTTGCCATCCTACGTGCCAGCTCCAGCGTCAGTTGGAGTGCGAGAAAGATAAAGATCTACCAGGTTGGCTTTGTTGATATTGATGCCTCGATACCGCAACAAGAGCGACGCGATCTCTACTTGACCCTTCCAGCTGGCGAAACACAGTGCGGTCCATTCGAGCTACTCAGCACATGCAGACCCTGTCAAGTTGCTGCTGGTACTCGAATGCGAAAGCCAATGCCGCGTACCACGCCGGCCGTCGCATTCACGTCGTCCACAGTGCGCATGAGAATATGATTCTTGACGGCATCCCAGTAATCATCCTGCGCGAGCTTGGCGATGTTGTTCCCCATGGAGAGGGCGATACGGTTGTGTTGCGTTTCGGCACCGCGAACAAGCCAGGGATATTTATATTATTGGATTTAAAACGTTTTTCTCGTTTTTATTAAAAATGATATCGAATTTGACAGGGCAGCGGTGTGTTTTTATTCAACATGTTGTTATTATTTCGTCGATGTCTGGGACAGGTGGGAGCGTCCCCGTTCTCGAGAGTCTCCATCCGTCACAATCCCGGCGGCGTACTCACCACGCACGCGCGAGAGGAAGGTCGGTGCAAAGGAGCTATCGTATGCTTCTGGAGTTTCCTTTTGCTACCGGCCAAGCATGTCTATGTGGTTTGCGTAACAAGGATGTCACATCGACAAGGCCGATTCGCAGCCGCGTTCGTTGCAGGCGAACGCTCTGTTCACGCAAACGCTGTTTCGTGGATTTTGCCTAGCTCACGGAGGCTGCAGATTTGAGCAGAGGCTGCCAGTACCTGGTGGCAAAGGGCTCGAGCGGCTCGGTCAAGTGGATGACTCGCTGGGGTCCATGAGAATTTCTAGCTCGTGTGAGACGCTCCGGATCAAGCACTGGGCGTGGAGGGCTCTGCCATGAAGGTTTTGCTGGCCAACACATCGATGCCAGCCTCTCAGAGTTTTGACGAACATGCGTGAGACGACCTGATGGCACGTCGCCGCCGTGGGCTACATTTTCGAGTTTACCACGCACAGTGTCCCCAACAACGAGCCCATCATTCACGTCAAGAGCGTCACTATGTCTCGCTTGGCGCCGCTGGAATGTGCCGCAGGAGTTCGCTTGGTGGGCAGCTCGCGGCGAACGAGTGTCCGCCACCCTTTTCGTTACCATAGTACAACTACCATCATTCTGCTGTGTCGGTTGGGCTCACCTTCCAGATCGAACAAATCCACGTCCAGTAGCCTCCTCAACTAGGACTCTCGTTAGTGGGGAGTTCAGGCGGCAACCTCGTTGTGCGCTGCATGCAGAGGCCACGCTCTTCGCACTTGGCATGGACCATCGTCGACAATATATGGTTTATGTACTTGCGAGACGCACAGATCGCTCGTTTTGTACTCTCTGGACGGACAGAGTGATGGTTGATGTGGGTGCACATGAGGCGGAATGACGGTTTTTGTACTTGGGCAACAGATTGCGTCCTGCGACAGGCGATTCTGATTGGTTGCGAGAGCGGTTACGATGGCGAATATGCGCCATTTTCACTTGGGAACACGCCATGACCAGCCGATCGCGGTCGAACTCCACCGACGCGTCGACGCTGCTCGTGCTAACGCCGTCGTCGCTCAAGCACCAACACGACTTGGAGAAGATCCACTTGAACGCAGATGCAGCTCCCGACGCGCGCCAAGAAACGGTGGCGCTCCTCCAACTTGCATTCCCCATCGTAGAGTCGCCACGATGAGTGCCACGACTGTAATGGCCTGCGTAGATTGCGACGTTGGCGCTTGAATTCCTGCCTGGAGCGTTTTCCGTAGCGATCGTTGGACACATTGACTCGCCACTTTCCAAGGAGTATGTCGATGCGGCAACGTTGTCGACTATGGTGAGTTCAAGAACGACCGTTCGGATCGTATATATCCATTTTGTCTGTGGCTGACGGAGCGTTGCGATTCAGTTTCTCAACATCACGGGGCTCTCGATTGGGTTTGGGCTCTCGACAGCCATGGATACTCTGTGTTCGCAGACTGTTGGCGCGGGCAAACTCTACAACCTCGGCATGTACTTTCAGAGCGGCTTGATCGTGTTGGCGTACGTGTCTCTTTTCGCCCGTCCTTGGTCACGTGGTCGTCTGGACGATGCAGGTCCATGTACATTCCGTCGGTGATCCTGAACTATCACGCCGAATTCTTTCTCCTGGCACTGGGACAAGACCCGGTCGTGGCGGCGCTAGCCGGTATAACATCGTCGTCTTCCATGTCACGCTTACCTGTCTTGTGTCGTAGGCACGTACTCTCGTGTGGCTGTGTGGTGTTTGCCGGGGGTGTTCCTTTACGAGCTATTGAAAAAGATTCTCCAAGCTCAAAACATTGTCAACCCGATGGCGTACATCGCAGTCATCAGCAACGTGGTCTACGGTGCTTTGGGCTATTTCTTGTGCTACCACACTGAGCTTGGTGGATTTTACCTCCATGATGCAGGCCGTCCTCATCTGGCGCGATTGTAGGCTTCCTCGGCGCGGCGTACGCTCGCTCGATCAGTAACACACTGCTCCCGATCTTTGCCGTCGCCTATCTCAAGTGGAACCCGGTCTACAAGCTTTGGTGGCCCGCGGACCACTCCGTGTCGTCTCAGTGGAAGGCGGCGCTGGCCCATGTCCCCGAGTTCTTTGCGCTCGGAATCCCCGGCATGCTCATGATGTTGATGGAATGGTGGGCATTTGAGGTGTGTGCGGTCTTGGCGGGCTGGATGAACGACCCCGTTTTGTCCATCAGTGTGCATTCGGTAAGTTGACAAGATCGCATGTCGGCGTCAATTGTCTCGGTAGGTCCTCATGAGTTTGTCCGCGCAAGCGTACAGCTTATTCCTCGGGCTCAGCATCGCCACAACGGTGCGGCTCGGCAACGCGCTCGGTGCGAACGAGCCACGTCGAGCCCATATGATATCAAGAGTCGCGCTGGCTGTTGCTTTCGTCGCGGGGTTGCTTGTGTCTATCGTGTTTATGATCACGCACGACTACTTGCCTGCCATTTTCATCAGCGACAGGGCCGCGATCAAGTACGAAGATGTCGTCTGACCACCCTCCTAACAAATGCCGTACGTAGGGCTACCCAAAACGCCCTTGCCATCTTTGTTGTGTTCGAACTCGTCGACTGCTTGAGCTGTGCGGCGCAAAGTTTGCTCAAAGGAATGGGGAAGCAGTCCGTGGGTGCGTTGAACTGCCTTGATGATGGTCGCCTCATCCGATGTCGTCCAGGCGCTTGGGTGAATGCCGCAGCGTACTACTTGTTTGGGATCCCGATTGGAGCGCTCCTTGCGTTTCACTTTGGATTTGGTGTCGTGGGCCTCTGGGTCGGGTTGGCGTTCGGTCTCTTTGGCGGGTTCTGCATCTACCTGTGGTTCATTTGCACCGTGAACTGGAAAGCAATGGCGGACGATGCCGCCGTTCGCACGTCCACATAACCTGTCGCGCTGTGCCTTTGCATGTCTTCATTTAAGTCGAGAGAGCAAGTGCGTGCTCATGAAGTGGGTCGACCGGTGGCCCGTCGGTAGGATCTACGATTCGTCAATGCAACCAACCTACGTCACCATTCTCCGTCATGGCGCTGCTTCCTTCACAGCCCCCCGTGGACATTTTATCCACTTCGCGCTCGTACGCACACGTGCCCACCATCATGATCTCGACAAGCGGCCATCACAGCGCGCTATCACTATACACAACACAGTCTCGTACAGACACGCACGGAGCCGCCGGGTTGCTCAGCGCGACCATGTCGCCTCAAACCAGCCGCATGCTGCCACTCAGCAACGTCCCACATGGGCGCGGTTGGATGTCTGGGCAGGTCAAATAGCCAGCAAACTTGTAATCAGAGGCAAGCATGCCACAGCCAGGCGTGAATACATATCGAAGTTCAAATCGAAGTTTCAGCAATTCACACAGGTAGAACATGCTTCTCTCCATTTGTCCACCAATCAACGGATTTGACCCAGCTACAGTACCAAGGTTTTGCGCACTGCAGGCCAGCTTCGAACTTCGGTCACTGTAGGCATGCGTCGTCGTCGCATTGTGGTGTCGGATGCTCTGGCGCGTCGTGGCATGGCTCGGCGTGGCGTGCCTTGTGGGCACGTCCGCGCAGATCAGTGGAAAGAACCAAGTGTACTGCAAGAAGACGCCCAACCGAGGCGATGGGGAATCCTCTGGCATCCTCACGGGCAGCAAGTGCGAGCTGGACCTCCTCCTCGTCGCGTCTGCCGCCGGACTCGGCAAAGACATCAAGTTCTACTTTCAAGTGAACCGCACGGTGCCGTTTGTGCCTGTGCCAGTGTATGACTCGATAAGCGGACGGTCGACTCAACTTGCCGAGATTGAAAGCGGCTCTGTCGGGCTGGTCCCGGTCAACTTCGACATCACCAAGATTGGCCGCATTGATTCGATCACGTTTCAGAACAGCAGCCTCCTCGTCCGCAAGAACTTTTCAGAGTACGGCGTCGAGACGTTGCTCGAGCCGCAGAAGCCTGTCTCGGTCTCGATCCCGGGCACGTACAAAGCCCTCGGATGGTTCCGGGTGACCGACAGTGTCACCAACTCGACCAACGAGTACGTGGCGATTCGCGACGGCGTCGAGATGAAAGAAGTCAAAGCGGTCGAGTTTCGCAGCATGTACGTCGCATGATGCCGTGCTGCTTGTGACCGCATGTGGATGCTGTAGTGTATACGACGAAAAGACAACGTACTGCTGGAGGACGACCAACTCGTCCAAGTTTGATGGCATGACGTACGATGACCAAACGTTCGATTCCTCGTGCCCCATCACGATCGCTGTCGCAAACCCTCGCGTCGCCAACAACCTCGTGCCGTTCAGCCTGGCATGGACCATGAAAATCGTACCCAACTACGTTCAAAACGGTGGCAAAGGCGTGTACGCGCTCGGGTTGTCGGACGAAGCGGCAAACGCGGCATCGATTTTGCATTCGACCGTGCATCTGTGCCACGTTGACGACGACGCGGTGTGCCACATCTTCAGCCCCAAACCGTATGCTCTATCGAGTCCCGACTTGACAGGCGCGTTCGACGCCGGCTGCGCCGACTTTACTGCACCAGGGCTAGAACTTACGAAAGGGCAGTACGTCGGATTCGTCCACGGCGTCGTGGCCAAGGCGGACAGGTCGTTTCTCCACGTCGCCACGTACTTTGGCATTAAAGTCGACGAGAAGCACGCCAAGGCCCCGGACGCGGTTGCCCAAGTCGTCAACAAAACGTATTGCTGGAAAGTATTCGCCCCTGCATCCGCTCGCAACGTGAGCACGTTGTCGGCCCTTGGCGGCTACTCGGTGGACGATTCGTGCCCCATGGCCCTGAAACTCAACCTCTCGACGCAGACCACGACCAACACGTCCCTGGTTGTCCTTCCCCAGGTGACGCTCTCCCCTGTGAAGCCCAGCGTCGTCACGCTGGCCATGCTGCCTGAGGGGTATGCGATTTCGCTAGCAACGCTGACCGTGTGCCGCAGCAACGAGACATGCGGTCCATTCGCACCGCCCCTTCCAGCCTCTGCGCCGTTGGACTACCCGGTGGTGGACGTGAAGGCGGTGTCCCCGACGGCATTTGACCCCGCTACGCTCGTGTTTCGTGAAGCTGGATCGTACAACGTTTTCTTTATCGCGACCGTCGACGTCGGCAAAGGCGTGCGCCTCGACGTGAGTGTGATGTCAACGATTCAAGTCCAAGATGCAGTCGCACCAGTCAACAACACGACGTTGTATATTGCGATTGTGGGGGGTGTCGTCGGATTCCTCGTCCTTGCCGTCATCATTTGGTGCTGCGTCCGTCGCCGACGCAAGGCGCGATGGGACCGCCATCGCCTCCAACGAGGGGCCATGTCATTCAAAGAGAACCAAACGTCGACGAGAGTGCACTCGTCGATCCCGATGGTCAACCAGCGAGGCGGTATCACGGAAGTGCCCCGCCTGTATGACGAGGCCGACGCGGGCGCAAATCCAAAGCTGGACTTGGCCGTGTCGCATTACATGTACAACCAGGACGCCCGGCGAGTCGATGAATATCCTCGCCGTGTCACGTCGCAATACGACCCGCGCTCGAGTCTCGAGTACGACACCCCACCACCACGCGATGAGGGAGTGCACTTGGGCTACGACGACTACCAGCCGCACCATCGCGACCCCCGCCAACCGAACCACCACGATTACCAAGACAAGAGGCGTCGGCATGGAGGGGAGGCCCCTCCCCGCCGGGCAAACTCGGCTCGCCAGCCCGACGATTTCCGCGACCGCCAACTCGTCCTGCGAGACGAGTACCAACCAGACTTGCCGGACCCGACCCACCGGAAATTGGCTCTCAAGGCCCATGCCCACAACGATGTTGGAGATGACGACTACCTCTACGACACCAACATGTCCCCGAGCTCTATCCGCAATAACTACGGCGGGTACGACATGTCTTTTGGTGCAAGCAGTACCGACGACCGAGCGCATTTTCGTTAAGTGAGACAAACGTGATCTGATGCATGAAACCACTCGAATCCAGCCACAGTCAACATTGTGGCGTTAGCCCGTCCATCCGCCAAGCACCTCGCCAACACCCCCGTACTCCCTTCAATAGTCACGTTCTTGCAATGGAGGTGGAATGCATTGACTGTGTGCTGTTTGGGTGGCATGCGCGGCAAAGCTTGGGGGGAAATTGCTGACTGTTCAAGACCAGACGAGCATCCCTTTGCAGTTTACATCTATTCAACCCGAGATCGCATGGGCTAACGTGAAGTGGATCGATTGGCACCCTCCCTGTCCCTCTCACAGGTCCTTACGCGTCCATGCACTTGGACAAATGGCGTGCAGTGGGAATGCGGGGGAGGTCTAAGGCATCGGAAGTCGATGTTCGACGTATCGAGCAGACAACTACCGGCAGTGAGGGGGAGCGCGAAGGTTTCTGTATTTGAATCCTTTCGAGATGGAGAAGGGGCTCGAGTCATTTTTTACATAGCGACCGCGATGCGAAGCAACTACACGGGATTCGTAGTAGTCACCCAGGACAAATGAAGGGTGCGTACGAGATGGTGCAGACCAAGGGCATGCATATCGTCAACGTTTTGCTGGTCTTTGACTTGGGGAACTCAGGGTGTTGTGTTTGCTGAAGCTTGACTTTTGGTTCTACGTGATGCGTTCGTTCGAGAACTTGTCGTGTGGGGAGAAATGCACGCAGGGAGTGCCTAGTTCGACGGCAGTCCAGTGAGTCTTTATTTGCACGCACTTGCTTTCTGCGCCGGTGCAGTACAACAAATGATGTTTCCAATCGGAGCGCATGGTCCGTCCGTCGAAAGGCAGTCCCTAGGACTTGTTCATCGGGTTCTTTTTCTCTCGACTCGGGAGCCAGAGAGATGTCGACTTCGACGTACGCGCCGTGCCTGGTCTTGAAGTGCTGTGAGTTGTTGCCTGTCGCGGAGCCCATGAAAGTCGTCCGGAACGACCGCACGAAGGCCAAGGTCAAGCGCTTACCGTGTCCCGTGAGCGAGTTCGTGGCCTCGGTGATGCTTTTCCGAGACGAACGCGTCGATTTGTCGGGGATGCATTCGATCAGCTACACGCAAAGTTAGACCATTTCGAGATGAGACGACTGATATGACTACAAGTGCTGCATTTATCGTTGACGACTCCCTCGGCGAGGACGACGCGCCTTAGTGATACATCAAAGGAAACCTGCTAAGTTTGGCACACACATCTCCGAAGCTTTAAAAGCTGGACTTCATCAGCGATGGGAAGTTGGCCAAGGGGTTGATGGCAGCACAATTCTTAAGGTACTGTGAACCGGGGGTAGCAGCGAGGCGGCGCCAGCCCCACGAGAGGGGTGCTCGCCAATGTGCATCACCCCAACGTTCGACTGGCGCTATGTGCGCATCGTGTCGAGAGTTCGCACTGTCGGCGGTGTGGAGGATTGCAAGAAGGCAAGTGTATCATTGGATGATAAATTCGTTATTTATGACCAATCCAATTGCAGATAGCTTCAGTTTGGAATTTGCGTGCCAGCCCACCAAGGGACAGCACGCACACGTGCTGTCGTGTAAGGGGCTGTGGGGCCTTCGCTCGTCCTGTGCCTTCGTCTGGATGTCAGGTACAATGAGCATTGGAGCGCGAGTCATGAAGCTTGTGACATCACACCCGTGGAGGGCCAAGCTAACACCGAGAAGTGAAACTCTGCGTGTGGAGCCTCCATGGCCATGCACGCATTTCAAAAGAGTCAACACACGCACAATGAAGGGCCCATCGCAAATAGGTGGAACGTGCTCGCCTTCCGCCTGACAGACTGCGGCATGGAGGATCCATAAGACGGTGAATGCGTTGGGAAGGGTCGTGTGGTTTCGAGCCATCTTCGGATGGAAGATGATTACCATGTTCTACCAGGAGCCCTTCGTCCAGACTTGGCGCTATCGAGACAAGTGGGAAACCCACAAGTGATCGCAAGGAGTAAGACGGACGATTGCAGGACCTCCTATTTTAGATCGCAACGGCCAGCAACACGTGAACGTTTCAAAGTCGACCAAAGGTTGAGCTGGCAAGATGGGGCACGCAAAGAAGGCAGCCCCTGTCACAGTGCTGCAGTCGCCGGACGTGACGTACTCCATCAGTTCCCACCACCGCAGCAACACGACCCAACGACCAAAGATCGAGCACAAGCACCGGAAACAACCTTGCGACTCTGTCGCCCCAACGACACACCAATCGCTTCGACGGTCACACCTGAGCAAAGAGACCGATCCAGCATCAAATTGGCCGAAGGAAGCCTCGAGACCAAGTGCAGCATCGTCCCAGGACAGTCCACATAGCACTACTTACGTGGAGAAGCAACCTTCGACGCGGCCAGGAAGTGTACGTTCACCAGTTGTGATGGCGAAAACAAAATGCCGACAACCAGGTGCGATGCTAGAGTTTGGAGCGTTCGAACCGCAAGTCAAATGCGTGGGTTGTCGACAAGCAAGACGTTGCTGTACGTGCCATGTGGAGGGGCTGCACTGACTGTGGACACAGAAGCCTCGTGTGCGAGTGGACCCAAAGCCACGGCTGGACCGGAGCCCATCGCCGCCAAAGGGTCGAATCGCCGACGAGTCGCCGACCAAACCTTCCCCGTGGTGGAGCAAGTCAAACCCGCCGTCTCCACAGTCCTGCCAAGTGTCCAAGATCGGCAAGCGGCTGCAGAAGGCGCGCAGTTTGATCGTGGATTCTGAAAATGTTGTCGAAGACATTGAGCGTTGGAGCGGCGCCAAGTGGGACAAAGAGAAGGGATTCGTCAAGGCACCGCCCCCGCAACAACTTCAGTGCGTGTGCAATGGATGCTCCCGGTCGCGTAGATGGCACGCTCAAGTCCAGTCGCTGTGTGTAGATCTCAAGTATCGCCCCGGCGTCGTGGCGGACCAGAGTTCGTTTGCCAGGAGCATACAAGTGCCAGTCGAAGGGCGAAGCAACATGGAGCCAGGCTGGTTGGGACAAGGCATCAGCGAGCCACCAACTGCAAAATTCACGAGTCGATGCCCCCACCACACACGCCATGGGTCTAACTTGAAACTGCGACTCTGTGGTCGCCTATCTCGCACACGCAAGTCTTGGCTCTCGATGGCTAACGTGCTGCACAATTCATGGGGCGCGCCCACGGAGGTTCAGCCCACCGCTCGGGCATGTGGGTGTGCGATTTCCGTACTTCAGTGTTTCTGTAGATATCATTGGGACGCCTGGCGACTGTGATGGTGAACTGCGTTCGAACGCACATCGCCTTCACAACGCATCATCGCAGCACAGCTCCAGAGCCAGCCACGTATGCTGGTGCGGGAAAGGGCTGGCTGGCCGTGCATGATACCGCATGCGCCATGCGTGACGGCGGCGTGGTCGCCAGGAACGTACCACTGCGACATATATCTCGTCCAGCACTCTCAGCAACCCTCAACGCCAGATTAAAATTATCCGTATTCCAAATACGTTGAAACCCTAGAAATTTCATTTTTCCGGAGACATCCTGCATCTTCGATTGACTCTCACGTCGAGACACGTCGAATCGACGCATCAAGTCTCGAGAAGAGTCGCAGCGCACACTCTCATAAGTACTCTCGCCTCCATCGCGTAGAATTTCCCGTAAACTCTCCGCTGCACTCTCTGTCGAGCGTATGCGAAGTTCGAAGAACTTGCCGAAGTACTCATTATGTGACCAGATCTTGCGACGAGATCTCCGCCACGTGAATTTTTTTATTCCTGTTACAAAACGCAAGTGAAAAGGCGGGTAGGGAAAATAATTTCATCGGTACTCACCAGTCAGGGTTGCGCGCTGCGATTGGGCGATTACGTGGAAGCTGTTTCTGCCGTGTCGGACGGTTCAACCACAACGCGATTTGATCCGTGTGTGCGGCTGCGAGATGTCGCGGCTGAGTGCAACCGACGCCGCGCTCCATGCAGCAGCGACGTCCCTTGGAGACGCATCGCTGCTACTGTGGCTCATGGTCCCGTCGATTACGTCGATTGTCGTGGTCGCTGCGTTTGTGATCCACCACATTCGCCATCACGACGGGGTGAAAGCCCGCAAGGGTGCAACAACGGAGACCACGTCGATACATGCAGCGACGACAACACCAACCCACCATAGCGATTCCTTTGGGCATGGATTGACCCTTCGCGACGTGTCGAATCCTGAAGCGACCATCGACTTCAACTCGAAGCTCCCCATCCCGATCAACTCGGCCCTGTTCCAAGGATTTGCATATGTGTTGCTCCGACGACCAGACGGCGACCCGCATTGGGACCCTCACTTTGAGGGCAAACAGCGAACTGTCTGGATCATGGTGCAGGGGTCTTTTAAGCGAGCTCCTCTTGGAACGATCTACGTCGCAGGCGAGCTTCCTCGCACGATGGCTCTGACGTTTTGGAGCAAGGCGCTCGTGACCATGATTGTGGCGACGATCAAGTCGTTGCTTGGTGGCATCATTCATTTTTCGTTTGGTGACAAAGACGAGTTGCCTCACTTGGCGCTTCCGTTGTACCAGAGCGCCGACACAGTCATTGCGACACCTCTCGACGAAGTGCCGCCCAAATTGGGAGCGTCCAACTGGGTCGAAGATCCTGCGAAAAGGGCCGAACGCAAGCGAACACCAGTGGGCGCCGAGACCTTTCGTACCGACGTGGTGTATTCATTCCAGTTCCACACGATGCACGTCGATTTGGCCCATTGGAGTCTCGTGAACCTCCCAGGCCTCCAGAACGTCAGCTTGACGTCTCTGATGGGCGACATGTCGTTGCGGCTTGGCGTGTACGAGCACACGGACCCAGTGTCCCCCGCCGAAGATTCTGCGCACATCACCAAGGAGTACTGTTTCTCGTTTGACATTTCGTCGAGCTTGGCAGCGCCATCGACGAGTGCCGCCTCGTCCACAGACAAGCTGGAGACGTCAATTCCGTCCGCCACCGCCGTCGAGTTTGAGATGTGGATGTGGCTGGAAACATTTGACCCATCAACAGAACGTCGACCGGTCTCGTACCTTTTCCGCGTTTTGCAGCCAGACGGAACCCCGAAAACCGTCCTGGTCTCGTCCGCAAACATTATCGCCATCCTTTCGTCTTGCTCGGACAAGTCTGTCCGCCTCTTGACTCGCGCCCGCCTGGACCACTACCTTGCCATTGACGATCAAGTCGTGGACATCAACCGACGATTGCACTCGGTGGCCGCCATGTCGCAGTCGTCTGCGGCGTACGCTCTGCTAAAAAACGTGTTGACGCCCCCGTCGTCGCCTGACTCCCCAACGGCGTTGCTGCCGCATGGCCAATCCCCAAAGGACCTGGGCGTGCATGTATGGCGGTGGGATCTGAACGTGTGTATGGAAGGCAGCTGCTACCGAATCGTGAGCGACGTGTGTTTGCGGCAAGAGTATATCGTGCTTACATCGGCGTCGCTGCTGGTGTATCGCACATACGCGTCGCAGCCGGCGGTCAAGATATCGGTGAACAACATAACGAACGTCACGACGCTATTCGTGCATGATCTGCATGTTGTGGCGATTTACACGTGGACGGAAGTGATGTACTTTCATGTGAGCGACCCTGCGGCGTGGCAGGCGGCGCTGGTCGCCGCGACCGACCGCCCGGCGTTGCAAGCCATCACGTCACCAAGCAATCACAAAGTCAACTTGTCCCAGTGGAGTCCGTTCAATGTGGTCACGTTCGAGGGCCAACTCGTTCTGAACCACCGAAAAATCGCCTTCGACGATGGCGACGACTGTCCGACTCTTCAACTGGACGATGCTGTCACGAAATCGGCCGAATGTGTGCAAATGGCGGTGATGGCGAGCACATCTCGCCAACACCGCGCCAAGTTGCAACGAATGGTCCATGCGCTCCGTCAGGTCGACCTGGCTACCTTGTCCACGTCCGACATGAAGCTCGTTTTTCTCCTGAACGTGTACCAGGCACTTCTCGTCCACGCATCGATGGCCCTTCCATTCAGTACAACTGTGACCATGCACCAATGCGCGTACGAAGTCGGCAAGCAAAAACTTGTGCTGTCCCTGGCCGAGATGGAGCACGTCCTGATGCGTGCGGCGGCGCCGCAGTTGACGGATTTGCCATACTTGGACTTCGTCCCCGAGGCGGCGGCGTATCCAACCTCGTTTTCCATCTTGACGTTGCCTTCGCGAGACTTTCGCGTGAGTCTTGCCCTTCATGCTCATCGCTCCGACAAGCGCATTGTTGAGTATTCCGTCGACGGCGTCCACTGTCAACTCAACCATGTCGTGGGAACCTTTCTTGGTCAACACGTGCGCGTAAAATCCAGTGGCGCTGTGACGTTACCCCTGGTGTGCCAGTGGTTCCAATCAGACTTTGGCGACCACATCCTCCGCAAGACCATGGGGCTGCTCGCTCCTGACACGTTTGCAAAGGTACAGGACGCCCTAGACCATCCCAAGTTTTCCGTCCAATTCCGAGACAACCGCGCTGACCGAGTGTCGTCCCAGTGGGCGTTGGTGTCCACGGCGGCGCTGACCGCACAAGCTATCGCTGCGTAATTATTTATACAAGACTATTTGTTCCCCAAGGACTTTTGGCCCTTGGACGCTCGACTATTTGGCCTCATGTGCACACTCCATGTGCCGGAGCCTTGTTTGTGCTCATGACACGACCAAAGTAGATGTGAGCAATAGTTCGCTCCCCAGTCCATGACCAAGCGTATACACTGCATCCTTCGCGCCATTCCTTCACGATATGGCCACAAGCACTCTGAAGTAGCGCACACCACCCACATGAACGGAAGTCGACAGGGAAGAGTACTGGTGGCGGAACACTGCACTCAACCGTGTCGAGTCAGCGAAAAGCGTCGCCATCGCCATCCTGAATGTGCCATGAACAGTGTGTCATGGAAAGCGTCAAAGCAGCAGAATCCCCTACTGTTGTCACTCATGCGACTAGGTAGGTTCCAAGGGGCGACACGTGGTGTTCGGTGGTGTGGTTCCGAGCGTGGGGCAGCCGCACTACCACAAATTTGCGCCTGACTGACGCGTGTGCTCTCGAACGCCACAGAACTGCCATGGCTTGCCAGGAATTTTGTCGATTGTGCGTGATCTTGAGTTCGATGAGGTATACATCGCCGAGCGCGAGTACTCACCGCAATCATGGGAAGGGGCACGGTTGTTTCAAACGTGTTTGAAACAAAATGGACCTGGTTGTGGTGTTGAGATTGGACTACTATACTCATATGCATACTACCGACCGCACGACGACAAAACTCAGGTGTTTAAAACAAACTGTCCAATCCCACTGTCGATTCTACACATTTGAATTTTAACCAATCACCGAGGAGTCCTTCCAAAGCTTGAACCTGAGAGGCTACGTGGAGGAGGGATGACTTTGCCTTACGACGATACAGTCAATATTATGCGCAACGCTCGAGACACACGACACCACTACCAGGCAACTGGTGCTGCAGAGAACGGCATCTAACGCTATCGATTGGTGCTGTGAACAGAATTACGTAAGGCGAAGTGTGGTGCCAAAGCCATAGACAGAGCTTGCCTTGCCTGCATCACACTGGGCCTGGCTTGAGGCCTATTGCGGGGCGTTTGATGGAGCTGTTGAAGGCGTGGCCCCATTATTTTTTTGCATTCTAGGCGTGGTGGGGGTGGCAATAGCGAGCATTGGCTACGTGTAAGTCGCGCGGCCCGTCCGGTTTGACGGGTGGCAGCTCAATCGCGAAACACCGCATGGCCGGGCGTTCCCCCGCAATCGCGACCATGTCTTTTTCCGCTCTGCCATCCAATGGCACCTGTCGGTGTCGTTAACGAAGGGATTTGATTGGTGGAGAAGGGATGCAGCCACATGATTGGCTCCCTCGCTTTGAAGTCATCGGCGCCCTCCGATGACAATGAGATGTATGGTTAAACAACCTACCCCTCGTGCGCATTGGGTAATCAAGTCACTTCGCGCGCGAAAGATCCTCTGACAATCGATATTTTCCGGTAAAACATCCGATAAATGTGTTTATAATAGTCATTATTGCATGGTCAACTTGTATGTTTGGATACCTTGTTGAATTCAATCAGACAACACTCGTTTAGCATTATCAAAAGACACAAGTCTCTCCGTGGAAACGCCCTGGTTTCTGGCCTCATCACGTATGGCGGTCATTCCCCAATTGGACGGCCTGAGCGCAACACCCCTGACCACGGTGCTTCCCCGCTAGACCTCTCTGCCCGTCTCCATTCCTTGCTCCAGCATCATGTCTGCATCAGTACCTTCCACCCCCGCTGCCGGCGTGCCTGAGGTTGCGACGGTCCCGGCCATCGTCGCGGACACCGCCACCGGATTCGCCGTCACATTTGGCGGACAAGCGAACGAATACATCGCAGAATTGACCACTCTCGTTGAAAAGTTCCCTACTGTCCGTGCGTTTGTCGAAGCCGCCCAGTCTGCGCTCGTCGAAGAAGCGAAAGCGTTCTCCGACATCACGATCCAGCCTTTCTTGTGGACACAGGACACGTCGACTCGTCCGTCCAAGGATGCGTTGTCCGCGGCATCGTTGAGTTACCCGCTCATCTTCTTGACGCAATTCGCCAACTACCTTGCCTTCCTCGAATCGGCCCACTTGACGCACGAAGCATTCGTACCCAAGCTCCGCGCCGGCTCTGGACACAGCCAAGGTGTCGTTGCGGCCGTCCTCCTCTCTGCCGCGAAAACCTCGGAAGATTTGCACTCGCTCGGTCTGAAGTTCGTTCGGTACATGTTCTTGCACGGCGTGCGTGCCCAAGCTATCTTCGGCACGGTGTCCAAGTCAGGTGACATCTCGCCAATGTTGCTTGTCCGCGGTTTGCCGGAAGCAGCCTTGCGCAAAGCTGTAGATGGCGTCAACTCCAAGCTCAAGCTCAAGGACGCACGCGCTCTGCAGCTTTCGCTGTTCAACGACACCACGGCGATCGTTGTCACGGGTCTGCCGGACGTGCTTGTCTTGCTCAAGACAACCCTCGAAAAGATCAGCGCAAAGCCCGACGAATCCCAGGGCCGCATTCCATTCTCGCAGCGCAAGCCGGTCATCTCGTTCGTGCCTCTCGCTGTGTCCGTCGCGTTCCACAACACGACGCTCGTACCTGCTCAATCCGCAATCGAAGCGGACTTGACTCGATTGGACTTGACCATTCCTGGTAGCGCCTTGCAGTTCGCCGTCATCGGCACCAATCAACACGCCGTCAACCTCCAAACGTACGGCGCCAAGAACGTGATGCCTGACGTTGTCCAGATGCAACTGAGCGACATCGTCAACTGGCCAGCCACGACTGCCGCGATCCAAAAGGTCGGACGCGTCACCCACGTGTTGGACTTTGGTCCTGCCCGAGGCGCAGCAACGTTGACACTCAAGCAAGTCGAAGGGTACGGCATTACGACAGTCGTCCCGACGATTTTGCACAAGGCGTCCGAAACTCTCCCTGGCTTGGACTACATTCTGACGACGTCGTCGAATTTTGTTGCGCAGTCCTGGGAAGCTTTGTACGGCCCCACGTTGACCAAGACTGTGGACGGCGCGACCGTGCTCCACAACAAGTACACGGCTCGCTTTGGCCGGCAACCGGTGTGGGTCGGTGGCATGACCCCAACGACGAGTTACTACGGCGTTCCGTTGGTTGCTGCGATCACCGAAAGCGGCTACATTGGCGAACTCGCGTGCGGAGGTCTGCCCCGCCCGGCCATTTTTGAATCCAAGGTGGCCGACCTCCTTAGCCGCCTGTCGCCTGGTAACGGCATTTACCTGAACTTGCTGTACTTGAACGCCAAACAATGGGCGTTCCAGTTCCCCATGATCAAGAAGATGCGTCAAGACGGCATCCCCATCGAAGGGGTGACCGTTGCCGCTGGGATCCCGACACCGGACAAGGCGGACCAAGTGTTCAAAGAACTCCTCTCGGTCAACATCAACGTGATCAGCTTCAAGCCGAGCTCGATCAGCTCCATCCACGACGTGCTGAACATCGCCAAGAAACACCCCACGGCGACGGTCGTCATTCAGTGGACTGGGGGCCGCGCCGGTGGTCACCACAGCAGCGAAGACTTCCACACACCGCTCTTGGCTACGTACGCCGCAGTCCGCCGCTCGCCCAACGTGATTCTCATTGTCGGATCTGGTTTCGGTTCGGCGGAGCAGTCGTACCCGTACATTACGGGGGAATGGAGCTTGGCGTTTGGAGAACCCAAGATGCCTGTCGACGGTATCCTTGTTGCATCCCGCGTCATGGTGGCGAAAGAAGCCGCGACCGCCGACGCCGTCAAGTCGCTCTTGGTGGAGACCCCTGGCATCCCGGACGAATCGACGTGGGAGTTGAGTTACGAGTCGTCCGCCGGTGGCGTCATCACGCTGAAGTCCGAGCTCGGCGAAGCCATCCACAAGATTGAAAACCGTGGCTCATTGTGCTGGCGCGACTTTGACCGCAAGTACTTTGCGTTGCCGATGAAGGACCAAGAAGCAGCGATCTTGTCCGACAAGGACGCCATCATTGCCCGCGTCAATGCCGACTTCCAAAAGCCGTACTTCGGCCGCACCGTGAGCGGCAAAGTGGTTGACGTCGAGCAAATGACCTACCTCGATGTTATTTCGCGCCTCGTGTCCCTCATGTACGTCACGTCGAGCAAGCGATGGATCGACGCGACGTTCATGAGCCGCGTGTTTGCCTTCTTGCAACGTACGGAGCAGCGCTTCCTGACCAAGGCCACGACCACGTCCAAGTTGGTGGTGCAAAAGGCCAGCCAACTCAAGACCGACCCTTGGGCACTTGTCCAAACTTTCACTGCCGCGTACCCGAGCATCGCGACGGCCCTTTTGAACGTCGAAGACGTCGACTTCTTCTACCACTCGTGCAAGTTTGGCGGGAAGCCCGTGAACTTTATTCCGATCATCGACAAGGAGCTGATCACGTGGTTCAAAAAGGATTCGCTGTGGTACTCAGAAGACCTGGAAGCTGTGCCGGACCAAGATGCTGGCCGTGTCATGATTTTGCAGGGTCCTTTGGCTGTGTACCACATCAAGACCAAGAATGAACCTGTCGGTGACATTCTCAAGGGTATCAGTGACGGCGTGGTCAAGACTATGGTAGCCAAGACGTTCCCGCAGCACTCGCGTTCTGTCTCCGCCGTCGCCATTGATGGCTGGACGCGGGCTGTTGCTACCAACAACCGCATCGTTCTGTCCAAGTCGATTGTCGACGCTGGTGCCGACGGATGGATGGCTGAGCTGGCGTCAGTTGTCACGCCAAACAACTGGCTCCACGACCTCCTCACCATGGACCACCACGTGTCTGGGCGCCAATGGGTCGCCAACGGGACGCCACAAGTCTTGTCTCCTCGCACTGGCCAAACGTTTCAAGTCGAATTCAACGGCACGACTCCCATCGCCCTGCGCGTGATCCACGCTGCAGTCGTCCCGACCGCGCCCGTTGTGGAAATTACGAAGTCCGTCGACAACGTGATCACGATGCGCCTCAACATTGTGCGTCCCGCCACGCGCGAATGGCCGTCCGAAGTCGTTGCCCTCGACCGCGTGTTCCACTACAAGCCAGCTTTGTCATGGTCGCCCATTCACATCGACGACGCAGTGTCGGAGCACAACGTTAAGGCGTTTTACGCTCAGCACTGGATCGCCACGACCGTAGCTTCCTCGCAACCTGCCCTGGAAAGCAGCGTACAAGCCACGCACACCGCTACGTTCGTTGTTACGGCCGAAGACATCGACGAGTACAACAAGTCGTTGGGACTGGTCGGCCGCACGACTGCGCCAGTGGACTTCAGTACCGTCGCGGGCTGGAAGCCGCTGATCACACCTGTGTTTGCCAAGGAAATCTCGGGCGACTTGCTGCGTTTGGTGCACTTGAGCCACTCGTACACGTTGCTTGACCCGACCGACGACGGGTCGTTTGCCGCTGGCGACAAGGTCGTCTCGACTGGCTTTGTCACGGCCATGCGCAACACCGCGTCCGGCAAGTTGGTGCAAGGCGTGATTGTCGTTGCCAAGAACGGCGTCGACGTTGTCCGCGTACAAAGTGAGTTCTTGATCCGTGGGACGTTCACCGACCACCACCACACGTTTGAAAAGAAAGAAACGACCCACGTCGTCCACTTGGCCGACAAGGCCGCGGTGACCATTTTGGGGGACAAGTCGTGGTTCAAGTCGACTTCGGGCGCGTTGCTGCGTGCAGGTGCCTCGTACAAATTTGTCCTCAAGTCGTCGTACGTGTATGCCGATGGCCATTCGTCGTTGAGCTCGTTCGACGTCCAAGGTTCGGTCTATGGTGGCGCCAACTTTGACCAAGTTGTCGGTGCGGTGTCCATCAAAGAGTCTGGTGTTGCCAAGGACCCCGTCGCGTCGTACCTGGAGCGCGTGGCCCCGGCCACGGACGCTGGCAAGGCGGCGACTCCATGCAACTTATTGGAAACCCCCATCACGATTTCGATCCCCGACTTTGCTGGCGACTACGCTCGTGCGTCGCGCGACTTGAACCCAATCCATCGCTGCGCGTACTCGGCCGCGTTCGCCAACCTTCCCAATGGCCAACCCATCATGCACGGCATGTGGACAGCGACCAAAGTCCGCAACCTTGTCATGGACGTCATGGCCGACCAATTTCAAGTTTCCCACTTACAATCGTACCACGCCGATTTCAAGGGCATGGTATACAACAGCGAGTCGCTTTACCTCCAAGTGACCCAATCTGGTGTGTCGGACGGGCTCATCTTGCTCAGCGTAAACGTGGCCAACAGCCGTGGCGAAAGCGTCTTTGGCGCCAAGGCCAAGGTGGTCATGCCCAAGACCGCGTTCGTCTTCACCGGTCAGGGGTCTGCTCAAGTCGGTATGGGCATGGACTTGTACGCGTCTTCCCCAGTTGTGCGCAAGATCTGGGACGACGGTGATCAGCACTTGCTGGAAAAGTTTGGGTTCTCCATCTTGGACATTGTCCGCAAGAACCCGGACTCGCTCACCATTTACTTTGGTGGCAAGCGCGGCATGGCCATCCGTGAAAACTACATGGCGCTGCGATGCCAAAAGCCCGACGCGGCCGCCCCCAACGGCACCAAGACCGTACCTCTTTTCCCTGAAATTACCCCCACGACCCAAAGCTTCACGTTCAGCGCCCCCACTGGTCTCCTCTTTGCGACGCAGTTTAGCCAACCGGCGTTGGTGCTCATGGAAAAGGCGCTGTTCAACGAAGCCAAATCCCGCGGCGTTGTCCCGTCCGACTGCTACTTTGCCGGCCATTCGCTCGGCGAGTATGCCGCACTCAGTTCGTTCGCCGAAATCTTGGCGACCCCGGACCTCGCCGAAGTCGTGTTCCTACGCGGGATGGTGATGCAAAATGCTGTCGAGCGCGACGTGAACGGCTTGTCGGACTACGGCATGGTCGCTGCCAACCCTGCCCGTGTCGGGTCCAAGTTGTTCGACGAGTTGACGCTTTTCAAACTCCTCGACTTGATCGAAGAACAGTCAGGCCAGCTGTGCCAAGTCGTGAATTTCAACGTTCAAGACTCCCAATACGTTGTGGCCGGCGAACTGGTCAATTTGGAAGTGTTGTCGCGAATCATGACGACGCTCCGTGAACAGCCGACGTCGCTGGAAACGGTGGGGCTGGAATCGCTTGTCCAGGAATCGTTGGTCCTCGTGCGCTCCCAAAAGGAAGCGCTTGTCAGCAAGGGCAAGACGTTCGGTCTCAAACGTGGCACGTCGACGATTCCGTTGGTCGGGATCGACGTCCCGTTCCATTCGCGCAAGTTGCTCAGTGGCGTGCCTGCCTTCCGCGAGCTCATGCGTCCCATGCTGAAAAAAGACGTTTTGTTCGGGAACAAGGCGCTCCTCGAAAGCCATTACATCCCCAACTTGATTGCCAAACCGTTCAGCTGTACCAAGGAGTACGTCCAAGAGATCGTGGACCTCACTGGCAGCCCTAGCTTGACGCCGATCCTGGCCAACTGGGACACGACCCCGCCGGATGAACTCGTGTGGACTTTGGTGATTGAGCTTCTGGCGTACCAGTTCGCGTCGCCCGTGCAGTGGATCAAGACTCAAGCGTACCTTTTCAACAGTGGCCTGCGCCGTTTCGTTGAAATTGGGCCTTCCGCCACCTTGACCGGCATGGCCACCCGCACGTTGCAAAGCGGCCGATTCCCTCGCACCAAGTGCGACATCTTGTTTATCACGAAGGACCGCGACACGATTTATTACGACAATGAGTCGGACCATCCGTCTGCTGTGGACTACGCCCACGCCCAAGCGGCCGCTGTGTCCCATCCTGAAGCTTCGGAGAACCAAGCCGAAGAGGAAGCTGCTCCAGCTGCCCCTGTCGTGGCGGCGCCTGCACCGGTGGTAGCTGCCCCCGTAGTGGTAGCCGCTCCTGCCCCTGTGGCCAGCGCACCTGCTGCCGCCGTCACCGACGAGCCTGTGAGCGCTAACCATGTGCTTCGTGTGTTCCTTGCCCATCGTTTCAAAAAGCAATTGGCCGAAATCGACGACAACGCGACGATCCAAGGTCTGGCCGCTGGCAAGTCCGCCGCTCAGAATGAAGTTGTGGGCGAATTGGAGAAGGAGTTCGGTGGTGGCGTCGACCGCGTACCTGAATTGCCGCTCTCGGTCTTGGCGTCGTCGTTCAAGTCGTACAAGGGCTTTGGGCCAGTCTTTGGCACACTCACGACCGACTTTGTCCGCAAGCAATTGCCTGGTGGGTTCAACATCAACCAAGTCAAGACCTATTTGTCGACAGAATTTGGTTTGGGCGCTGGCCGCGTGGACAGTGTGCTCATGCATGCCCTCCTTTTCCCTCCTGCCTCCCGGCATGCCAACGAAGGCGTGGCCAAGTCGTGGTTGGATACTGTCGTGGCCGATTACGCCAAGTTTGCCGGTGTCTCCATCTCGAAGGGCGGCGCTGCCCAAGGAGGTGGCGGTGGCGCCATGATGATGATGCCGTCGTTCAGCGCCGCGGCTGCCGTTGAACCCGTGCCTGACGCAGACATCACTGCCGCGTATGGTCTCAAGGCGTTCTTGGCCCACAAGTTCAAGAAGAAGTTCGCTGACGTTACCGACGCTGTCAGTGTCCACGACTTGGCCGCAGGCAAGTCGGCTGTCCAAAACGAAGTCGTGGGCGAGCTCGAAGCCGAGTTCGGCGGTGGTGTCGATGGTGTCGCCGAAACCAAGATCGGCGACCTCGCGCCCAAGTTTGCCGGGTACACTAAGCCTGGCAAGTACTTTACGTCGACGGTAGCCAAGATGCTCAGCGCCAAGCTTCCTGGTGGTTTCTCCGCTTCGCAATTGCGTGCCTACATGGCGCAAGAGCGAGTGCTGGGACCCAAGCGCATCGAAATCGCCTTGATCCACTCGTTAATCAACATGCCTGAAGCCCGTTTTGCGACGGAAGCTGACGCCAAGACTTGGATCAACTCTGTGGTGGACGAGTATGGTTCGATTGCTGGTGTCACGATTCCGTACGCGTCCAAGGCCGGCCCTGCGGTGGGCGGCGGCATGGCCATGATGGGTGGCGGCGGCGGCGGCGTGTCGTCTGCAGCGCTTGACGGCCTCCGCAACGAAATGATCACGATGCTCCGTGATCAAGTCACGGCGTACCAAGCGTTCATGAAGTTCGACCCGTTGGACGCACTCAAGAAGACCAACTCGGACGAAGCACTGCGCCGCGACTTGGAAAAACAAGTCGACTTGTGGGTTACCGAACATGGCGAGTACTACGAAAAGGGCATTCAAGCCAAGTTCGACGCCAACAAGATCCGCATCTACGACAGTTCGTGGAACTGGGTCATGCAAGACGCGTTGGACTTTTACTACAAGACGCTGGCCAACACGATCCCGTCCAAGAAGAGCCATGGCGCGGGCTTCGACCGCGACGCGCACTTGGCGGAAATGTCCGCATTCCTCAACGCGGACGCGTCGCAACTCACCAAGATGGGCGAGCCCCAAGGCTGGTTCAAGCCGTTCTTGTGCAACCGCGCAACGCCCGAGCTCTTGGCTGCGACCGAGTTCTTCTTGTCGCGCCAGCAGGCCAACGGCAACTTGGAGTACGCCCAAGCCATTCAACTTTTGAACGAAGAAGTCGAAAAATGGATGGACCGCGACCCCGTCCACATGCAATTGCTCCAACCGTTCCGTCCGGAGGTCACTGTCGAAGCCAACGGGAACATCGTGTACAAGGAAGTGCCTCGCGGTGCGACGTCCGTCGACTACGTCGATGAACTGTCGCGAGGATTTGCCTACCGCACCGACGACCACAAAATCGCGTCCCCCAAGAGCGCGCACTCGTCGGTCGCGTTGGTGCGAGGCATGGAAACCGCCGAGCTCGACGATGGCCACGAGAGTGACGTGAACAGCGTGAGCAGCGAACCAGCGTTCAATAAACGCATCGCTGCCAAACGCAGCACGCGTGTCCATGGCTCCAAGTTGTGGGGCTTGAAGGCGGTCACCCGCCGCCTGAAGCGCGCCAAAGCTGCCAATGCGACGCAGCATGTGCTGCCGTATGTCCACATTCGCAAGGCGGACCATGTCGACCCGACCAACCGCGTGGTGGACGAGCACTTGACCAAGGACTTTTTGCTCAGCATGCACGAAATCGCGACGTCTGGGGTGTCGTTCGTCGGCAAGAACGCGCTCGTGACTGGTTGCGGCCGCGACTCGATCGCGAGCGAAGTCGTCAAGGCGTTGTTGGAAGGCGGGGCTACCGTCATTTGCACGACGAGCAGCTTCTCGTCCAAGTCGACCAAGTTCTTCCGCAACGTGTACGAGAACCACGGGTCCCGCGGGTCCAAGTTGATCTTGCTGCCGTTCAACCAAGCCTCGTCCAAGGACTGCGGGTCGTTGGTCGCGCACATCTACGAGCAGCTCAAGTTGGATCTGGACTTTGTCATTCCTTTCGGTGCGATTTCCGTTGTGGGCCCAACCCTTGCCGACATTGATTCCAAGTCCGAGTTGGCCCACCGCATCATGTTGACCAACACGTACCGCATCCTCGGCAAGATCATCGACTACAAGCGCGCCCAAAACATCCGCACGCGCCCTTGTTTGGCCATGCTCCCCCTGTCCCCCAACCACGGGACCATGGGTGGCGATGGGCTGTACGCTGAAGCCAAGCTTGGTTTGGAAGCGTTGATGAACAAGTGGCATTCGGAAGGATGGGAGGACTACATCAGCGTCGGTGGCGCCGTCATTGGGTGGACCCGCGGCACCGGATTGATGGCTGGAAACAACTTTGTGTCTGCCGGCATCGAGCAACTGGGCGTTCGCACGTTCAGCCAAATCGAAATGGCATTCAACTTGACGTCGATCTTGCATCCCCGCATGGTCGCAGCGGCGGCCAAGGCCCCGTTGTGGGTCGACTTGGGTGGCGGCATGGCACAATTGCACGACTTGAAGGTCCAAACGGACAAGATTCGCGCGTCGATTATGGAGGAATCCAAGATCCGCCGGGCCAGCGTCGACGACCACAAGAAGGACAGTGCCGTTGCCACGGATGACGACGACAAGCCCGTGCTCAACCGCGCCAACATGCACAAGTACTACTCGCAGTTCCCCGACCTTCCACCTGCGTCAGAGCTGCGCAAACTCGGCAAGGACTACCAAGGCATGATCAATTTGGAAAAAACGATCGTGGTCGTCGGGTTCGGCGAAGTCGGGCCTTGGGGAAACTCGCGCACTCGTTGGGAAATGGAGTCGTACGGTGTGTTTTCCCTCGAAGGGTGCATCGAACTCGCGTGGATGTTGGGGTACATCACATACCACAACGGCCCGGCCAAGTCTGGCGAGCACTACATCGGTTGGGTTGACGCCAAGACGAAGGACCCTGTCGCCGACACGCAGGTCAAGTCCTTGTACGAAGAGAGCATCCTCAAGCACTCGGGCATCCGCGTTGTCGAACCCGAGCTCTTTGACGGGTACGACCCGAAGAAGAAGATGTTTTTGCAGCAAGTCGCGGTGGACAAGAACATGCGCCCGATCGAAGTCGCGAGCCGCGAAGAAGGCCTCGAGTACCAAAAGGAACTCGGCGAGGAGAACTGCGACGTGTTTGAGCTGGACGGGACGTGGATGCTTCGCTTGCGCCAAGGCGCCGTGCTCTCGATCCCCAAGTCGCTCCACTTCAACCGTTGGGTCGCGGGCCAAATTCCCACGGGATGGGATGCCAAGCGCTACGGTGTACCTGCCGACATTGCCGAAGCAGTCGACCCGATCACGCTCTTCACGTTGGTGTCGACCGCCGAAGCGTTGATCTCGGCGGGTATCACAGACCCGTACGAGTTTTACCAATACGTTCATGTGTCGCAAGTCGGAAACACGTCAGGGTCTGGCATGGGCGGGATGCGGTCGCTGCGCCGCATCTACCACGACCGCGCCATCGGCAAGAACATCCCGTCCGACTCGTTGCAAGAGTGCTTCATCAACACGATGTCAGCGTGGGTCAACATGCTGCTCCTGTCGTCGTCTGGCCCGATCAAGACCCCCGTCGGTGCGTGTGCGACGGCTGCCGAGTCGGTCGACATTGGTGTCGAAACCATCTTGAGCGGCAAGGCCCGCGTCGTCCTTGTTGGGGGGTACGATGACTTCTGCGAAGTCGGGTCGTACGAATTTGCCCAAATGAAGGCGACGAGTGATTCGGAAAAGGAAACCGCGATGGGTCGCGACCCTCGTGAAATGTGCCGTCCGTGCACGGACACTCGTGGGGGCTTTATGGAAGCGCAAGGTGCCGGCATTCAAGTGCTCATGGATGCCGCCTTGGCCCTGGACATGGGTGTGCCTATCTACGGTGTGGTCGGCATCACGAATACGGCCACGGACAAGAACGGCCGGTCGGTCCCTGCTCCCGGCAAGGGTGTGTCGACCACGGCGCGCGAACATGTCGTCGGCAACGACAACATGCGCAATGCGCTCTTGAACCCTGCCTTCCGCCGCGCTCAATTCGAAGAAGAACTTGAAGCGATTGAGCAGTGGAAGGCGCGCCAGCTCAAGAACATCGCGGCTGGCGTCCAGTCGTTGTACGATGCCGACATGGTGCACGAATTGGCCGAGAAGAAGGTCAAGCAAGCTCAATTCACGTGGGGACATGAGTACTTCAAGGGCAACGCTGGCATTTCGCCGCTGCGTGGGGCGCTCAACATGTGGGGCCTCACCACGGACGACATTGGCGTTGCCAGTTTCCATGGGACGGGCACCAACGCGAACGACAAGAACGAGAGTGAGATCACGCACCGCCAGCTTGAACACCTCGGTCGCACATCGGGCAACCCGATCATGGTTGTGTGTCAAAAGTACTTGACCGGGCACCCCAAGGGTGCGGCAGCCGCGTGGATGTTCAACGGTCTCCTTCAAATCATTCAGTCGGGCATTGTGCCCGGGAACGCCAACAACGACAACACGGCGCCCGAACTCCAAAAGTTCGACATGCTCGTGTACCCGAACCGTAGCATCCAAACGGACGGCATCAAGGCGGCGCTCATGAAGAGCTTTGGGTTCGGCCAAGCCGGCGCGGAAGTGCTCTTGATTCACCCCAACTACCTCCTCGCCGCATTGTCCGATGCCCAGTTTGCCAAGTACGTAACCCAGCGCTCCCAGCGTGCTGGCGGGTTGCACCAGTACATGCAGGACGTCTTGTCTGGCAAGAACACGCTTGTCCGCGTCAAGGAGCATGCGCCGTACACGACTGAAAACGAGATGAACGTGTACTTGAACCCCTTGGCCCGTGCCAGCTACAACACCAAGGAAAAGACGTGGACATTTGGCGACGTTTCGTCTGCCAAGGCCGTCAAACAAGCCACGGATGTCATGGCGGCGGTCGCGCCGACACCGTCCGTCGACGAGTTGCCCAAGAAGATGCTTGAAAGCTCGCTCGCGCAGTCTGGTGCGCAGTTGATCCTGTCGTCTGGCCAAGGCCTCGGCATCGACGTCGAACCGGTCGCGACGTTCGCGGACTACGCCAACAAGCAAGTGTTTATCCAACGCAACTTTACGCCGGTCGAGATCGCGTACTGCGAGGCGTCTGCGAGCGCAGCGTCGTCGTTTGCCGGTCGATGGGCTGCCAAGGAAGCTGTGATCAAGGCCATTTGCAACGCCAACCCGAGCGCCAAGATCACGGAAGGCGCTGACGCTCCACTTATTGACATTGAAGTCGGCAAGGCCACGTCTGGTGCGCCAACCGTGACGCTGACCGGCCGAGCATTGGAAGCGTTCCAAACGTCCAACCTCTCCAGCATCAAGTTGTCCATCACGCACTCTGGCGATTACGCGGTGGCCCAAGCGTTGGTGCTCTAAGTGGTCTCGCGCCACGATCGGTTAGGATAGAAGAACGCTGGCGGCGGTGGTCGCGGAGACGCCTTTGTTTCAGTTGGTCGCTGGAACGTCAAGCCTCTCGACGCTTCCGCCGCCTGCGTATTTTGCTGCAACACCCCGACGTCAGCATGGCGAACGTACGAGCGACTGGTCCTTGCAACTACGTGCCGTCGTTGGCACTCTGTCGTAGTAAAATCGTAATCTATGAATTTCATTTAATCTCCACATACTCGCATGGTCGCGGCTCTGCAACACGTTGACCGTTCGCCATTGCCGTCACCATGCGGGGGAAGTGTGCTCTTCGTCCCGTCGACGCCCTCCTTCGACCCAACCATTCCAGGGATAGCGGCGCGTTTTCCAGCACAGGACCGCGCTGGCATAAACATGGCAGCTCCCACTGGTGCTACCGCGCGCGCGTCGGACGAGAGCATCGGGGACAACCAGCCCACTCACAACCACGTACGCATCGATAAATGAACACGATGCCGCGCTTGCGTTTTTGGCCTACAGATCGATTTCGTCCTCCGATTCCAAAAACGAATGCGTCTGGTCGTTGGCAATGTACCGAAGGTACACCGACTGGCGCTTCACGCCGTCGCCAGTCAGATTGTAGGGAACAAGGGACGACTCCGAGTGCCGCGACGCAAGCGACGTGGGTTGTGCGGGCGGATCCGTTGCGATCGCCCGCTCCCATGCCTCGTCCATGCTGTGAGACCGTTGGCGCGCTGTGGTGGCCCGTCGATCGAGCTTGGGGACGCTAGACGGACTGATGGGCGTCGCGTTGTCTGGAGTTGCCACGGCATTCTCGTTGTGCGACAACTCGGCCAAGTACTTGGCGGCAAGGGTGTCCAGTACGGCCGACCCTTCCGATGCCATGCCTAGTCCGTTGGATCGGAAGCTGTCGTTCGCTTGGAAGCGATCGATCGATGAGCCGTCGGAGAAGTGTGCACTTTGATACGATTGAAAGCTGTCGAGCAGCGTGTTGCTTCGACGACTGTCCGTCGTCGGCGATCGACTCGTCATCGAGTCGCCTCCGTGGAAGGACGACGAAAACGATTCGTGTGAGCTGGAGCCTTGGTGGAACCGCGGTTGGCCACCCTGTCGAGGCTGCACGAACGGAATGCTCCCTCCCGGTTGCTGGGACACGTAGTTCTCGTACGACGACTTGCGCCGGAGGTACGCGATGGCTGCCGCGCCACCCACAGACGACGAATCGCTGAAATCGGAGCTCTGGCTTTGGAAGTTGCTCCCGTACGAGCCGAACGATTGGGTTGACCCGTACGAATCCCCCGACTTGAGGGAGTCCAAAACAGCCATCGGCGGCACAGGATCGTCCTGGCCATGGATTTCACGATCGAGATCGTATTCGTTGTCGTCATGCACACGAGGCGAAGCCATCGTGGCCGCACCACCACTCACAGAAAACTTCGCGGCGGCAGAGATCGCTTGCGGGGACTGCGGCGGTGGCTGCCACGAGTACGGCTTTGGTGGAGGCGGTAGCACAGTCAAGGGAGATGTCGCTGTTGTCGTACGAACCGCGGACGTTGGAATAGCTTCTGATGCACGAAAATTGAAACTACTGCGCGCCGGAGGCAAGGTCCCGATATCCTGGTGAGCAGCTCCTGCCGAAACGCGAGGGAGAGGCATATCACGATTCGACAAGGGAGCGACGTCTGTGTGGTAAGTTGCAAGTGCCGCATCCGAGGACGAGTTGGCCTGAGCATTCAACGGTTCACGCATGGCTTGGCGGCTTGGAGGTGGCTGGCATCGTTCGAGGTCGTTGGTAAAGTTGGCTTCTTGAGGTTGGCGATTCATCGGAGTGTGAACAGGTGATTCACGCTCGTGCTGGTCAAAGTTGGCTCGATCGCGGGACGAGTCCTTCTTCTTGGCGCCGCACGACAGCAAGATTTTGCGCCCCGCCACGTACAACTGCCGAATGACCAAGAGCGCAAACACCGCCAGATTCACGCCGACAATGACGTATGCCACGTTGTCGCGAACTTTTTGAGGAAAGACGTCGTCGCGGACCATGATGACCATCAAGATGAGAAGAAATGTCTTGAAGAACGACGAGAGAACGCCAATGTAAAACAGGAAGCGCAAGAGGAACGGTTCGCGGACGACGAGTGCGAGCAAAAAGACGAGGTTCGCCCCGACGAGGAGACCAAGCTGCCACATGGGCGATTGCACGACGCCGACAATGACCCCGGTCGTGATCGCAAGCAGCGCCTTCGGAACAAAGAAATATCGATTGTCCACGTTGAATTCTTCGTAGTACGGGCCGTACTTGGCGTTGAATGGCCGCTGTTCGTGCTCGTAAGTGCCCACATCGTGCAGTTCGGACGAGTTTGAGGCAATGACGAGGATGCCGTACACAAGCGTCGTCCCGATGATGGCGAGCAGGATCACGATCGCCATCGACCCTGCACCTGTCCCAGAGCTCTTCTGGAACGCGTCATACGCGCGGTACGACCCCGTCATGGATAAAATGTACAGCGCCAGGAGCAGGATGAGCACGTAGGCCCAGATGACTTTGCGAAAATATGTGACCCACAGGCTCTCTTTGGACGACTTGCGGCAGCACGACATGATCAAGACCACCACAACGTACAGCGCGAGGACTGCGCCTAGTACAACGCCAAGTGCGACGAGTGTATAGTAGAAAAGGTCCTCTGGCAGCACGCCCACCATGGTGGCGTACCGCTCGACCCCCGTCTGCTGGTGTTGCGCTTCGAGGAGGTTGAGCAATTGGCGCCGCGGGGCCGGGTCCGTGTTGGCAAGCTTGGCAACGTTAAAGTTCACCCAGGCCAGATCCTTGGTGAATTGTTGAAAGAACGTCGGGACTCCTCCGGTGGCGAGCTGGCCAAGGAGCCCCACAAATTGCGCTTGCTCCACAATCGCCATCATCTCGTACACACCAGCTCCCATGCTACCAGAGCTGCCAAGTTGGGCCACAGACCCACCAACTGCAGTACCCGCCAAGACGGCGGCAATCGTGGCAAACAGCGATATCCCCACCTACGTTCACCGTCGTTGGTGAGAACTTGATCGTGCCGAGAATGGGTGGTTCAGTACCGCAGCGCTCGACGCTTTCCCGCCGGACGTGTCCATAAAGTGCAAGATGCCCGTCGTCGTTGTTGGAAACTGCGTGTTGACTCCGACAACGCACCCCGAGCAATTCACGGATGGACTGGTCAGATTGATGCCGCGAGTGAGTTCCTGGACTTGCTTCTCGCCCCACGGTTTGATGTAGAAGACGTAGAGCAGATACGTAAAGATGAGAGGGCCAAATGTGCATGCGATGCACAGAAGCTTGGACAAGAGGGCAGTCAAGCAGCAGCACTTGCCGATCACGCCCATCGTGGTGTCGAGCGATATGCCCTTCCTCGAAGGTTACGAAAAAAAATGCAGTTCGAACTTCGGATTGCGCTGAAATTATTCAGAAATATCGAAAACCGGTCAAAATATTTGAAGCCGGAGCAGATGGCACATTCGTCATCGTTCGGCAACACGACGCCGACGGGATGGAGTCAGGGTGTCCCAGGGCAAGCGGCTCATGTCTCTGCATTGGGGCGTCGGATAGCTGGTGGGTCGAGGGATGTTGACGGAAGCGAAGGCGCACGTTGTGGTACTGTAGGCCCGTCCAGCCGGTCAGTGGAGCTTGAACAACGACACGCCACGACATCGTGCTTGCAGTCGCTGCGTGGGCTGCGATCCTGAGCTTGACAGAGTGCGCGAGCAATAGTGCAGGAGCGGAATGACATAATGTGTTCGAGGTCATGGCTTGGCATCGCAATCCACGGAGCACGTTCGACGTGGCCAAATTGCACAGATAGTTCGCTCGTGGATGCTGGAGGACTGGAATCCACATTCACGAATCCACATCGCCGCCGCCAACGACACGGAAAGGGGGCACTCGTGGTACGTGTGTCTAATAACCCAACGACTGCGGCATTGGACGAAGCTTGGGTGTTGACCTGTGCGCGGTGTCGTTGCACCAGGCGCTGGATATGGCTAGCACGCACATTGGGCTACATTTTGAGCATGTTGTGTCGACATCAACGCTCAACAAGAATCGTCACGCCCTTCGAGCGGACTTGATGCGCGCATGTGACCTCAATAACGTGGTGTTCTGCCATCGCCACATTAAGGAGGTCCGCGGCTGTCATCGAGCGATACGACGACTGAGTCTGCCACGATGCGGTCGGAGCAGATCTCTGGCTTGGCTCGGTCGGTCGGACCCGACGTCCAGGAAAATCTTGGCCACCATGACTGCATCTTGGCTCCATCGACCACCGAAACCTTGGATGGATGTATCGCCATTGTGGGTACTTGAAGTTGTCGCAGCCGCAATGCCATGTTGTCAGGTGTGTGGACGTGTCGATGGAGTCGCAGCAGTGCGTCGAACAAAGCAAGAACGGGACTCGGCATTGAAAAATAGCCACCGGGCACTGCAGCGCCAAACACGAGCGGAGGAGAGGCCTCGTGAGAATACATAGCCACAAACACCCCGCAATGAGCCCGCCCTTGGAACTACCCGACGAGGTGCACGGCGACTTCTACTGCTTTCGCTTCGTGGACGGTGTTGAAACGCGGGAGGTTGTCACCGTGGGATTCGATGCTGTAGTGATGGGGAAAGAAGGGGGTGGCGGTATGGCCAAGGAAGTCTGGAATGATGGCCCGGTAGCCCAAAAAGTTGAAGTGCGTGGTAGCGGCGAGCGAGGGATGGCAGACCGAGGCATGTCTGTGTCGTCCTGGCCAGTGAATGGCGCTCGCTTTCCATAACGAGATGGGGGCTTTGGGAATCGACCCTACAGGTTGGTTGTGGAACCAACCTCGCTCATGATCGCCCACGACGGATTCCACTTGGAATCTGTCACAGAGACATTGCTTGCGCCGTGCCGGCGACAACCATGGCAAAGCAATTGGCGGCAACAAAGGAGCCGTCAGCCCTTCCAGCATTCGTGCGACAGAGCGGAGCGTCCCTGGCGCATACATTTGAAAGCAACGTCCTTCGAATGAGGACGAAGAATAATTAGGTAGTTAAGTTAAATCGACCAAAGGCGCTGGCGCTGTCGAGGAGGAAGCACAACGTCATCAGTAAAATCCTCGACGTTGGACGGACTCGACGCTCGCTTGCCGCACTTGATTTGGTCGGCACCTTTCACGGATGGACCCACGATGGACTCGACGACGTCTTCGCACTCGTCCAGGCGGGAGCTATCGCCTTGATACGTCGGAAGCGACGCTGCCACATGCAGCTCGTGCATGGCAAGCGTGAGCGCGGTGTAGGCGATCTCCGACGACAAGAAGTCCAAGCTTGCAATGTCGCGAACGATTGCGGACAACATCGTCGCGCAGCGATGCATGACTTGAGCCGCGACGTCGGGTGGATTCAGCTGCGCGACAAAGCACTCGATAAAGTGGTGGGGGAGGGTCGCATGCAGATTCCATTCGAGCTTTGCGAGAAGCGATCGCTCCATCGCGAGGACCGATGCAGGGGAGTACTTGTCATCGATCATTTGGGACACTTCGGCCACGGTAAGCCCATCCGACTCGTTGAACTTGGATGCAGTCATGAGGCACACAAGCGCAATGAGCTCGAGGTCCGCTTGGCGCACCGACACCACCGACAAGTACCTGTCGAGGTAATGGATGGCTAACGTTATGGTCGTCACCTCGAACTCGACAGTCTCTGCAACTGATATCATCCAATCCACGACTTGAGTGCGCCACGACGCCGTCATGCCATGGAGCTGCGTTCGGACAAGGTAGTCGGCCACAGGTCGCAACAATGTCCTGATTTCATTGCGGTAGAGGGTGTCGAGGATGTCGTCCGTGTCGGCCGCCGCGCACGTCGTCAAGGCAAAGGACATAGCCGTGCTGGCGGCGGATGGAGCATCACACGCGTCCTCTTCGTAACATGCAAGGAGATCCATGTCAAAGGTCGGGCTAGCGATCAGGAGGCGGTTGTGTGGAGAAGAGTTGGCGGCACCACGCTGCCAATTGAATTCTGCACGCTCCTGGCGGTGGCCGTGTCAATATTCCTACCGTCGCGGGTCCCGCCATACTCGATACGGCCGTGCCAACTTCGATTGGCCACATGATGTGGTGACGGAGTCAAAAGCAGACATAAAAACAGCAAAAACAGCATCGTGGAGGAACAAACTCGGGCGGGTCAAGCGCCACGAGTGGAAAGCATAGAAAGGCTACGCTGATTTTCGGATGCAAGGACGACTGGCAACTCGTCCATCGAGCTCCGCGAATGCGCTTTACTCTGCAGCATTACGACGCGGTAACGTATTGGTCAGTTATGGTCATGCTTTAACTATGTGCGCGTTGCGCCACGCGATGGGCGGTCGACTTCCACCCATCTCTGCCAATGGTGGTGTACCAAAGAGGAATCGGAAAGAATGGACCGACGAGGTCTCCACGACATATCGCACAAGCAAGGCTTACAGACTGCATGGAACAGCGCGCATTGGAGACGTTTCCTCTCTATACGTTTCGTGGAAGAGGCTTTGAAAAAACAGCATGTGCTGTTAAAATGGCCCACCGTCCATTCAATTTTCGCGCGACGAACCCAACACGTACGTTGGCCGTACAAACAGTACACACTTGCGACGGCCAAGAGAAATGCGCTGGCTTCGTACACGAACGTCGTACATTATACACCCAGCACAGTGGTGAAGCTGTCGCGTCGAAACAGGCGCGACGGATGTCTGGAGGCGGGACACGTCAAGGCTAGCCACATGACATATCCAGGAAGGTCGTTAGGAGGCGTCCATTGCCGTCGAGAGCTTTCAATATACACGCCGTGGACAAGCTATTCACGATGGGATTCGCAGGAGCTCGAGCTTGCAACAACGACGAATGGGGTGAGTATGCTCAAGCGAATGTATCCAACAGCGGCATATGCAAAGGCCGCCCGTGCTTTGTCAGAACATGGCGACGCGCGTTATGTATGGTGCGACACCCCCAATTGGTTGCGCTCTCTTCACACTCGCGACAGGACACACCCATCAAGTTTAAGAGCCCGCTGGGTCAAGTCGTTTGAAGTACTCCGTCTCTGTAGCGAATACACTCTTTACCACACCCGGATAGCATTTGCGCAGTTGCGCTGTACGTCGCTCCAGTCGGCGAGCGTGCAGACCAGTCGCAGGTCCCGCCTGCTCTGCACCCTTGCCCATCGTCGTCGTAGACCCATCCAGAACACCTACCAATATCTTCCAAGCCAAAGGCAACCAACCCGTCATTGTAGAAACCGCTGCATGCTTCCCGTAGCCCATGCGCACATCAGCATGGCCCAGGACAGCCAAGCATGCATTGCGTCCAGCTCAAACAAAGACGTCACGGCCACCTTGCGATTGCTGGTGCAACAACCCGACGACATACGGATAACATTATCCGAACATCATTACGAGTGCGCAGGCATGGCACCGACCCAGGCTCCGCCCCACGTCGTGCTCTTCAAACGCCGAGAGCTCAGAGATGCAGGGAACCCTCGATAGCTTTTCGAAGTCCATCGTGCGCGTGCCGTTGGTTGCAGCAGCGAATGGTACCAGTTACTCCACTCTATTTAGAGGTATGGTGCGAATTCCGACTTAAATAGTGTAAGGATTTTGGGTCTGCCCTGACAGTGTCCCAAGTGTGTGTTGGTCAAGATCGGCACCATCTCCGAGGGATTGACGCAATCCGAGCACAACCATACTGACCGATGTTGCCGAGCGAACGATCGCCACCAGCACCTGCAAAGATCAAGGCGCAACAGCCTGCTTCGGCGAGGCATGCAGTTCCGTCCACCTCCACCACCAACCACCATCACCAGCGGCATCATGAGCAACATCCCGACACGGCGCACAGCAGCGACGAACTCGTGGCTCAAATCAACGCTCTCGTACACATGCACGCTCTTCGCCAAGAAGATTCTGCTGATCACGTCGCCGACTCTCTCGGGCTCTCGGTGTACCTGACAGGCTCACGAGTGGACGATCGGGGGTTTCTTGCCCAGGTGGTCAAGGTGACGGCCGGCCTGCGGCGATTCCGCGTCGACAGCGCCCACTTGGTGTCGGCATGGCAGAGTATTGAGCGTGTGTTTGACCATCGAAACCACGACACCCGCGCGATTGCGTACACGTTTCTGGACGTGTGTCTCGAGCTTCACCATGACAGGGTTCCCATGACGATGCGCCATGCCATCTTTCAGCTCTTGGTATCGAACGCAAGGATGATCCCGTGCATGTCTAACAGGAGAGCCCCAGGCGACTGCACACGGGGAGTTTCTTCGACGACAAAAGAGTCTGCGATTGCTGCTGCAGGACGGTCGGTTTGTTCAGCCGTTTGCGAAGGACCTGGGGTGGCTCTTTCTGACTCTCCTTGAGACGTCCGATGCGCAGAAAGAGCTCAGTTCGCTGCTTCACTGCATCTTGAGGCGGTCGCCGCATGCGCTAGGTACCAACCATGCGGAATGGCAAACGCCGCGTATGCTAAAGCGATGGCGACGATAGATTCCGAAGTCGTATCATCAATCGCAGAGCTTCTGTCGGCCCGCTGTAATACAGCGTACGCCCGGGGAGACAAGGACACATGCAAGCGCTATCTCAAGTTCATGACGATCTTGGTGAATCATCACTTGGACGCGGCGGCGACAACGTCCGCGTGCTTGGCCACCATGTGCGGCCTCGTGAATGTTAAAGAAGATGGAGTGAGTACGTGGGCAATCATGAAGCACTTGTTATCGGGCGCGTCTCGATACCAAGTGCTGCACGGGCTGTTGGGGCTGCTGGAAGCGCCGGTCCCACCATTTGTTGCTCGGTACGGCGATGCGTGTGCTGCTTGCCAAGGTAGACGATATGGTTGGTTTATGTAGGGGCGCAGTGTTCTTTGTGGGAATGAGTTCGTGGGGCAGCCAGCGCGTCGCGAGCTTGGAAGTTGGTTGGTGCACCATCTTGCGAAGCTTGCTTCCGGCCGTCCAGAGTCCGCATGGGATGGTGATTTTTGAAGTTGTCTTGAGTTTGCAACGCCTCATCAAGAAGTATGGCGACCAAATGCTGATTGAGTGGGACTTGGTCTTCGACTACCTCCACCGCTTGTTTCCGTGGATGGCAGTGTCGCCGCACGTCCCCAACGAGAATGGCGCGGCGTCGGCCGCAGTGGGCCACGTCCCCGACCGCCTCGCCGACGAATTGCTAGATACGTTGCTCCTCGCAGAAGCACTGCATCAACCAAAGCTACACTCGGACCAACCCGCATCCCATCGGCGCTTTCAAGGTGAGGTCGTTGGCACATTGCGCCGACTCATGACGTCCTGGAGGAAACATGCACGACTTGTACGCCCTCGTGGAGCTATACATCGAGTATTGTCCCGTTGCGACTGTGGGCAACCTTGTCGCGTTTCGAGCCGAAGGTTGCACTCCTGCTAGCGATTCCAAGTGGCTTACGTCGTTGCATGATCTGCTCACGACTTTCTTTGCGTCGACGAGCGTCGATGTGTCCATTCGGCTGCAAGCACTCAAGGTGCTCGACAACGTTCTCAAGTTGTGTCACCACATCTGCGACGATCGCGTCCTAGACGACGTCTTCGTGCCGCATCTGCAGCTCGTGCACGACGACAGCGACAGACAGGTGGCTCGATTTGTTTCGACACCAACGACATGGATCCGTGCTTGACACTCCCGTGGCGGTAGGTGCGAGATGCCGGTCTCGAGCTCATCGTGACCGTGGCATGCGACGTCGACTCGGTCAAGTTTTACGCACTCGTGGATATGCTCCACGTCGCAGCGACAACGTCCAAATTTGTCGATGCCCAGCACAAAGCGATGAACGGGCTCACAACGCTCTTCCGGGCGGGTTTTCAACACATTCCATCCACGCGCTGCGTGCGAATCTTCGAGTTGCTTACAGGTGGGTGGTGCCGACTGGATCTCGTTCCCAATCTTGTCGGAACACGCGAGGCAAATCGGTAGGCTATGTGGTCACCCACCGCGACCCGGTCATGCGCGGCATGGCCATCACGTGCTTGCGGCAAGTCTGTTCCGCTAATGCTTCGTTTCACGTAACAACATGGTGTGTGGACTACCCCAGGGACTGACTGCGCCTGCGTCGGTAGATGCTCCTGTCGGAGGACTGTCGAGAGGCGGCGGACAAAGCATCTTCTGACGTCACGATGGCATCGCCGTTTTTGATGGCGGCGCGCGGGTCGATGGCGAAAGCGTCGGTTGCAACGCTGCCCATTCCAAAGCTTGTCGTGGCAGCGTTGACCATGGTGAGCACGGAAACGAGTTCGACCAACTTTCACATTGCAGTCGACGTGTTGGTGCGCATGGTCGAGAATCGGTACGTCCTCCATGACGTTGATGTCAACGACATGGTCGCCAAGCTCGTGTCGTGCGTGGAATGCCGGGCGTTTGGACGGGCTGCGGCGACCCATGAGGCTGGGGTGGCTCATTCCGTCCGTCGGACGCGCACCACGGATTCCCACGTGATCGAAGATGCCGATTCTGTACGTGGTTGCATTATTTCACCAGTGTAGTGCCGTGTCCGACGTGGTTCCTGAAGGAGCCAGACAAGTCGGCAATGTGGCTCAAGGTGTTGCGGACGCAGTACTTGCAACGCGGACTGGACCTCCTGCTTCTCATGGCGTCGTACCAGAGCCAACTGACCGCCGCAGTGCAGCACCGTGTTCTGCTGACCTTTGTGTCAGCGTTGGATTTTGAGCCCACTGTGTCGGAGTCACGGCCTCCTACCCTGGCAGCAACGTCGTCCGCGGGAATGAAGCGCACGAAGTCGGCGATGGAAGACTTGTCCGCGGCTCACGTGGAAGCTTTACAAGCAGCCGAGACCAAGCTGGTCCACACGGTCACCCGCGGCACGTGCCGAGACGTCGTTCATGACACTTGTGTTCACGTCGCGTCCTCTAACGTAGGTCTGGGCGTTGCGGCCATCATGCTTCCCGCTCAAGTCGTCGCGGAATTCCCAACAATCCTCAACTCGATCGTTCATCGATTGTGTGCTCCTGTGAAGGATGGGGCAGGGTGGACCTCGGTCGATATTGCAAGTTTGTGCCTCAGCCTTCTTTTGCACTTTTTGCACGCCCTGCCGCGAACTGCCTCGTTGGCCGACGCGGCGACCGACGGGGACTTCGAGACTGTTAGTGGAAACGACGACGTTTGTGCTGCATTTGCGCTGCGTGCACTGTGCCGGCCCGCGTCCAAGTACATGGCGTCGCTGGCCCTTCTTGTCCTCATGCAGATTTTCATTCAAGCAAGCGCCCGCCGCCGGAACCACATTGCGCGCCTCGTCCTGCCGCAGCTGCAAACTCAGCCGCAAAAAACCGTCCTGGTCGACACGGCCGTGGATTTTATCGCAACCCATCTGCATCTCAACGCTGCGGCGCTTTGCCCGCCATCAACGCAGTCCCTGGAACTTGTTGCCAAGCACCGCCGCATCAGGTGCACCACAGCCACACATGGACCGAGTATGTTTGATTTTCATCCGGTCGTGTATAGGTCCTGGTTCCATCGCCGCAGCATCATGACGCTGTCCACGGACGACCAAGGCGCTTCATTTGTCACGGTTCGGCACGCGGCAGTGGCCCACACGTGGCCACTTCCAAGGGATGCCAACCCCATGCACGTCATGACGATGTTGTTTGGCATGGACCCGCTTGACTTGCATTCTGCAAGCATGCATCGACTGGTGGAGGGCGAGGCGCTGACGAGGGCGCTGGCCGTCCTCGATCGAAGTCCGTGGCACGAAACGCACAAGGTCGGCGTGCTGTACGTGCCCCACAACCAAGCGACCGAGCGTGACCTTCTCGACGTCGTCGGGGGATCGCAGCGGTACCTTTCATTCTTGCGGGGTCTGGGCGACATGGTCCCGCTGCACCACCTCGTGGGGTACAACGGCGGGTTGGACGTGTCGGCTAGCCAAAGCGATGGCAAGTTTGGTCTTGTCTACCGAGATGCCATCACACACGTAGGTCGCGAGGCGTGTGGTTGGAGGCACACTCGTGCTTGTAGGTGATGTTTCACGTGGCAACGTTCATGGAGACGGACGAGAGCGCAGAGGCCCGCCGCCACGGCAAGAAGCGCCACATTGGCAACGACTACGTCCACATTGAATACTTGGACTACGACCAACACCACGACGAGAACGACGTGATCCCGTCCCTGTCTGGCCAGTTTTCCGACGTCCGCATCTTCGTCCAGCCTCTTGACGGCGACCTCTTTCGAACCCGTGTGGAATGCAAACATCCGACCGACAACATGCCGCCGTTTGGACCGCTCCACGGGGTCCAAATCGTGCCAAGCTACATGGTTGCGACCGCTGTGCGGCTCACGGCGATCCACGCCAACCTGGCCTGCCGCGTCGTGCACCAGGATCGATTCGAGTTGGTTTTGAATATCGAAGACCGGCTCAAGCAAATCAGCCAGATTGGAACGAGATTTGTCGACCATGTCACGCCATCTCACGACCACGCATCCGCGGTGTAATGCAAACTACACAAGGTTCTGTTGTCGGCACATTGCAACGATGCTCTCGATTCCGTCCGCCGCTGTACACTCCAACACACACCACCATCCATACGCACTTCTTGGCTCATGGACGATGACGGGAGCGACATTTCTCTGGCTGTCTGGACGATCCGATGTGGCCGCATGATGCGAGGCCATGTTGGGTCTTGTTGTGCGGCTTCCAGAGGACTTTTAGTGCCCGCTGGCAGTCCATTTTGCGCCCCACACCCCAACACTGTGGTCTGCCGACCGTAGAGTGAATCGATGTCCATGGGAGGTTGAAAACAGGTGCGTGCACATGCACATGAGTCTCGGCACTCCATTAGCATGCATCGCGTGTTGTAGTGGACAAGCCTTTGGCCATCCAACAAAAGCGGATAAAAGCGGGCACAGGTGTTTCAATTAAAAATGCTGGGGTGGCGGCGGGGGCGGCGCGACGCCGTGGGCCATATACATGGTGGGAGGTGGGGGCGGGACCACAGCGCCTTGCATGTTCTGCATGCCCATCATCATGGGCTGCATCATCATCATCATGGGTTGCTGCGGCTGGTAATGGCTTTGCGGCTGCTGATATTGGTGGTACTGCTGCATGTATGGTTGCGGCGGAGGCTGCAGTTGCTGAGGAGGTTGGGGGAGTGCCGGTGTGGCAAATGCAAAACGCGTGTGCGGCTTGAGTTTGTTGGGGTTGCTCGATGCCAGGAGGCGCTCCGCTTGAGACCCGTGGCGTTCGTTGTTGCTGCCCTTCTTGTAGGCGTACTGGACGACGATCTGGCGATTGCACAGGTACTGCGTGTTCATGCACTCGATGGCCAAATCGGCCGCTTCAAACGAGTCGTAGCTGACAAAGCCAAAGCCTCGGGACATCTTCGTGTCGGGGTCGCGCATGATCTTGGGGGTTTCGACAATCCCCCCAAAGGCCGAGAACGTGTCGTACAAGAGCTTCTCGTCAACCTCTGGGTCCAAGTTGCCTAAGAACAAGTTGGCCCCAATGTCGAGTGTCTTGGTATCCTGGGAGGACTTCTTCACGCGAATGATTTTGTTGAAGAGCTGGATCATGTTCATCACTTTCGTCGCGTACTCGGCGTCGTCCTCCGTGCGGAACTCCACAAATCCGTACCCACCGTGGCGCGATGTGACCTTGTCGCGGGGAATGTGCACGTTCACCACAACTCCAGCTTGAAGCATGAGCTCCCAAAGAAGCTCTTCCGTCACCTTCTCGTCCAAGTTGCCGACATAAATCGTTGCATCTTGGTTGCGCTGTTCGATCGCCGCGGACGCCGACATGATAGCAAGTCGTGTGTGGCGGAAGAATCGAATGGGTGTTAGGAACTATCTACAGTTGGATTGGATAAAATCAATTTCTCTTCGATAGTTCTACAATATAACTGGTTTAATCAAGCCAATGGTATGTTACAATTAATTCAATTGGATAAAAATATTGTTCAAAAAAGAGAAAAATATTGTGAACTGAAGCCCGGTGAGATGCGTCGGCGCAGAGCTGCCGCCATGCATAGCGGGTGCTATCTCCTGTTTTGTCGCTGTAGCTGTTCACCAAGTCCATTCACTGCGCGCTGGGTAGGTCGTGCGTGGCAGCTCATTCTGGGGATCTCGTGAACTTGGGCCGCCGGCAAATTCGTGGCAGGCCAAAATAAAAGATGCAAAAGTCCTAATTAGGATGGATTTTGCACCACCGATTTGGTGCCGAGTCAACTGCAACTTTCCCGCGGCAACAGGACAGAGCACCGAGGGATGGCAGGCGCATTTGACGCTTCCAAGCGCGAGATCTTGCACAAGCTGCAAGAAGTGATTGACAAGTCGCCAAAAGGCAGCGTGGATGAGCCGATTGTGGACATGATCACGCGGCTCAATGCACACCCAAACTACGTACGTCGTTTGTGTGCCTGTGTACCTGAGCGAGCGCTGGTGGCAGGTGACATGCAGTAGCTGCTCCGGCCGCATTGCTGTCTTCCGCGGCGTGGCGCAAGCTCCGGAAGACGAAGATTCGCACTTGATCACGAAAGGAGGCCAGTGGCTCGTGAGCTCCCACGCACCAGTGTCTTTCCATGAGTTTTCTGCCGCGGTCTTGACAGATCCCACGGCGCTGCAGGGCATGGTACGGCGTGGTAAGGAAGGACTTGTCATTTGACGAGACTGCGACGCGTAGGTCATTTTCAAACACGAACCTTTCATCATGCATGTGCAGTGCCGCGACGACGAAGCCGCCAAAGCGCTGTTGCAAGTCGGTCTCGCGTGTGGGTTTCGGGAGTCTGGCGTTGTCTTGGGCAACAAGCGAACGATGGTGGCCATTCGCACGACTGCCAACGCAATGGAGATCCCGATTGCACTCCATGGGAACCTCATGGTCAACACGTCGTACTTGGAGTGGATTCTCGACATTGCCAACCAAAAATTCCATGCAAATCGAGCCAAAACAGACAAGTTGTTTGCCACGATGCTGACGTCTCTATTCAACGAGCCATCGTTGGATGTGACAGAAGCGACAGCTCCATCGTCCTCGTTGACGACGATACGAAAGCTGCGGGTCGCCAAAACGTCCACGTTGGTGGTTTCCCGCGCCGGCCACACGGCTGTTGTTGGTATGATACGTTCTCCGATTTCTTGATTCTAAGGGATCGATGGCATGCTGCTGGATTTGAATTGGCGCCTTTGATGAGTGCAAGCCTTCGTGACGAGCTGGTAGGACCTCAACGAAAGCTTTGCATTGTCGGTGGTCAAGGCCCCACGGCCACCAACACGACTCGACAAGGCGACTTAATTTTGTACGACATGGCAACCCAAGTGCAATCAGCGCCGATACCGCTGAACATGGCAGCTCGCATGTATCACGCGGCGGTGTACAGTCCAACTCTCAACAGGATGCTTGTATTTGGTGGCCGTGCCAGTCCCACGAAGCCATTTGGAGATCTCTGGGCTATTGACGTGGATCATGGTCATGCGGATTTTGTCCAAACTCAAGGACCCGCGCCGTCGTCGCGGTGGAGCCACACGTGCTCGTGGGGTAAGCGCGGGGTACTAATGCGCTGACGCTGTTCACTAACTGCATGCGTTCGTACTTGAAGTGGACGGAAAACTGGTGGTCGTCGGCGGCCGCGATGCCACAACTGTCTTCAGCGACGTGTTTGCACTGTCCTTTGACACAACTCCGCCGACATGGCATGCCTTGGCATCATGTGCAGGTAAAAATGGTGAATTTTCAGTGTGGATGTGTGCATCAGGCGAGTATTGACGGGTCCATGTGCTTCTTGCATAGATGGAGCTCGTCGGTTCCGACACTCTGCGGTGAGCATTGGCCACTCGATATACTTGTTTGGGGGATGGCAAGGGTTGGATACGCACGCGCAGCTGTCCTTGAATTCTGTGGATTCGCTCAACACGGCGACAGGGGAGTGGATGCAATCGGCCACGACTGGCGCCATTCCTCCCGCCAGGGCAAGTGCCGCCGCGTGCGTCGTGGATGGCCAGCACGTGTTGCTCCTCGGCGGGACGTCGCCAACAGCACCATGCCACGATCAAGTATTTTCTCTGGACCTGTCGAGTATGTGAAAAGATCAAAACACCAAACTTGACCATCCTAACGGGTCTTGACCTTACGTTGCGCATATGCTGTAGAGATGAAGTGGAAGCAGTGGCCATCCTTGCCAAGCGATGCGCTTCTCGTCAACCACACGATGTCTTACGACGACGTGTCGAAAACCGTGCATGCGGTCGGCGGCAGCTGCCAGTGCTTTGGGTTTGGGGCAGTCTACAGTCCCGCGTTCGCGTTGCAGGTGGAAACCAGTCGCATGACCGCGCTGTCCAAGAATACGCGACCTACCAAACAAACGAACGACGGGCTGCTGGTGGTTGCTGTGCCCAAGCTACGAGTCAAAGCCATCAAGACACTCGTGGAAGACCTGCAAGTTTACGACAAGTCGCGCCGCGTCCAGCCCATTGCCGTATGCTCGTCGACATCGACGTTTCCCTGACGTTTTGGGTTAGGGCGGTGCAGAGTCCTTCGCCGTGCCAGTCATGGACGGCATTCGTGACCACGCCAGCCTTCCCGTACGTACGACGCCTGGTTTCTTGACCTGCTTGATGCCATTCATCGCTTTCAGGGACTCGAGGGGTTGCTGATAGCCCACATGAACGACATCGCAAACGTTGTGCAGCCCAAGAACTCGGGGACGGACAAGGTGTCCGCCGCTGGTGAGCTCGTTGCGACTGGACAAATCGCCGAGCTGTCGTCCCCTCCGCCAGCAGAAGTTGTCGAGGCCTCCAAGCAACCACTCTTGTACGCCGTTTTGGTCTCCAAGGATCAAGTCAAGGCCGTCAAGACTCGCTTGGAAACGATCCAGCTATACGACAAAACCCGTCGCATTCACCCGCAAGTACGTCGTCAGGTTGATGGCAAGGAGCAAAACGACTCGCTAGGCCAACGACATGGAAGGCTCCACCAAGTTTGCCGTCCCCGTGACATTGCCCACCCTTCCTTCAGACGACGAGGTGCGCCATGGCAAATCGTGAACCTCACGTCGAGAGTTGTGGATGGAGAACGAGCATGTGTCTGGTAGGTCTTGAGCGCGTTGGAGGTTGTAGTCGACGGCACGAGCGTTGTAAAACGTGTGCTGAATCCAACACTGGTCGTGCATGCGTTGCTGCAGGCGTTTGCGACTGCCCATGGGTTGGATGCGGTCGCGGCAAAGTTTGAATTTATTTCAGACGTGTTGGTCCTGCCCAAGGTACGATGTCCGTCCGTTTTCAACGCCAGTCGATTGGACCTGAAATGCCATAGAACACGTTCATGGACCCCGTATGGATGAGCGACGCCGCGATGGCACTGTGGCGATCCGTGTGCGACGCCTCGCCTGTTCCGCTCCAACGCGTCGCGCGAAGTGCTGACGTCGACGCGAATGAAAAACGGCAGAGTCACGTCGAGGTGCTGTACATGCACCCGTCCTTCGTCCCCACGGCGCGGTAAACCTGAACAGACCCGTCATGCGTCGTTGGAAAACGTGTTGTAACAGCGCCAACACGTAGGGGCAAGGGATGGGTCGAAGTCCGTGAAAATGGACTCGTGTACGGGTGGGACCTCGAAAAAGTCATGTTTTCGTCGGGGAATGTGACGGAAAAAGCACGCATGGCCAAGATCGGTACGAACACCCGTTGACGTCTTCGTTGCCTGCGCGCGGTCCACGACCTCACGATGGCCAGGCTGCGCCGGAGAGACCATTGTCGACATGTATGCTGGCATCGGATACTACGTTGTCCCATTTCTTGTCCACGGCAAGGCGGCGTACGTCCACGCCCTCGAGTGGAACCCCGACTCGGTCGCGGCGCTACAATTCAACCTTGAAAAGAATCACGTCGCAAGCAAGTGCACGGTGCATCCAGGCGACAATCGCATCACGGGGCCGACTCTCGGCGCGATTGCAGACCGCGTCAACTTGGGGTCGGTCTCACTTCGATCGTGGGACAACTCAAACGATGATGCATGGCTCGTCTAGATTGCTACCCAAGAGCGAGCACGGGTGGCCCATCGCCGTCCAAGTCTTGAAACACACGGGCGGATGGCTTCACGTGCACGAGAACGTCGCCATCGACGACGTCGAGCCCTGGTACGACGCCAGCCCATGCGCCACTGATCCCCATCGAGTTGTGTGGCAGCATGCAAATTCTAACAAAACGGTGGTGGTTTCGTCGTAGGCGAGAACACGTTGTGAAATCCATCCGAGAGATGGGCGCCGCCATTGGAAAGGTGTGGGTCGTCGAGTGCACCCACGTTGAACGAGTCAAGTCGTACGCCCCGAAGGTCCTCCACGTCGTAGCTGATGTTCACTGCCGGCCCACTTGATAGCTCGTGCAGAAAGGGACCCCCGTGTAAGGTCTGCAGCTAGTACATTGCTATACAATGTGCAAAAGAACGACAGAATGCACACACGCGGCGACCCGCGATGTGCGCGCGTCCGCACGATCCCTTGCCTGCCAGGTCCACTGACTCTGCGTTTGTTATGCAATTAAAAGAACGATGTCGCTGCGGCCGTGGCAACGGCATCGGACACTCGGCGGTAGACGGCAACGTACTTGTTGCCGCCGCTGCGAGCAACCTTCTTGCCTTCTTCCGTCTCTTCCGTCATGGCTTGAACACATGGATCCGCTTTCTACACGGGGCAAGCACAACGCTTGAATCAGTTCCAGTGGCCATGGAAAACTACAAGTCGTCGCACCAGCACAGCGTCGTCCGTGATGCGTTCGAAGCATGGGTGACTGTCGCACTTGGCGACGTGCCAGTTGTGCAGGTCCTCGACATCGGTGATTGTGTACAAGATGCCGCCTTCAGGGATGAAGTAGGCATATTCGGTCAGCAAGTGCGTGCTGGACAAACGAGTTGGTCGGTGGACATGCTGCGGCCGGAGAACTTACTTGACGATGCGGCGGCGATGGTTGCGCTGTTTGAATTGGGGGTCCGGAAAGCAGAAAAACATCTTTTCGATTTGACCTTTCTCAAAGTAGTGCGGCAAGTACCGCATCGCGTTCGTGCGCAGCACCGACACGTTTTGAAACTAAAGACCACACATGATGCGATGAGAGGAAGCAGGGTTCGTCATGCAAGGATCAAAACACACTTGGTTCGACGACGCGTGCTCTTGACGGAGCGCCTCAATGCGCAATCGAACGTACTCGGTGACCTTCGGTCGGATCTCCATCGCGAGCGTCGTCTTGTTCGGGAACAAGTTGGCGAGCGCGATTGTCAAGCCGCCAAACCCACACCCAATGTCCAAGAAGTTGACCTTCCTGTCCCATGCACATCGGCTTAACGCTGCACATGATGGATGCAAACACGTACGGGTTGTCGAGCTTGGGGTAGTGAGCGCTCCAATCCATCTCGGTCGGGTTCAATGGGCTACAATGTTGTCAAGACCCTGTTGCCAGACAACGTTGGTACGTACTACTCGAACAAGTCATTGTGTGACAACGGGTTGCAATGCGCGCGGCTGCGATAGAACTTCTTCTGGGGCATGCCAGGGACCTCGGATTCCGTCGTCGCACTCGCCATGTCCCCGCCCGCAGTCCGTTTATGGCCAGCCATTGCTAAAACTTGGCGTGGAAGCAACGAAAGGGTCATTGGGGATGTGGACCAATCACAACAAAATACCGTGAAATAGGCTGGAAAATTCACTAATTATTCGGCTAAATTTCGAGATTATTTCGTTGTAGCCCAATCCGGGCATCCACTGCAGCGAGTTTTTTGCCGCGAGAGCCAGCTCGATCGTGCGACGGTCATGGCCGCCTTTGCAAGTCCTTAGTAGACTGGCATCGACAGCAGTGACGTGGTACAAGGTGCATTTTGTACTGTGCCATATCCGTCGTCCGAGACACAATTAATCCACAATGCCGTGCGAAAAATGAACACGATATTTATCGAATTCTTCGTTTATCGGTAAATAATAGATGAACATCCTTGGTCTAAAAATACGTGTACAAGTGACTGTGCATCTTGGCGCGAACATGAAGCACAACCCACCAGCAGACATCTCCTTGGCGCTTTGGATAGGTGGAGGATCCCTTCTCGCGATCGCCTTCCTGCTTCGTATGTACTGCAGACGGCGACGAACGCGATGTACATGACCCATGCCACTGCGTCGATGCTGACGTTCACGTCTAGTCCACTCCCCCTTGGACGTGTCCAGCGTGACATTGTCTGAAAACATTGCCAGGCGAAAGTTGGACCTCCAACGCTTCATCCATTCCTTGCAACGGCAGTTGGCGAATCGCCAACAGCAGCTCGAAATGCATGACCGCGTGGAGCAAGTGCTGACGACGCGCGAAATGCTCGAGTCGCCCCCTTCGGACGACCGGCAATGGGTAGAGATCATGCGGCGCGGCAAGGAAATGTATCAGGACGAGTGGGAAGTTGGCGAAAATGGAAATCTACCTCTAGGGTAAGCAAAACGCCATAAAGTCTGCATCAAGCGTCGACCGCATGCTCATTAGAGTGCTGTTCAACATGCACAAGGAGGAGCTGCTGGCCACAGCTCGAGCTACGCCGCGACAGGCCGCCTCCAGCCATGTGCGTCTCTCATCGGTACCCATGATCTGTATTCACAGCAATATAGGCGAAGGATATTGAACGTCAGAACCAAGCAACATTATTGCTGCACGAAGCCATGCAAACCAGCCGACAGCAGAGTGTTCAAGGTGCATCAGCGGCCGCAGTCATACCCGCAGCGTCGCAGTGGAAATCTCAGCGTAGAGTTGGGACGACTTCGACGCCCATGGTCGGAAAGGAGAAGGCGGTCCCAGCCGCCGTCGAGACAAGCAGTATTTGGAGTCACCATCGCTTTCCATCGCAAAGTAGTCACACAGTCCCACAACGGCAACCACCTTCGCCAGTGCCGCGACTGAATCTGACAGCGCTGGCGGGGACCCCATCTCCACCAGGACAAGTCGTGTCGATCAAAGATATATTCAAGCGATTGCAAGCATGATGCATGAATCCACCACGACCCCACGTTGGCAGTCTATTCCTTGTGCCGCTTGGACGACTTGTCGCTGCTCTCTTTGTCCTTCTTGCGCTTGCTCTTCTTCAACGTGCGAGGCAACGCACCGCCCGGCACGCAGTCTTTGATGAACGCGTCGATTTCCTTGAACGCTTTCGCGTCAATCGCATCCACGTTCAACTCGATCTCGTCTGCGTTCTTTGGCGCATCGTTGGATACATTGCTAAGGTGGAGGCAAACGTACCTTTTCGAGAGCTTTAGGACACAGCTCTTCCAGCATGTCCACGACAATGCCGAGGTCTTTGCTCGAGATTTTGTAAATGTCCTGGCTAAACACGATACGTTCCTCCAAAGTGACGTCCCTGCATCGACCCTTGAGTTCAAGACGTCCATGGAGAAAATTGCTTACGACGACGAGGATTTCGACGACGACCCGTCGTCCAACTTGAGTTCTTTCATTTTGTCATCAAACATCTTGGCCAATTCGTCTGCCACGGCCCACAGGTCTGATCCATCCTAAGACATGCATGAGCGACCCCTACATACGTCAAGAATGGACCTGGTTGTACAATTTGCAGTTGTCCCAAATCAACCGCATGTCCCTGCCAAACTCTTCTGGCTTCTTGTACTCGCCTTTGTTCAGCTTCACACGGACGGTGCCCATGTCCATGGGAGTCTTGACGACCTGGAGGTAATCGTAGAGACCCCATTCTTCCCAGTTCACGCGCTCACGGAATGGTTCTGCGTTAGACCACGGCGATCAAACCTCCACATGCACCAAGTAAGTGAAACCCATCAAACATACCCGAGATCTCTAGCTTGAAGAAGTCATCCAGCACTTCCAGGCACAGCGCTTTCTGCTCCGCTTCCATCTTCTGTTGCTGGCTCACGTTCAAAATGTTGTTCCGGATAACACGTATCCGGAGAGAATTTGGCCAAGATGTCCCTCTCTGAAGTACATGCGCACCACGGTCATCACATACGTTCACGCAGCTGAAATAGCTCAATTTACGGCCCCACCACCACACAAACCTCACGACAGCTTTGATTTGCATGTGATGAGTCCCCAGTGTGCGAGAGAATGCAATTAAGTTGATTGGGAATGTAGTTTTGGATTTACAGCAATCTTGAGTAAACAATACAACGTCGTCTTCTTTAGACTTGTTTTGGGTATGTGAAACTTGGAAATTCGTTTTTAGGGAGCAGTGATGCTGTAATTCCCCAACTCCCGCCATATGTCCCGCCCAAATCGACGGAATATAACATTTCTGTTGGTCGAGATGGATTATACAAATTCAAGTAGTTATAACTATTGCCGAAATTATAACATCTATTACATATGTCTGCATTTCCAGTGGTGAATTTGACAGTTCCCATACTTGTTCTGGATTTGGGAAGGATAACCACCCTCATGCAGGAGAGCGTGACGACAGCGCCAGGGACGGTGCTTGAGCAGGCGTACAAGCCGATCCGAATTACTCCTCCAGATCCCGCGGATCTCGAGCTGAGTGCAAAGCTGGAAGCGTTCATGGCGAGCCACTTTCCAACGGAAACAGAGAAGAACATCCAGCGACGCACGATGATCCTGGCCGAGTTACGGCGCATCTTCCGTGCATGGGTGAAGGACGTGTGTCTTCAACGCGGTGTGTTGGAAGAGATTGCGAACGAAGCCGGGGGCATTGTGCTCGTGTCTGGGTCGTATCGGTTGGGGGTGAACGAGCCTGGGGCCGATATCGACACGAACTGCGTCGCCCCAAAGTTTGTCACGCGGGAGGACTTTTTTTCGTCTTTGAAGGATATTCTCCTCAAGAATCCGAAAGTGACCAACTTGGTGGCGATAGAAGGCGCGACGGTGCCGATTCTCACCTTCGACTACGAAGACATCAACATCGATCTCCAGATTGCAATTCTAGACCGCAGCTCCATTCCCGACAATATCAACATTTTGGACGACAACATTCTCAGTGGCGTGGACTCTGCGACAGAGAAGAGTCTGAACGGGCCACGGGTCACGGAACTCATGATTCGGCTCACTCCGAACCGCAGTAGTTTCATCGCGGTGCTGCGCATTGTGCGACGATGGGCCAAGCGACGAGGATTGTATTCAAATAAATTGGGGTATCTCGGAGGTGTGAATTGGTGTATCTTGGTCTGCTTCATCAACCAACTGTACCCCACGGCGGCGCCATCGACGCTCCTCCTTCGTTTCTTCATGGTGCTGTCGCAGTGGAAGTGGCCGTCTGCGATCCAGGTACCTTTCGTCTGTCGTCTGATGCCCTCCGAACTCGTTAGACTCGCTCACGGCCACGTTCTAGCTATGCAAGACGTACGACGCCAAGCTCGGTCTCGAAATCTGGAACGCCAACGTCGGCGGTAACCGCTTCCAAGTCATGCCGATCCTGACGCCGGCATACCCGAGCATGAACTCGTCGTACAACGTGTCGGTGCATTCACTGAGCGTGATGAAGGAAGAATTCTCGCGAGGGCTTGAGACCGTCAAGGCGATTATTGCAAGTGGGGGCACAGACTGGGCGCCTCTCTTTGCGCCGTCCGAGTACTTCGTCGACCACCAATACTACTTGGCGGTCGAAATGTACGTGGCGGATCCGAATGACCAAGGCGCGTGGTGCGGGTTTGCCGAAAGTCGACTGCGCAAATTTATCGAGACCCTGGCGTACCACAACCCGCAGTTGTGTCGTCTGCGAGTGTACCCGAAGAAGTTTCCGCTTTTCTTCGTCAACGAGTCGATTCCGCTGGATCAAGACAAGAAGCATGGGTGCACGTACTTTGTCGCGTTTGACGTGGACAAGACCAAGCTCCGCGGGAAGGAGGTACGGCTGGATAGCGCTGTCGACGATTTCAAAGTCAACAGTTTGTACCGATGGCCCAAGCGAGTGGAGGGCATGGACATCCGCATCACTCCGCTCGGGTGGAAGAGTTTGCCCGAGTCTGTCTTTGAAGAGATGGGCGGGCTCAAAGTCGCAAAGGACCTGCGGCAAAAGTATCTCAAACGCAAGAAGGACGAACAGGCCAAACTTGATGCCGAAGCCGCTATAGCGGCCACAGTGGCCGTGCCACAGCAACCGCCATCGTCGTCTTCCACCAGCGACAAGGACGGCAGTCTTTTGTCCCAAGAAAGCGAGTCCCAACCCACAGAAGACCCACCTACCAAACCTGACAAGAGCCCAATTTCTGCCAAGATCGTGCTGGCCACGGACGACCCGACGCCAGTGTCGACCCCTGCTCCGTCACCGCTTCTCGTCGCGGCATCGCCGAGTGTGGACAAACGCCCACGAGAGGATCCCCCCTTGATGTCACTGGCACCGCCAGAGGCGACGATGTCGGAGGTTGCCAAGGACTCTCCCCCAAAGCGCCGCAAAATGAAAATATCATTTGGTGCCATGTGAGACCTTGGACAAATGGACACACAGAGCGCGTCGAAAAATCCCCACAAAAACATGATTCACTAGTTTATAGGTACACCACGAGCCGCCGACGAAACCCAAAAACAAAACACACGAGGGCAAGAACGGGACGCGAACAGATTACTTTTTGCAGCGAAATATGAACAGCTCGATATGGCCTCAATCCACTCGTTTACGTAATCCGTTGTGTTGTTCGCAAGACGTAAACTTCCCGCGCTTTCACACTAGCAATTTTCCAACAAGTACCGGCAAACTCTGTTGCCGTGACCTTGAGAAACACATTTATGGACGCCATGACAACGTCCACTCGTGCACGTGCCAGTCAAAGGACACTCGTCGTATTGCCGACAGCGTCGCCGATTTCTCCCGCTGGCACTTGGAACTCGTCGATGCACTTGTCGTCAAACGGTAGTCGCCCGTACACAAAAGAGTGGAAGGCTACACGTAGAATCGCCATCAGAGACGAATCGTCCTCGCTTCCACTTCCAAACAACGATGAAAGCGAACAAAATTTTGGAGTTGTTTCAGCTCGACGATCCGTTGGGACTTCAAATCTGTCGCGCAAACTCTGTATGCACCTTCGTTTGTCCTGGTTCTCTTTGTCAACGGCATAACTTCTTAGGAAGGGGTGCACGAGATGGATCGCGGACACTTTTTCGCGGTCGCCTGGACAATTCCATGGTTCCAGCCCCTCTGCTTCTCGATATGGAATTTTCGAATAATCCGCAAAAACGTTGGAATACAAAAATGGCAGAAATATCTTTTTTTCACTTTGAGGTGTTTCAAACATTTGTGTTTCAAACGCGTTTCAAACATAGTTTTCGACGACAACAGAATTTCAAGAGAAATATACACTTTGGACATGACCTCGAAACTCATTTATTTAATAGTCATAAGCCTTGCATAAAACGATGTCAATTGTAGTTACTATTTCTAATAGAGGATTAGAATTGTGTAATTCAATATATTGTAAAACTGTATATACCAGGAATTCATTGATGTTGTTTCATCGCGATCGACTTTCCAACTCTTGCCGCGCTCAACCTATCGCCATCGCACTCTCCCTCGGACGAAAGGAGCATGGACGAAGTCGGAATCGATCGCAAGATTGTTATCGTGGGCTGCACAGACACTGGCAAGACGTCTTTGACGATCCGCTACTGCCACAACAACTTCAACACGCTGACTGCAGCGACGATCGGGGCATCATTCATGCAGAAGCGCATTGCGCTCGACAAACACAAGATGACACTTCAAATATGGGATACTGCAGGCCAAGAGCGCTTTCGCTCCATGACGCCCATGTACTACCGCAACGCCAAGGCTGCCATCCTCGTCTTCGACATCACAAAGGAAGACACGTTCGAAAAGGTACACGCTCCATACGTCTGACATGGGGCACACCTTCTCCATCACAGGTCAAGGGATGGTTGAGCGATCTGAGAAAGTACGTGGCAGATGACATTGTGCTCGCTGTCGTTGGGAACAAATGTGACTTGCCTACATCGTTCCATTTTGGACGTGCCGAAGCATTTGCGCGTGAAATCGGCGCGACGGCGCACCAAACGAGTGCGCAGACGGGTCAAGGGGTTGAAGCATTGTTCGACACAGTTTCTCGCTCCCTGCTAAAGAAGCACTTGGAAAGCGAACGCTTGCAGGCGATGTCGTCCTCGCCTCACGCAAGCCGATTTCCTGCTTCGAACCCAGATCCCCTCCTTCGATTGGACCAAGCCACGACACCGCCGTCGAAGCAGTCCGGAGGGTGCTGCAAGTAGTGCCTCCAACATTTAGTGGCGCCATCAAGTCGTTCTCTCTGCTAAGCATGCGTCCGTTTGTGCGTGACATCACGAGAATCGTGCAACCCAGCACCAATAGTCTATCCATCTAAAACTTGTTGATTTGTTTTAACCTCACACGAGATGGAATTTGTTGTTGAGATATGAATCCAAGCCCACGATGTAATTTGCATACAAATACAGCATCCCGTCAACGCGGCGAGACTGCAACTGGCCCATCATGAAGGCTCGCATCCCAACCTGTCCTCGGTGACGCCGCCACACAGCATCGCATTAAGGGTGTCGCCACCAAGGCGGTGCAAGGAGCCAAGGACCAAGTTACCTCCCAAAGGTCCTTGATGTAGCAAACTGGTCGCCGTGCATTCACCCCAACGGCCATGCATCGTGATGGCGATATCACGTGACCATCATTCTGTCGCTCACCACGAAGAGATTGGATCTTGAACGGTCGCGTCGAAACGGCGTTGTTCCGAAGGTGTTTCGTTCACTTTCGAAAGCCGCAGGTCGGTCGAGTGCGTTGGTGGAGACACGATGACGAGTCCGCCACCGGTGCTCAAGGAAGGGTACCTCACGAAGCGGAGCAAGGACTCGGCGCTCGTGACGAACTGGCGCAAGCGATACTTCCGCCTTGTGCCGGGCGAGTTGCTGTACTTTGAGTCGAAAGAGGATCTCGAACCTCGGCGTCGCATCCCGCTCGGCTTGGACACCGTTGTCAGTTTGAACAATGATCAGGGGTACAACTTGTGCTTATCGGTCAAGTCGTCCCCAACTTCCGAAGTGTTTTATGTGCAAGCCACGACCGAAGTACGCCGCTGCCATCCTTTCTGGGACATTGCATTCAACACACCGTGTTGGTGGCATCTAGGCAGAGAAGAAGGCATGGGTGGATGCGTTGTTTGAAGCGGCTCGTTATACCAAAGATGTTGTCGCGAAAGGTAGTCCGCCTTTGTCAACGTGTCAGTAATGGGCAAGCTCTGTAGCTCCACTGCTGGAGCCCCCACCGCCGTCGACCAAAACGCGGGAGCTAACGCGTCAAGGCACGTCGGTCGTCCATGCCGGCGTGCTACTCAATATTCGAGTCGTCCAAGCCAAGGGTTTGATCGCAGCCGATACGTCTGGTACAAGCGACCCGTACGTCGTCGTCACGTTGCTGGACAAGAACGCGTTCCCGATCAAGCACACGTCCCAGAAAACCAAAATTATCGACAAGGCGCTTGACCCCGTGTGGAATGCTGACATGCGCTTCGGCGATGTACGACCGTGCTTCGGGGCCGTTGCGCGCCGGGTCGACGCTGACAATCGGATGCTTTTGTAGAAATTGGACCTGAACACTGTCGGCGCGATTCGATTCGAAGTGATCGACCATGACAACTTTTCCAAGGACGACAACATTGGGGTCGTCACCGTTCCCCTCGGGTGTTTCAAAATGAGCGTAGCGAGCGCCACGTCGTCGGAAACGGTACACTGCGACCACGACAAGCACGACTGACACCCGATGTGCAGATCGACCACTGGTTCCACATCGACCCGCCACTCACGGGCGCCCGGCCGACGACCAACTTGCTCGCGTTTGGCCAGAACGAGCGGCAAATGGACGAACGAGACCACGGCGAGCTCCATTTAATCATGAACCTCAAGGGCGCGGGGCTCCCAGAGTTTTTTCGCAACTTGGAGCTGCGTGGATCCAGTCCCACCAAGCACCAGCTCACGTCATCTCTGGACGAGACGGACAACAGGCTCGAGGTCACGGTCGTAGCGGCAAAGGACTTGGTGTACTTCGATCCAAAGGATCCGTCCGGCCAGCCCACGCACGCCGTGAATCCCATGTGCGAGATCACGCTCGTGGATGCCAAGACCCGTGCAGCAATGAAACACGAATTGTTTCGCACGGTCGTGCAATTCAAAACGATCTGTCCGGTCTTTCCCGACGCCAACTTTGTCTGCGGCCGCGTACGCCCGTTTCCGAGCCTCTGACCACTCATCGCTTCGAGCAGGTCGCCGACATTGACCGTGCCGGAGCAGTCAAAGCTACCCTGTACCATGTCGAGAACGCCAAGCAGAGTGTCGCGTTGGGGTCTGTGGAAGTCGACCTCCACACCGTGTCGGCCTTCAAGGTCCATGAAAACTTGCATGTCTGTCTCTGACAACGATCGTTCGTCTGTAGGTGGCCAATTGGTACCCGCTGTACTCGCACGCGACGCCACCTGTAAAGGTCGGCGAAGTGCGGCTCCAGCTAACCCTCATTGGCGAAACCCGAGGCGAAAAGCAGCAGCGAGAACAGATCAAGCGGTACCACGTTGCTGCACTTGTTGTTGGGCAAACCTTACAACGCCTCTCGTGGTAGGGCCATCAATGCTGCTGCCAACGCAAAATCCCTCGAACAAACAGAGTACGTTGATTGTGTTTGGCACGTGGATCCGTCCAGAGCTCAACGCGGTCGGGCGTAGGTTGGAGAGCGCGCAATTCCTAATGCTGCAGTCCATGCGCGACTTGGACGGGGCTCGCGTGTCTTGCGCTGAAGAAGGGTACCAAATCCGCCATCCCAAGTTCTACGGTGTCAATGGCTACCTCCACGCCGCCCATGCTCAGCTCGTGCAGGCCAACTCTCGCCACCAAACCCCCGACGACGTGTTTCAGAGTCGAGGGCACATCGAGGGCTACGCTTTGCTCGATGTGACAGTTGTCGGGGTCCATAACATGCAGCTCGGCGACCGCATGAACAGTACGTATCGTTGCTTGTCCCTTCTGGTCCAGTTCTAACTTGACGCTTGCAGTGCCTGGGGTGGGAACCTATGCTCGCATTGACGTGGAGCCGACTGCCGCAGTCACGAAAGCCAAGCGCATCTATAAACCGTACCTGGCGCGAAAGGCACACAAAGCAGCGCCCGGCCTCAAGCCCATGCAGTCTCAGCGAGTTGTCCAACACGATAGCGATGGTAGGATGGAGCGGTGCACGGCAAGCGATGGTCATGGTCCATTGTCAGGACGCGAAATCAACTTGAACGTGGGAGCCGTGCGCCAGGCAATTTGGGGGAAAACCCCCGTGGCAGGCGAAGTCTCACCGAGTCGCCAGCGCATCGGGCGCCACGAAGCGCGCATCGAACGAAACCAAGCGATGGCAGAAGACCGGCCGTACCTACGCGTCCGGGTTGTGTCGGGTCACAACTTCATCGCGGGCGACATGAACGGCTACAGCGATCCGTACTGCACGCTCTTCCTCACGAACGCCCAAGACGTGCCGTTCGAACAAGAAAAGAAACGGACGGCTGTCGTGAGCAAGACGCTCAACCCTGTGTGGAAGCACGAAGAGTTCATGTTTGGCTTCGTAAGGCAGCGGTGGACGCTCCCGCCGAATCCTCACGCGCGTTGTGGCTGGTAGAACATCGACCTGAACGACGCCAAGTGTTTGCTCGTGCATGTGAAGGACCACAACAACATTGGCAAGAGCACGCCGCTCGGTCGCGTCGAGATTCCGCTCCAAGACCTGTGCCAGGCGTCGGCGACCACAACGTCGATCAGCTCGGTCGCTGTCACAAAGCGCTACCCCATCACCCCCGAACCTTGGATGAAAAAGGTGAACCAACCGTGTTGATTTGTGTGTCGGATCATCTGACTACTTTGGGCAGCAAAACGTGCACTTGGGTGAGCTCTGCCTTGAAACAGAAGTCAGGGGAAACGCTACCGTCTTGGCCAAGTTGCTCATGCGCCAGAACCAGCTCCTGACGACCATGACGTCGGCGCTGTCTGTGAACAGCGAGGTCTCCGCGGGGGGCGACGCCGTGCTGTCGATGGAGGACGAAGAGGCAGTGTACGAAGAAGGCCAGATCGTTCGGTAAGGGCATGACTCCATGTTGATGAGCCCCATCGCGACATGGCGCTGCTAGGACGGTGTCCGTGGGTGGAACCGAGCCCCAGTGGAAGACAGATCGATTCCAGTTGCAGCTGAGCTACAATCGCCTGCTAAGCGACAACGTCGACACCGTCGTGTACCGCAACGAAGGCTTTCCGTACGACGTCCGCGTGACCGTCATGTGTGGGCGCAACTTGATCACGTGCGATCGAAACGCGGAAGCGGATCCGTTCTTTACCATCACCCCCGTGTGGGGCACCGGCGACGTGCTGTTGGCAGCAAAGCGCCAGAGTCTCACCGTGTACGAGAGCAGAAACCCCGTGTGGCCTGCGCAAGAGTTTGTCTTTGGGTCCACGTACGACATTACGCAAATGTCGCACCTGTCGATTCACTTTTACGACCGCGATTGGGCTGACCTGGACACGTCCGCGCTCAAGAATCTCGGCAACCCGGGCGAAGTCAACAACACGGTCGTCATTCCGCGGTCGCAACTGCGCAAAGTCACGCCGTGGGGCGACGTCGACCCGAATCCCGTTATGGAAGTCCTCGAGTATGACCAAAAGGTGCTGGCGTTCCGCAAGTGCGGAGTCGACGGGGGCAATTACTTTCCCGCCCGCATTCGCCACTACACACCGTTCCCCACAGACATGTACCTGGTCCTGTTCGAAGACAGCTTGGACTCGATATCCAAGATTCGGACACTCATGAGCTACGACGTCCAAGGCGAAATCGCGTACGTTCGCGGCGATGGCACCGTCGACGTCAAACTCGTCGGGGGCAACGGCGGGAGCGCCGACTATTTGTCTCGCGTGCCCATTCGAACTTTGAAACCTGTCAACGCGTTCAACGATGCCACCGACACGACCTTGGCGGCCCCCACCATGCATGGCAAGTGGGAGCAAGTGCAGCTGCAAGTGCTGTCATTGACAGAGTTTCTGCTGCCGAACCCGACCGTCCGTCCTGCCGTTGTCGTGACGCTGGTTTCGTATCCAAACGAGCGCACGGTCACAACAAACCAGCGCGGAGAGATCATGGCTGCCACGATGACGGCAACTCCCTCGGAAGACGCGCACGCCAAGGTCCCCAAGTTTGGTGGGATTTGGGGCAAAAAGGACAAGGCACCCGCTGCAACGACGTCCGCATGGACGTATGTTGTGCCCGCTGGCACGAATAACCCAGGCAGCGTGAGCCTTAGCACAGTTCCCCCTCTTCTGCTCGAGAAGCCTCTCGTGGACTCGACCGCGGCCTTGGTTGTACGTGTTGTGGATCAAGGGACTGCCGACACTCCGTCGCTGGACCAACCGTGCTTGGGACTCGTCAAGATCGACTTGAGCGCGTGCGAAGAAGGCATGGGCAACTGGCATCTCAAAGTCGTCCCTCCAGAGATGTCCCAGCCCTACAACAAATTCTATGGCGCGATTCATTGTCGCACCACGTGCACGCCTCTCCTCGTAGACGACGATGTGATTTTGCCGACCAGTGCGCAGACTCTGGCCACCCCAACGATTGCATCGACGAAGGGGGTCGCGGAATGGTACGAAGATGTCTTGGCCAAGGAGAAACGGATGGCGTCGTTCAACTGGAAGGCGATGTGGGTCCCGGAAACAGTCGTCGAGTACACGTACTTGGCGCGACGCCAAGCTCTGCGTGGGTCGCTCACAGCTCGCCAAAACCGACAGATCGACAACTTAGGGACCGCACTCAATGCCATCTACCGCCACGTGCTTGGCGCCCTGCGCGAAATCGCCCTCTTTGACGAATTTGAAGGGCTGTCCCACGACGACATGCTCAAGTTCAATGCGGTCCACACGTTGAGCGCCCACCCCGACAGCGAGTGGCTCAATCGCCGCATCAACGAAATGAGCGTCCACGTGCGCAAGAAGATTGTTGTCGACTTGGAAATGCAACTGCTCATGATTGCCGGAGTCAAAACACTCCCAGCACTCCCGCTGCCAGATGCAACGTTGGACACGTGGCTCGCGCTGCGCAAGGCCCGACAAGATGCTCTTGCGCCGTACAGCGACTTCTTGCCCACGGAGCGAGGTAACGTGCTCTACTATGTCGAGTTCTCACGGATGGGGCAGGCTTGCTGCTCAAGTATTCGGCATGCTTTACTGGCGAAGGAATTGTATCGTGGATCCTTCGGCGTCCGAGTGTCTTGTGGCAGGACGAGTGGGTCCAGTTTGCATGGAACGAACTGAGCGACAACAGCTCCAAGCTGCACTGGAACGATCCCGAGCTCAAGGTGAATGCCGAGGCGATGCAAGCGCCGGAAGGCCGCGAACACGTCACGGTGTGGCTCAAGGCGCTCTTCGACGTCGGCCACTTGGAAAGCGTCAGTGAAAAGCGCGATTTTGCCGACAAGGCGGACCGATTCTACCGCATGCACGCGCTCGAGTTTGAACGATTGCACATCCACGCGTCGGATAGCACGGCGCCGTTGGACTTGGTGCACGAAGTGGACTGCGACACGAGCGAAGGCGAATTGTTTTGCAAAAAGCTGACGAGCCACGCCGCGGGATTCCTTGGCACCGTGAGCGCCGTGTCGTCGCTGATCGGCAGTGCCGTCGACGCCGTCGAGAACCTCGGACGCTTCAACGTCCCCACCTGGACTGTTCCCAACGTGTCCACGTCATTAGGGCTGCCCCAAGACTCGCTATGGCAATGGCGGTACTGCATCTTCCGCCCCGATTCCAAGTTGCTGTACCTCTACGAGTCTGTCAACTCGACAAACGCGACCGCAATCGTGGATTTGTCCGTCACCCACACGATCGTGACGTACGCAAACCCCAAAGTCCACGGTCCCGACTGCTTTGAGATCCGACAGCCAGTGTTCCTGGCTCCGCATCCGACGACGAGCAAGTTGGTCCGCATGACGGACGCCGACCTGGACGCAAGTTTTCTCGGCAACATCGAGTGTAAGGCCAAGTTGGTGCTCAAGGCGCAAGACTCGCAAGTGTGGATGCAGGCGATGCTCATGGCAGGCGTCAAAGTCACGTTGGAGAAGCGACAAAAGGTCCTCGTGTCGCGCTTGAATGCCAACGTGTTGCATGCCAAGTGCATGCAACACTCGCTCAACTTTTCGTCCGCCGACCTCGAAGGTTCGTTCCAGCATTTGATGAATCGCGTGTTTGGCCATGACCACGTCGCCGCACGGAGCTCGGATCGCCATGTCAAGGAACACCGTGCAAAGGTGCGTGCGGAGCTCAAGAAAGCAGGGTCGGAGGGGCTCGCGATTTCTGCCAAGTACGGTCGCAGCAATCGCTTTGATCCAGGGCCGACAGACCCTCGCAAGTACACCCCAGGTACCGTCGCGATCTCGGAATCGAGCTGTGAACCTAACGCTTTAGCTAGGCTACGAGTATCCCGCGCGCATTGTAGTCATCCGCACGCCGTTCACAGACGCCACGTACCCCGTGAAGAAGCAATTCTTGATCGAAGCAGCGCCGCCCCGGTTGAAGAAACTCCTCCAAGAGTACAAAATCACGACGCGGGCGTCGTGGTTGGAGCAGCCGGTGGCGATTCGCGACCGGTTTTTGCTGTACGATGTCGAGTACAGCGACCAGATGGAGACCGTGATTGAAAAGGACATGCTCCGCGAAGACTTTCGCACGATGGACGGCGACTTGGACCCTGCCAAAGTCCGCGACAAGTGCCTTGATCTCAACTACACGTTCCACCCCACGGACTTGGAGGGCTGTGTCAACCGGTTTGCCGAGATGTCCAACGGCGAAACCCCCATGGGATGCTTAAAGATTCAATTGCAGTCGCTGTCCGAGCAGCGCGAAATCGACTGGTGGTACAAACTTGCGCCTGAGCGAGGCATGGTACAGCGCCGGGAGCTTGGCATGGTGCGTGTCCGCGTCGAAATGCGAAAGCACGACAAGAAAACGTGCTTGGGAAGCACGCCATTGCCGCCGCCACTGGCGCACCAAGTCGAACGGGCAATTCAAATGCAAATGAAAGCAAGTTCCGTCAACGACTCGAACTGGTTCAATCGCCTCAAAAAGACGATTTCGTCGCCGTTGGGGTCGCCGGCCAAAGGCAACAAGCCGCCCGTCCTGTCGGTTCTACAAGTGGACATTGTCGAGGGCCGGAAACTTATCATTTCCGACATCCGCACGTCCGATCCGTACGTTGTCGTGCTGCTTGTAAACTTGCAAGACGAGGAAAAAGCGTGCGGCAAGACGGACATCGTGCCCAGCACACTCAACCCCAAGTGGAAGAACCAGCAATTCACCCTCGGGCGCACCGACGAAACACACTTGCACGACAAGAAAGCACTGGTCCTTCGCATATTTGACCATGACACGTACAGCGCCAACGACCCGATGGGCTACCTCAAGCTCGAATTTGGCAAAGACGAGCGCGGCTACATCCGCAAGGTCAAGCTGCACCATTCCGGGCCCGGGGGAACGCCGACGTCGACGATCCTGGACGTGTCCAAGGACGGCGAAGTCGAAGTGTTTGAGCGGCTTCTCCGCGACACCAAGGCCGGACAGTCTGCGTGGGCGAAAGCCAAAGGTTCGTCACCGACGAATGCGTCCTTGTGACAATCGGTTGCTCTGTGTCTAGGCAACTCGGAGGAAGACGGGGTGTTAGGTCGTCTGCGCTTCAAACTAAAGCTGACCCACCAAGACTACGTCGACGACAAGAATGCAGCAGTGACGAACCCGACGGCAGTGTCGACGCAAGTCGTAAACACCACTGCCAACCACTTGACTCGGTTTGCCGCCGAAATTTTGCTCTCCCGCGTCGACAACGACGAGCACCTCGACACAATGACGTGGGCGCTCGTCCCTCGTACGAACGAAGGACACATGATCATGTACGATTCGAAGGCGGAGCAAATGACCCACGACAGCAAGAAGCCTCTGCGCGACCACGTCAATCAGCAACTTGTGTGTGGTCTTTCGTACGACGTTAGCCGCGTCGCTACGTACGATGTGGTGCTCCATCACATTGAGAACGGTCGCACGTTTTTGGGAACATGGTCATTGCATCCGGCCATGGACAACACGGTGGTGGTCGTCACGTGCAAGTGCACGGACAAAGGCGACGCGAGCGCGATCCAGGTGTCGTTGGTTGTGTCGTTTATCGGCCTCAACCGGGCCGACTACATCAAACGGTAACGCATCGTGTGGACATGCCGACATTGGATTCAAGAGATATGTCGTGCAGGGTGTTGAACGAGACGTACCAGCACGCGAGCCTCGAGTTTGACGCGAGAAGCGTGGCAGCCCTGGGCGAGACGGCCGAGCAGTTTTTGTGGGATGTGTGCAACGTCCAAGTGTCGCCCGGTCAAAACGTCGGCGACTTGCTCTTGGCGCAGCTGCACACGATGCACGCGAGCTCTCTATTGCATTGGAAGCATACACCCAAGTTGCTCTTGTTTGTGCTGCACCACGCGTTGGCCACCAACACGAAGGATCGCGTGCCCTTTCGCCACACGGTGCCGCTGGATGACATCTTGACGCGATGGTCCAAACTCCTGAGCTTTGTTGCCGAAGCCAAGTCGCAGCTCACTGGTCGGCTGCACGGCGAGCTCACGCCGCGACTTGTCTCGACGCTGGCGTCACTCTGCGACTGGACAGGTAACACCTTTTTCCAAACATGGAACGTGCGGTCACAGTGCGTCTAGTCGAGCCCGATGGGGCGACGGCAACCCGGTCGTTGCCGCAACTTCACGTCGGCGACAACATTCACGCGTATATTCCAGCTCGTGCGACGATCCAAGTTGGTCACTTGGTAGACGTACGGCTCCTTGGCACAAATAAATCCGAGGTGGCCGCCAAGTTCTACCCTGGCCGCGTGCTCAAGACGTACCCCGACGAGTTCGTGGATGTCCTGGTGGCGTCCAACTTGCACTGGTCCGTCGCGCCAATTCCAGATGCGCTCCTTCCACCTCTCCACCCCGGCGACGCGGTGTACGTTGGAGACGCTGCGACGAGCGTTTACGAGCTGCGCAAAGCCACGATTGTCGAGTACAACGCGGCTCATGACATCCCAGAGATGCCGTACTTGGTTTCGTACACGGACGAAGTGCCGCCAGTGTCGAATCGCCCGCGGGAGTTGTGGGTTCGCCGCGACCAGCTCGTGCAAATCTTGCCGCGGTACCCTGTCGCAGATGTCATGCCCCAGCTCCAGCCCCATGAATTTGTGCATGTACGAGAGAGCCCATCTCTATCTTGTATGTGCTTAGCTGTGGATGTTGGTAGGTGTCGTCGGAGCAAGGCAAGGCAAACAGGGCGGCCAAGATCATTAAAGGCCACGGCAACGGAACGTACTCGGTCCAGTTTCTTGAAGGGTCGTTGGCCATTGAAGCCAACGTCGTTCGCGACCGCATCAGCCCGACCTCAACCACAACGCTCGTGCGGGGTGTTGTCAACAACGTCCACGCGGACGGCGATGCATACGATGTCTTGGTCGACCAGAGTTGGGCACTAGCGACGGCAATCCCTCGCGAAGCCATCCGACTTTGCCATGAAGGATGGAGCACGGATCGATACAAGCTTGCATCTGTGTATGTTGTCGACGCAGCGTGCGGGCAACCCGGAAGCGCTACCGCGTCCAGTTTGGTTCACTTGTGGCAAGACGTGAATGTGATCCAAACGATTTTGGAGCTTCCGGGGCCCGTCGGGTCCGTGCATGCGCGCGATGGCCTCCGTGGCCATCTCATTCAGCTCATCGAACGCGACGACGTGGCGCCAAAGATACAAGGACAATACCACGGGTACACGATCGGATCCAAGTTTGTCGACGTCGACAAGCGCAAGGTGATGCAGCTGAAAAACCAGCCGCAAGATCACATCTCGTGGGCAAACATCGTGTCCGTGACCATCGCGCCGGAGCCATATGTGTCGGTCCACGGATCGATCAACATCGCGGGGACACATTCTCGAGCGTTCCGTGCCCTCATCGACCAGTGGAAGGCCAAAGAGCTCGGGGCCGTCATGACGCGGCTTCTGCTTGAGATCATCCTGCAAGGGCAGCCGTGGACACAAGATCTTCCGTCGATTCGAGTCGCCAAGATCACGTCCTCTGTCAATGGCAAAGCCGTCAACGACGTGTCGCTATCCCTTCTGGGCTCGATGGATGCGACGTATGTCAGCACTGGCAAGCGCATCAAAGGAGTCGCGCCATCCTTGCTGACCGTTCACGTGCACTTCGAAGTCCTCGTGCCTCTTTGCGACGCCGTCCCGACCTCAGCTGCAGAATCGGCGGCCGTGGCACTCGATCGCGCAAACGATATCGTGCTGTTGATGTCAGGAGTAACGTGCTTGGTTCACGTGAAGGACCAGTGGAGCTTTAGCCACACCGATGCGCGCACCGCACCGACTGACGCAGTTCTCGTTGTGGGCATTTCGAACGGAGATCACACAGGAGCGCCAAGGCCTCAGCTGGCCCTCAAGGCGCTGGACGACGTCCGTCTGGATGTCATGACGTCCGACGGGACAACGTTCCAAGTCAACTTGGCGGAAGAGTCCCTACGCCGCGAATGCCAATTGCGCCACGTACTGCAAATCGCGTCTTGCTGCCCAAGGAGTAACAATGCTCGTAGGATTTGCTGCCGCTGTGTCCGGCAGTCGTCATGGGAACTGTGGGTACATCGGCTAGTCGGTGCGACGTTTGCTTTGTCGACGACCCCGATGCGGTCCCCCATTCGATTGCCTTGGCCGACATTCGCCTGGACAACTTGACCGTTGAAGTACTCAGTGCTCGCGACTTGTACACGACCATGACGCGAGAAGGGCAGCGCCAGGACGAAGACATTTGCGTCAAGGTGTACTTGTTGACTAACGAAGTCCCACCAAATGGCGGGCGCAATCGATTCGGGTACACTGTGACGTCGGACGGCGCGGTACGACTTGTCCATGCCAGTGCACGATGATCGCATGGATATGGCCGTGTAGGTCGTTCGAGACTTGAGGGACATCGAGTACCCCCGCACGACAACGACGGAATCACTGAAGAGCAAACATCCCGACTGGGATAAGAGCCAAAACGTCAAAAAGTTCTTCTTTGGCCACGTACCTCTGCCACATCCGTGCGTGGCCCATCTCACTCCGCTTCGTTGTAGCCGACGGTGGATTTGACGCACATGACGATGCTGGCGCTGGAAGTTGTGAGCAACACGACCGGCAAGACCATTGGCATTCACACTGCCCCGTTGGCGTCGATTCAAGATAGGGAGGTAAAGGTTATTGCGTCCATGATAAACCTCACGACGCTCCATGGTGACCTCTAGGCGACGCGGACAGAAGTGCTGTTTGTCAAGGGCGACCCGCTCAACAAAGAACCCCAAGGCAACATTACGTTCCGCGTGTGTCGTGACACGCAAGTGGCTGAAGGATCCAAGGTCCTGGCGCGCCTCGGCTCGGCGCGGGACAAGTGGATTTTGAGCCCCATGGAACTCTTGACACAGTCCATGAAGTTCAAAACAAAGGTACGTCAGGTGGCAGATTGGCTGTTCGATTCTCGCTCGTTCTCACAGGTTGCCGCCATTCTTTGTGTTAGCACGCCGAACGTGGCCTGGCTGACAAGCTTGCCGACGTCATTGTGGCCAACAATGCCATTGAGCAAGAGAAAGAAGTCCAAAAACTGCTGCGGCTCGTTCGCCTCTTACACTCTCAATCAAACCTGAAGCCCACGGGACGCAGAAACCGCGACCAGCGCGCGTTGACGGTGGCGACAGCGTCTCCGCCGCCCCAGCCCACGTCCCTCAACCAAGTTCAAGCAAAGCACATTTTGGCCGCGGGACTGGCCACTGCCGAGACGGTCCTGGAATTGGTGGGTTTTCGTAGCCTCATTCAGTCCACCCATTGACCGTACACACTTCTAGGTTCAGATGCGAGGCGGCACGTCGTCTCGTTCGATGGCCCGACGCAAGTGGTCGGCGGACTATGTTGACGAAGACATGGTCGATGCCACTGAAGTGGACGTTGAGCAGCGGTCGCCTTTTGACATTGCCACCGATCGTTTGCGCAGCACGCTGCTCAAGTTGCACGGCGTGTGCACCCGAAAGCTATTGCCCAAGCTCGACGAAATGACCGCCATGTCCAAGGCTCCCCACGTTCCACTGGCGACGGCGCAGGCGCTCTTGACGTTCTTCGAAGACGAAGTCGACGACTTGGACAATGTACATACATAAAATGTGTGGTTGCAAGCTGCTCACGACGGCCACTCGTTCATCCAGGAGGACTTTCAAGCGTTTGACGGGCTACAAAAACGGACGCGCGTCATTCAGCTGACACAGCTCCTCAGCGACTTGATGCGCGCCTACGTCAAGATATCGATTTTTGTCGACCAAGACGCGAAAAACCACGCAGCGAGTCGAGACGAGCTTGTCGGGGTCGCCAACATCCCTCTCATCGACCTCATCGACCGCAAGGAACACAACCAACAGTACGCCCTGCACTTGGACCGCGTCTATCGGGACCAGCATAATCCCGCAAACTCGGGCTACGATCGGATTCTACGCCGCGGCACTGTCCACGTCAGGACACAGCTCACGTTCTCGGAGGTAGCAGCACTCTTGTCGTAAGAACTCTCACCATGTGCGGCGCGACAGGTGTCCCTCCTCGAAACAGCGATCTCGATCCTGAAAGAGTACAAGGCCAAGTACATTTACCAGTTCGAAGTGGCGCGTCGCCGGGTCAATTCCGCGGTTGTCCCAGCCCAGCGCCGCCGTTGGCAGACGCTCCTGGGGTACCTGGAAGCTCTCAAGGCCCAGTCGACGGGCAAATTGCACTGGGAAACAACACCCACGCTGCTCGAGCACGTGTGGGACATCTTTTTGAGCCACAAGCGACAGCTTCCAACGTTCTTAGTTAACTTTTCGTCCCAAGTCAACATGTACCGCGAAGTTGTCGTCAAAGTGCACACCCGATGGATCAACTTGCAGCCAAAATTGAACGAATTGCTCGAAATGCAGGCCCAGCCGCAGATTCATGCGTCGCGCACGCCGCAGCTCATTGCGGAAGTCGAGGTATCATGCCATCTCGATCACAGCCGACTTGTCCACTGACTTCACCCTTGTGCAGGAGGAGATCGAAGGCCTCGATGTGCTTCGGAGCACTGCGTGGCTACAAGTACAAGGCAAGTGGCTTGCTCTGGAGGCTGCGCTGGAAGAGCTGGTTCAAATGAAGGAGCGCAACAAGCTGCACATGGGTCGCGCGCCGCTGCTGCTCAACTTTGTCGCTCAAACGTGCTCGAAAGGCCTCAATGCCCGCCATGCCGACGCAGTGTCGACGGTGCAGTTTCGGTGGGTAGCACTGACAAAGCATGACGGTCCAATCAACGAACTGCGCCTCATGGACACCCACGGGTTACACTGGCGCCGAACGAACGACCTCTTGATGCTCTTAAACGAGCAGTGCGAAGGGTTCAGCGAAGTCGACGAAGTCGCGCTAAAAGCCGTCACGGCGCGATGGCAGCAGGTCGAGACGTGGCTCGGGGACTTTTTGGAAATGCAGCTGGCGCACAAGATCCATTGCCAGGAAGCTCCGTTGGCGCTGCGCAAGTTCAACTTGATTAAAGACCATGCGAACTTGCCATCGAGCAAGACCCACGACGAAGAAAGCGTCGAGGGGTTGCTGGAATGGTACGCTCAAGAAGAATCGCGCCGGGAATTGATGCGGTTGCCTTACCACCGCATCACGACCGATGCCGAGAGGGACAACTGGCTCGCATATTCCGAACACGGGCGGGACTCTCGGCTCCTCATCACCAAACAGGAAATGCTGTACACGCCCGAGAACGTCCGGGCGGCGCTCATCGACCGCGGTGTCTTGCCAAAGTACGTTGTCTCATGTCGTGTGGATACATGCTTTACACTTCTGCAGGTCCATGTCGGTGGGTCAAATCGAGCAGATTCGCAAGTCTTCAGGTCTGTGGCCGCGTGCTGTGCTCGACGAAATCGACATTCTCGAGCTGCAAGTTGAGCAAGGCGCGGCCTTGCCGAACCCCGAGCGCGTCGTCGAGTTGTATGATGTGTTGGAAGATGTGGGAAAGGGCGACTTGCTGTGGAAGGTACGTCGCGTTCGGCTGGTTTGCATCGCTTGACTCTATCCGGGTGCCACCATGCACAGGTCAAGCATTGCGTCAACCAGAATCACGAGCTGACTGTCCCCGAAACATTTACCGAACTCTTGTACGAGCTCAAGAAGCGGTATTTGCCAACCACGGAAGCCGAAGACCTGGTCAAGGGCTTGTTGAACACGATGCAAAAGGAGCACCTGGCACGCCTTGGCATCAATGTCCCGGCTAACGCGAGCTACGCCAAAGTGTGCACGATCATGGTCGCGAACCAGGTCAAGGAAGTGCCGCTACCGTTAAAGACATCAGACATCCAGGACTTGCTCGTCGACCGTAACATGGACAAGAAGGGCGATCCAGTCTTTTGCCGCGGGGTGCGCATCAACACGAACGCTATTGGTACGCCATCCACGTTGATGAAAGGCAGAGTCCTAACGCACGAACTTTGTGCAGGCACGAACCAGGAGCATGGTCGATTAGGCATTGTCGACAGCCACGTGGAGGCATTGCGCAAGCAGCTCTTGGTGGAAGCCATGCGAAAGCGCAATTCACTCGTGAAAACGTTCCCAGTGCCGTCCCCAGCGCTGGAGAAGGAACTCGCAGATGTTGTTGAGCTGGACATGAGCGGCGACTACATGGTCTTGGTTCACCGATTCCATGCGTGGCTCGTTCACGAAACGTACTCGGCCCGTCTTGCGGGTACGCGTTGCTTATCGTTTCGTGGGACTGATGGAACTCCAACAGGTTACGCGGCACTGGACCGATGTGCCCGCGCGCTGGTTCATGCCAAGCGCGACCAAGTCATGACGAAGGAAGACATGGCAGTGGCGCTGATGCCACTCAACACGCGTCTTCCTGTCGAAGCGTTTACACGCGACGAGCTTCTCCAGGCAGCGCGGACGAATCCAAGCAAGATTAAACCCGCTTCCGAGTCGCTGGTCCAGGTGTTGCCGACGGCCGAGAACGCGAAGGCCATGGCATACTACGCCGCCCTCCGTACTACCGCGAATGCATTCCAAAAGCACACGTCGTTCGCGTCTCGATTCGACGTAGCGACGCAGACGGCCGTCGACGCGATGGACATCCACTTATCGTTTGATTCGATTCAGCAAACGTCGCTGCCGGACGACAAGTCCAAGTTGACGCTCGGGTACATGATGGCGGACTGGTTGCTCGGGTGCGACGATACTCCGATCAAGCTCAAGCACCTGGACGGACCGTACTACATGCAGCGCTTGCAGTGGGCGTCGGCCGCGTTTGCGATCCGCCACCGATGGTGGCAGCGCGGTGTTGGATGGTGCGACACGTCTCCGACCGCCCAAATCGGCGTCGGTGTCAAGGTCCTGCTCGACGACTTGCTCCTCATGTCTGGCGAGAACAAGATGCACATGCTCAAGGCAGAGCACTTGCTCAAGGAAATCAACACGAAATGCTACCAGCTCCGTTCGCGAGAACACGAAGCGCTCCAGACAATCTTGTGGCGGTACAACGAAAACATGACGTTGTTGGAAGAGTTGGTTCAGCACGCCGAACGGTGCATCAACAACCGAAAGCTGCACTCTGAGCGCACGCCCGAGCTGCTTCATTTGATCCAGCAACACTGCGTCGTGCCCAAAGGTAACTGGCTTGTCGACTTGTGTACTGGATGATGAAGTTCGATGGACTTGCCTAGGCCTCAGCACGCGGCATAGCGAAGCGTACAGCGTCGTGACCAAGCACTGGTTGCCGCATAGCCGACAGCTCGATGAGCTTGTCCAAATGCACAAAGACGGCACGTTCAGCATTAATCGCACACCCGAGTTACTGGAAGCAATGGCGACACATACGGAGGGGTTGGCTGGCACTGCAGAGGTCGTCAAGCCCGTCGACGACTCGACCAACCAACCACTGGATGAATGGAGCGAGAAGCAGCTCGCTGAGTGGCGCAAAGGGCAGCGCAAGAGCGTCATGAACGAGGTCGAGCCAGGGGTTCATTTGAACTTGCCAGACGTCGCCTCGCTCTCACCAGACGAGGAGATGTGGAAGTCGCTCGCTGTTGAAACCAAATCCAAGCCGCCGGTACGACAGATCTCCCGTCGGTGTCGAGGCTAGGATAATGGACCGTGTGCTAGATCTCTCCATTCAAACGCAGCGTGACATGGTCGTTTGCCGAGGCGGCTCAGCAGGGCAAGGATCAAGTGCGGGACGCCACGAGAGTGCTGGACCCGAACAATCCCTTGGACACGACGATCCTGCAGCTCGCATCCAAGCACCAAGCTCCCCGAAAGCGCACGGTGAGCGAAGAGCTCTGCACGTTGCTCAAGGAGCCGACAAAGTGGCTGATGAGCGGCGGCTCCCAGCAACCTGCGCCAGCGGTGGAGCGCATTGCGGCGTGGAAATTTTACCCCGCTCAAGTTGTCCAAGAAGAAGAGTAGTTGCTGCTGCGTATTGGACGTCGATAAGGTGTAATGATTGTATTGTATGACAACGAACCAAGATGTCCGACGCATGTGTGCCCGATCGCTTAACGCAGCGCGCCCGCTTCGCGGAGCATCGGGACGAGTTTACCAGCTTGGTGCAACGCCTTGGTGTCGCTACCACCTCCAATGGACGAACCGCCGATGAACACGTTGGGCACCGTGCGCTGGCCCGTGAGTTGGAAGCATGCATTCTGGACATCGTCGCCCGTGGGTTCGTCGCCCATGCGATTCAGTTCGACGACGTGAAACGCGGCGCCAGTGGACTGGAGCACTTCCTTCGCCATCACGCAGTATGGGCACGTCGTCTTCGAGAACACCACGACGGCGTGTTGAGCGATCACGTTCTTGACGAATTGGAGCCCCGTGGTCATGGTCGGGGCCGCTGCGGCTTGGCGGTGCAATTCTCGTGAATGCTGGGCGCTGGCCAATCAACTTGGTTCATCGGTTCACTTTATCGCTCGAAATAGACTGAATAATATGAGCGTAATTCGACCATCCACCGAGACGGTCGACCAGGTGGACAGCATCCTCGCCATGCCACGTGACGACTGGATCATGAGTCATGCGAGCCTAGGATGCTCCTCGTTTGCGCTTGGAAATGAGTTGTCTTGGGGGATTGTGCGGTGGCAAGAGTTGGCTTCGTCGCTACGACAACGGCGCGTGATCCACGAAACGAATGCATTGGTTGCATGTTGGACAGGCTGCAGAAGTGTCGTGGGGTCTCGCTTGAGCGGCTGCTTCGCGAGGTCGCGGCAGCACACCCACGTGCAGACGATTGAGGTGCTCGCATCGTGTTGCAGATTCTGCTGGAGGTAGTCGAGTGTCGCAGCAATGTGCAACCTTGTACAAACGAATGTTTCGTCGCAGATTTCGATGTCGACACACATCATCTAGGGATGTCGACACCGCCCCATGGAATGGCCATCACGCGCGCGGCTCATGCGGTTCCTCCAAGCTTGTGTCGTGTGCTCGCTACAGACACTCAGGGTATCGTGGCCATGGCACTGGGGATGCCTCGTTCGAGTCACCGAAACCACATGTGAACGTTTGAGTGATTCACACCATACCTATCTGTCTGTCGCCCCTGCAACGAAAGCGCCGCCATTCTCCAATTCTACACTCAAGACGCATGCAACTCATCCAAATGTTGGAGGTGCTGACCATCATGACGCTTCCGACGGGGGCGTGTTTGGCCTTGAATTCGACGTTGACCTGGTGCGAAAACCATTGCAACGAATGTACGCTGGACCACCTGCTCCACCTGCAGAGAGTCACTGATGTAGTTGTCCACCCACAAGGTGCAAGGGATCGGCGAGCCGATCCATGCCCACCTAGAGATCTTCACAGCCGCCAATGCAGGTAACGATGGGTCGTCGCGCACGAAAAGCTCTCGTGTGGCGCGAAAACTCGCTATCCCGAATGTTATCTGCAGCTCGTCGAATGCGACATCGTTTCGTCGGTCTGTCAAAGTGTCGGCGCTTCGTTGGCCTCAGCTGAAACCTAGAAGACCTTGCACGATTGTCCGAGATTCACCATTTGTGACTTCGTTGTATTTGCGCGAGTAGACTAGCGATGGTCGAATCAAGCCGCGGTCACTGCCTCGGACAACTTCTTTACTCTGCGCAGAGTGTGGCGAAGTATCAAGACTACAAGTTTCCACCGTAAGAAAGGCACGCCCTAGGATGGCATGTCATGGAAGTTAGCTGCGGCATGAACCAACGTACGACCGTCGTGCGCTGTTTCTTGGATAGTGATGGTGCTGCACAGGGTCATCCAGACATCTCCGGTACGGCACCATTGAGTTGGAAGTTCAGTCGAATGGAGCGTCGGTATACGTTGGTGACCTCACAGGAAGACATCCTGGTGAATAGTAGCGGAGAGGACTTCGTTTCGCGATTCATTCATGAACCCTCCTCAGCGTGAAGGCTGAAAAGTTTCAAGGGAAAAGGTACGTTGGCGAATTTACCCCTGCAGCTCAGGCGACAGAGTGCAGGCGCTTGGCATGCTTACCTGGCACGTGTCCCGTTGATGGCCCCTTCAAATCCAAACGACCTGGTTCCCCCTGTCGTTTCCTTGTTGACGTCGTCGATCGCGCGCAAGTCCAATCCGGCGAGCATTCTCTTCCCTTCTTACGTCTTGAGATCGCTTTCGAGATGTCGCAGTCCCGACAATTTCGCGAACGACGGCGTCCGTCGTGTGTGTCGAGCTTCGGCCGGCTTTCAAAGCGGGAGCAACTACACTGGCGAGTGTTGTCCCTCTGCGAAACGTGGTAGGGTGAACAGCGTGTGTCGCCAGTTTGATTTGCCCTTGCAAGCGTGGCGCTTGACAAGGCGATGGATGTTATACATGCGGGAGGGCAACTTGATCATTCGTCTCGGCGGTGTCAAAACACAAACAACGGCATGAACTTGTCTCGGCAGCCAAATGAATTAACACATTGAATGCTACGTCGATCCGTACACCACCTTTCCATCCGAGTGCAAGCGAACCACCCTTCGTTTCGTCGATTGCTGTCGGATTTGGTGGACAAGACTTGCTATCACCAGGGCAAACCCGATACCTGCAAACACCCATAGGTTTTCCCCATAGCCAGACGCGGACAACGTCGAGGACGGCACGCTTCGGGGACCATGAGTCGTCCATGGGCTGACTGAAGTCACAAGCGCGTACGGTTGGGGGCCTTGAACCAAGACAGACGCGCCGACAACATGCACCTCCAATTCCATTTCTCGTGTCTGGGCTTCGGAGCCCATTCGTCGACCGAGGTCGTCGTATGTGACTTGGACCATCTCCACGTTGTTCAGACTGTCTTTTCGGACGCCGCGTTGGGCCACCGGATGAACCATGACGTGGCGAGCCCCGCGGACGGTCACAAACAAATCCAAGTCATTCTGCAGCATGCGTGTTGCCAGCAGATTCCCTGGTGGGTCCGTCCATACCTACAATATCGTCCACGACAAGCGTTTGGACCCAGCGCTGTGACGTACCAGCGTTGCGCGAATGACTTGGTCCGGCCTCAAAGTCGCTCGATACAAGTCTTTGCCTCCGTGGGCTACCGACGGCGTCGTCGGGTGCACTGCATTCGGCCAAAACGCGACGTTGGCAGTCGTGGAGCCGAAGTTTGCCACCTTGGACATGTCTGGTAGGCCGTAACCTGTGCAGCACCATCACTATCCAAGAAACAGCGCACGACGGTCGTACCTTGGTTCATGTCTGGGTACTGGAGTGGCAGCGTCTTTCGACTCGAGCACGACTCGTTCACCTTGTTGTGTTCAAGGCGTCGCTCGAGTCCTTGGGAGCTGTGGATGAGCAGAGCCTTGATCAACGACGCAGGAATGCGGCTCATTCCCACAGCGGCATCGCAGACACCCTTGTGCCACCATCCATCTCGCAGCCATTCGTACGTCAACGCAGCCAGTCCAGCCACGACGGGGGTGGCCTGCATGCAAACCAAGTAAAGTGTCTCGAATCTTGAATCGACTGATGACTGGCAATGTCCCGATTTACCTGCGAAGTGCCTTGAAGCGGGCATAGTGCGCTTGTTTTCAACGTGGAGCCAGGTCCCTCGCTCCTTGCAGACCAGAGGAGTTCACCTGGGGCGACGAGATCTGGCTTCATCCTGCCGTCGCTCGTCGGGCCTCGCGACGAAAACGACGCGATGCTGTGCGGGTTGTAAAGACCAGGGCACCGGAATTTGTCCAGCAGGCTATCCATCGAGCTCATCGAAGCCCCCACACTACGCACATTGCATATCAGGACACGTTCCAGCCGATTGTCGCTATATCACGTGATGACATTTTTTGCTCCGGCGGGGGAGCTGATCGTACGGCTCCCATCGTCCCCTCCATTGCCGGCCGCAATGACAATGAGGACATCTGGATTGTCAAATACAAACTCGTCCAGGTTTTGCGCTTGCTAGCGACGACATGCCCGACGTGACGCTCTCCATGCAGCACGGCACTACTCTCGTACCTTGCTGTAGTCGTCCTTTTGAACGCCCCACGAGAACGAAAAGATTTTGGCCCCCGCCGCCACTTGCTTCCCCAAGAGATCCATCGCAGACGGCGGCGTGAGCAACTCGACAGGGCATTCCACTCGTTCGTTGTTGGCACATGAAGCGTTCTACCCACGTCAACTTGAACCCCAATCAAGCACCGCATTCGACCCACTTGCGTCCCAATGTCGGCAAAAGCGATCTTGGCCATGGGGGCGACCCCCACGTTCGGGTGCTGCTGGCTCCACGAACTTCCGGCCAATATGCCAGACACGTGCGTCCCATGGCCACACGTGACCGTCTTGGACTGATCGATCGTGTCCGCCATCGGTTCGTACAGCACTACCTGTCGACACCGTCAGGAGGAATGTGGTGGGTCCCTCGACCGATCAAACCTTTCGAGCGTTTGAGTTGATCGCGCCGAATTCACGTGGACCGGGCTGGTCGAACTGGTCGTGGTCCAAGTACAACCCCGAGTCCGAAATCCCCACGACGACGCCATTGCCCAGACTACAGCCCAGTTCAAGCCTGGCTAGCATCTCGACGAAGACAGACGTACATGCCGCGCGCTCGGACTTGGTCGATGCCGACGATAGACGATATCTGGTTGTCACTGGAGGTGGTCGACGGCGACGCAGATCGTGCAGATGGCAAGTCGAACGTTTCCACGACGCCCGCCCGAGTGACATAATGCACGTGAGGATGCCGGCAAGCGAACGCGATCACTGTCGCCCACGTCTTGAAGTTGCGCAGCCGTCGCACCGCCCTACGCCCAGTCCCCCCGTCACAGACAAAACCTCTGGTGACTGGGAGAAGGTACGGGCGTACAAGTGTCCGTCGTCAGTCTCGTGCACCAGGTTAGACATGCCCGTGGCATTCTGCAGGCCAGCATTCAACGACTCCAAGACTGCGCCGATGGATGCACCGTCCAGAAGTGCAATATGCACTGGCGGTGATGTTGTCGCAAACGTGGCGTGCACGGAGCGTGCGAGGGGGCTGAGTTTGAAGAGCGGGGGTACTGCCAGCACTTGGCCCACACAGGTCAGCGCCAACATGGACGTCCTTTGATCACTGGTCGCATGAACTAGCAGACTGGTGTGACCTACACAGGAATTTCAAGAGGGTGGTCGCAGAGGAGATGATCATGCGGCTTGCCTTGGTCAACGCCGTTACTTCGACCCATCACCGACAAGGATGGCACCGCCATGGCGTGGATGGCTCGGATGCACTCGTGTTCGTGGGGCGATCGATTCAGGTACACAAGCACAGGACTCGATGTCGTGGCATGTTCCTGTTGTATCAAACTGAATCTAAGGGACAAGAACATTCAGGACGGCATACCGCAGTGAATGCCATCGACAGTGGTGCCTGAGGCGAGAGATCACAGGCACTGCGCAACGGCAGTTTGGACGAGCCGGCCAAGGCATGCTCCATTGCTCGTTGAAACTGCGTCCAAAACTGATGCAGCCCCACGCCTTGCGCGGTCATGTTCAGGTGCAGGTTGTTGGTGTCGCACGCAATCAAGTTGAAGGATGCCGTGTCTGCGTCCTCCAACCGTCGGGGTAGTGACTCTCTGCAGGTGGAGCAATTGGTGGGGTGGTCGAGCGTAAACTCGTTGCAATGGTATTCGCACCAGGCCAAGGTCGTATCAAAGGTCATGTGCGCCACCACCAGGCTCGCCAACACTACCTGAACAACTACTGCGGTGGCAAAGCCCGTCGACAACATGGTCGTCGGGGTTGATGGTGAATGGGGCGAGAGGGGGCAACTGGCTGTTGGGCGTCCAAGTGCACTTGAAGTTAATTTCATCAAATGGTGTAAATCCCTTAAATAGTACATGGCCATCAGACGGTTTCCACAACGGCGGAACCCGTTCATGCTGCCTCACCCGTTCGCGCCTCCCGCGAAGGCGCTTTCACGGCAGCGGATTCTACCCTGCGCGTGTTGGTGGTTCGCCCCTAGTCCGAGCGTCGAACACGTTGAACGGTCGAATCCTCTGTCCATGATCACCGGCATTCCTGCATGCGCGCGTTGGCGGAGGCCACTGTGACTTCCGAGCTCAACCAGACTTTGATGAAAGAAGAGCTGAGGCACACTCGTCAAACCTAGCGGCGCTCGGAGACTTGGGCAGGGCAGCTCGAATTGAAATAGTAATGTGTGTGTCATAGCCTCGATGGAAAAGGCGCCACCATTGCGAGTCGACACCATATGAGCGAGAAGGAGCATGGCATGTTCTGCTTAACCACGCTTAGCCGCTTGTTTCTGCATGTAGGCTTCGCCACGCAGCCCGGTCAAGACTGTGACGACTTGTTCGACACCGGCGGCTTGGTTGGCCGCCAGGGCGTCGTTCAATGCGGTCACTTGGTCCATTTCAAGCGACTCGCAGAGGAATTCCACTTCGTATTCGTCGAGGCGAACATCCGCCGCGGCTTCACAAAGTTCACGGAACTGCTTCTTGACCTTGCGGAAGGCCTTCTTGAGCTTTTCCTTGGCCATCTTGGCATCCGCCTTGAGAGCCTTTTCGGCTTCTTCGGCGGCTGCTTTGGCAGCGGCAGCTTCAGCTTCAGCCTTCTTCTGGGCGTCGATGATGGCTTGGGCGGCGGCTTCCTTGGCGCGCTTCTCGTTCTCCTTCTTGTCCTTGGCCGCTTGCTTGACGCGACGGAGTCGAGGATCATTGGCTTGGGCGCGGTCGACGAGGGTGGCGAGACGGGCGTATTCTTTCTTCTTGAGCTTCTTCGCGGCAGCTTCGTTCTTCTTCATGAGGAAACGCTTCTCGTCACGGTGTTCAGCACTGTCAACATCGTGCTCGGCGTTGTGGGTGAAATCGCGCCACGAGTCAAACTTGAACCAAAAGTTGTAAAAGGCAGTCACGTCGTCCAACGGCGTGCTGTCATCGCCAAGGAGCGGCACTGGCTTGATTTCCGAGAACCGCGCGTTTCGTTCAAAGACGGGGCCGTACAGCGCATAAAAGTCGACCGTGCCCTTTCCGTCGTCCTGCTTGATCTTTTCCGTGCCGAGGGGAATCCAGTCGTCGAACTCGCACTGCGAGTCGTACGCTCGCTTCTTCTGGGGGTCCATGAGGGTGTTGAACGCTTTCTGGACCGCCAAGTAGTTGGGGTCGTTTTCGTCCTTGAGCGTCTTGTCGGGGTGGTGTTCGATCAGCACGCGATGGTATGCCTTCTTGATTTGCTCGGGCGTCGCGTCAAACATGACGTCGGTCAGGCCGAGTTGCTGGTACATCGTGAGTTGCAAGAACGGCTTGCCCTTGATGGACTTGCGGTACTTTTCCAAGATTGCTTCTTCTTGCGCCTTGGCGGCGACCTTGGCTTCGTCGCCGACGCTTTCCATCGACAACGACCGACCGCGGGCGGCGTTGCGCACGCGCTTGTGCAAAGAACGGCCGGCGATTTCAACGCGCTTCAAATACGGGTAGCCACCCAAGCCGAGGATGACCTTCGAGTCGTCGGCACCTTTAGGCGGTGGAGGAAGGGCGAGCATGCTCATGACGATTGAGGTTGCAGATATCGATAAGTGGTGCCAATGCAACATGCAATTTCACAGGAAGTAATGTACATTATACGTACTGTACTTGCGCCGAATGTATGAGTCTAAATTGACATCTCTCACAAAGTACACTTGTACATGGCCGTACAGACGTCCTGGGTCCTGTGAAACATGATAAGGTATTTTTGGGCAACCAAAAGCGGTGGCGGGCACTCCCTGCATGCTTCGATGGCTTCCATGCATGTGCAGTCACAATGACTGGGCTATATTTGGTGATTTGCTGGGCGATGCACTTGTATGGACGAGCACACACGACGAAGGGCTAAAGGCAATTACTTGGTGTCGGTCTATTCTCTTCTAGTTGAGATTCACGAAGAAGGCGGCACCGTATGTGGTACCTGTGCACACAAGGACGCTAGGAGGCAGTAGTTTGAGGCGTGATAGATAAGTGTGTGCAACGGGCTCGCAAGTGCGACCAGCACCACCACGACGCCGTTGTGGTGAACAGCATGACCGACAGCCCAGCGCTCGTGGAGGGCGGCGAAGGCAATTGGCGAACCCAAGGTCCGCCAAGAGCGTGGACTGTGTACGTGGTTTCCGCTCTTTCGGATGCAAGACAATTTTATCCGGATACGGATAAGGATCGATCGCCATCCTATTCAAATTCAAGAAGAACGATGGTGCCAACGGCATCGTCGATCAAGCAGATGCCCATGAACTTGGCATTGCCGTTTGAAGGCATCGGCGCAAGTGAGTTGGAGCTTCCCCACGGAGACGTTTGTGGCGAAATGGAGTGGGCTCGATTGAGCCAGCCATCTTCCACTAAACAACGCCGCGAGAAGTTGCAGCGCTTACGCAAGCTTCCGCCATGGAATGAACGAGTGGCATTGGTGATGCTGGAGCGTCTGCGAAAGCAACGTGCGTCAGCTCAGAGATGGATCCATGGACCTGCAGCCATGAGACAGCACAGCCAATTGGCGCAAACACTCGACGACATTGAAAGACTTCTAGCTTCCGTGCGATACATCAGCGATGTGTATGACAATACAAGCGAGACAAGCGCAGAGTAAGCGAAGTTACAGATAGCTTCCAACTGCCGACGTCCTGCAGCCCATAAAATAGCATTTACACCGTTAAACACTCTGCATCCATGGCGAATGCCTTGGGCAGCGCCTGTCTGCACAGCGATCATGGTAAATGATGCATTCGTGTCGATGTCAAACCATTAATCTCTTTCGAGGGGCAGAAATACTCGGAAATGTAGCCTTCATTCCACGGCCACACCGCCATGCGGCTCTCGCTTCTAAACTGGCTTGCACATTGGGGGATGCAAGCGCTCAACGTCACATCCGTACGTCTATTATACATTATAGCAGTGCCAACGTGTTCAGTACCCACGTCTTCTTGACCCAGTGATGGAGTCGCGCGTGGAGATGGCGTGGCTACACTGCAGGCACATTCGTTCTTGTGTTGTCGTGCTGCGTTGGAGTGTGAGCTGTTTGCAGTGACAGCACCATTCCTTCCGACTCATGTCGTCGTAGTCTTTCAGAGTCCACCGCGAAGGCCACATTAGGTTTCCTCAACCGGCGCTCGAGTGATCAATCGATCGCAGAATCCGGTGTGCCAAGCAAACCCGTTTTCGCCATGACAACGAGCGATCGTGCACATTCATTGGCCGCTCAGACTACAGATATTCAAGATAGTAGTACTAATAGTAAGGTTTTCCCTAGTACATTTCAGGATTAGTAGTAGTAGCAGAATACTACTAGTACTGTTTTGGAGCAGTACTACTGTACACAGTTTGTCCCAAACTTCACACGATTCAATAATTTCTTCTCGTCGGCAGCAGCAAACGGACAAAAGCCACCGCCAGCGAGCGCTGGCAGGTCGAACGCTGGCGACCACACCCCACTCCTTGCGTGATATACGAGGCACATGTTCCAGCGAACTGACAACATAGCAAAGTGTTCGTGAAAAAGCCACCTCGTCTTTGTCGAGTTGCAAACATGCAAGTCAATCGGAAGGCAATTGAAACAAGCATACGCAGGTGCATTCAGCCAATGCGGGTGAATCTGTGCGAATTTACCGCGTGCTCCAGGTCGATTTGTTGTTGGTTCTCGCTGGAGCGGTACACATCGTGCACTCCATGCAGAACACGTGAGTACGGGACTTATGTTGGAGCACGATGCTGCGGCACCTGACACACCACGACTTCTCGGACGAGATGAACGCCGACATCAGTGGCAACGACGGCGACGACGACTCCAAAGACGTAGCTGCAGCACACGGCATGGTTTCGTTGTGTGGCAATTTGAATTTTGCACAAAGGAGCGACCGCTTTCTCCTGATGTTTGGACTTCGACGGCGGTCCTGTGCGAAGTGTGTCATAAAAAAATACTACATAACTGTACTAGAATTTCAATGGTGAACATACTAAAGTCAAATTGACCATGTCGCGCTCACAATTTGTCACAAATGTTGAACGACCGTTCGACGGGTTACTATGCTCAAGGGAGATGGATTACATGGGGACGCGGACGATTCTGCTTCCAGACAAGTTGGCATGGCTCCATTCATGCATGATACTTGCCACACTAGCACCAAACTGTTGAGTTTCCACGTGGTAGTTTGAGTTACGGCAGTGTCTAGCAGCAGCCACCATGGCCATGTAAGGCATCATGGTCGGTGTAATGGCAGAGCCTTACCGCCACTCGATGTGTGGCCACAAGAGCTAGGGTGACAACGACAAGCACTGCATCGTTAGAGCGTCTGTGACCCTTGCAAGAAGCACAAGAACGGTACTGGATCGCGTATGTATTAACACTTGCGCATATTTCAAGGTTTAATGTGCCGCACTTTGAAGTCTTTGTCCAGATAGTACCCGCTCTTGTGCAGATGCGTCGCGGGCAACTCAATCATTAAGTCGTACTCCAGGACCTACGGCGACGAGTCAACGGCGCTTCATGGTGATTCTTCCATACCTTGCTGCAAAACAGCTCAAAGTCGTCGTCTGTCATCGGGCCGTAGAGCAAACTCCACTTGCCGTCGACCAGAATAAAGTAGTATCGCTCGCACTCGCCGTGCTCGTACCAGCCTTCTTCGCCCTGCACCGTTCCAGGACATGCGTTGAGAATGCCATTGCTCTGTGTTTTCGCTCGAGCCGGCTTTTTCGTCGACGCCCCGTCCGTCTTTTTGCCCAACATGGACCGCATCTTGTCCTGCATCTTTCCAATCGTGCTCTTGGGGGTGCTCGAAGTACTACTGGCGGTTGTGGCTGTGCTGCTTTTTGTGGTGGTTTCTTCACGCACTTCGTTGTCCTTTCGCCGCGCAGACATCTGTTGCTCTTGCTTGTCCTTTGTCGAAGTCGCGGCGGTACTCGTTGACGCACTGGTCTGTGATTGCCCGTTCTCTTTATCCTCTTCCGTCGATTCATTTTTGGCCGACCCCGTCGTTTTGGGCTTCTCTTGCGGTCGATCGTCGCCCCTGGTCTCCTTCGGCGCAGCAGTCTTCTTCTTTGGACTTCCCCGATCGCTCTCTTCGTCGTCACTGCCACCCACTCCTTCGTTCTCCTTCTTCTTCGCCCGTCGGCGCCGACGCCGCTCCTCTTCCGAGTCTTCGTCCGAACTGTGGGGGCTATCCGAGTCGTCGTCATCGTCGTCATGGCCTCGACGACGGCGTGACCGGTGTCGACGGCGGTGTCTACGTCGTGACGTGTCGTCATCGCTGCTGTTCGAGTCACTGCTGTGCCGCTTCTTCCGCCGCGACCTGGACGACTTTCGCGCGGAGTGCTTCTTCTTGGACTTTTTCGATCGGCTGCCGCCGTTGTCATTATCCTCCTTGCCGTCGTCGCTTTCAACGTCGTCGTCCACATCTTTCTTCTTGCTGTGCTTGTCGCGCGTCTTCTTGCGGCCAACGTCCTCGTCGTCGGGCTCGTCTTCGTCGACTTCCTCCGACGACCCGCTTCCGCGATCCTTCTTCCGTTTTGACTTCTTTTTGGATTTTTTCTTCTTCCCCGACTTGCGCGGTGACGGTTCCCCCGTCTCCTTGTCCAGGAACTCGACGTACGACGCCGGCACGTATCCCGTCTTTCCATTGCATTCGCATTTCAAGTACCCCGTCTTCTTGGTCGAGTACACGTTCAGAACATCACCAGTCTTGAGTGTCAACTCCTCGTCAGACTTTGGTTTCCGGTCGCGCAATGCGCGGGCCACAACACATACTGTCGTGCCATCGCCGTCGTCATTCGCGGCGTCACTTTCCTCCTTGGCCTTTTGTTTTTTGCCCGCGTGTTCGGTGAGGTCGCTGTACGTGGTCGTGGTCACGTTTGCATTCGTGCTTCCAACCGGAGTGTTCGCGTACGAGTCAATGCTGTCGTTCGTCAGCCCTCGGATCTGTTTGATCGGTTGCTTTGGCTTGGTGGTCAATGCAGGCAGCATCGCGAACGCAGGGACGGTGACCCGCTCTGGTGATGCTGGCCAGAAAGTCGACCGCTGGAAAAAGTGAAACCTGCCTGGTAAATAAGTCGGTGCCGTTTCAAGATCACAGCCCACCAATCACAAGTCGACATTCGTGGTCGACCAATCATCGTCTACGTTGAAATGGTATCTTTAGCGTGAAGGGTCAACAATGGCGGACCACACGAGTGAGAGAGAGCGCGATATGTGTGCCGCTGTCGGAAGCCAGGAACGGCTTGACGATGGGAGGCAAGTGAATCGATGGTGTGATAGATAGACATGGTTCCATCGTTGCAAACAATTCATGTATGCCAATCACGATGGCATACATGAAGAGGCGTTTCGAGCGCTGCCACCCGTCGAGGGCCATGTCGCACAGCGACAAGACGAACCCACTCGAACTTGGAGTGGTGACGCATCGCTGCTGGAATTATCCATGTTGGACAATCTTTTGCGCTTTGTATGTGCTTTTCAGACGCAGACTTTGCGCGTCGTCTTGACATGAACCGACCAGACGTGAACGAGATGCCACTCAAATTACGTTTCTACAGGTGAACTCAACATGGCACGTGGAATTGGGCATCAACTGGCAATTGCTGCTGGGCTTCTACGCACGCTCGCACCCACGTGGCTGTAGTCACAATGGGTTCGCGTCCTTCCGGTGACCGTCGAAGGTGCTGGATGATAGGTCGAATCGCCTTCACTCGCTCTTTCGTGTTGATATCGGGCAAGATGACATGGGTCACCGTTGACGTCAGTGCATTTTCGACAAGGCCACTGTAAAGCCGAACGCATTGCGCGACCTGATGCATGCCGCTGAGAACATCGTCTGCCTCGTCGACATAAACGACACAGCGCCAGAGGAAATTGGCCGCTGTCTCCATCGCTTCTTGGGTGTCGGCATCTTGGGACTTGAGCAACGTCTGATAAGCCGATGGCGACAAGTCGATAGAAAATTCCGCCGATGCCAAAATCGTTTGCAGCTCTTCCACCGTCACTGGGGTCGTGTAGTGGTCACCATATCTATCGTACAGAGCCTTCAACGTCGCTGTTGTTTCTGGAATGGTAAACACGTAGTCGGTGGCTTTCCACGGTTCTTTCACCTGTTGGCCCACGCATGAGACAACAAAGCACTCATGTTGTTTGAACCTGGTGGTTAGCACAGCGAAGAATCCAGTCGACGTTAAGGACGTTGTACACGCCTTGCTTGATATAATTGCCGACTTTGACGCCTTCAGACGATGCAACCACGATAAACGTCGACTTGGGGTCGTGGAGCTTCGGATGCGGGTTTTGAGTGATCGTCGCGCCGTTCGCATATAAGAGCTGCTCCAGCGTTGTCTTGGTCACGTCGACGTCGTATCTGCCCGGTAGAACGCAAAACGCAAGCCCTAGTCATGTGTTCGTCACGAATTCACTCGACTAGTCGAACGAGATTTCATACCGCCAAAGAGCGTCGACTCTTGCTGGACCACGTCCATCTTGGCCTGGGAATACTCGAGCGACACTCCGACGTGGCCGCGATCGAGTGTGGACCGGCGCTCGGATTTCAGCAATTTCTTCTTTGGCTTTGGTTCGCCCATCGCTACGTCGACAGCACGTTTCTTTTGGCCCAATTGTTGGCCCTTGAGTGCATTCAGCTGCGACAACGTCAAGCACTCGTGCCACGCTTTGTCATACCTATGCAAAAGCCGTCCGAACGTTTACATTCGCTGCACAATGCACAGTTCCCTACCGAATCGCTTTGAGTCGGGGAAACCGCAGCGTGAGCCCAGTCTGAAATTGCGTCGAGTACGTCAACTCAAAACCGTACACTTCCATACACACAGACCGATCGGGCGGCAACCACACGTCGGGCCGGACGTCCCCCTTGGGCGACCAGTCTCGAAAATGCTTTGGCCGCTGTATTGTCCATGAATACGAGCCATGTTCAACTGCACAAACCAGAGGACAACGTATCGGTTGGCATACCTTGTCATGATTTGGCTCCCACGGTCGCCAGTGTGGAGCAAGTTGCGTTCGTAGCTTGTCGAGTTCTTCAAGGGAATACCCAGTGCCAACTTTGCAAAACGACATGACGGGAACGTCCGTGGGGACATTTTGTGGGTCGACGGGGTGCTGGAGGACTCCTAAAACGTTTTAACATCGATTCAGACGCTCACATCGAATTCAGCATGGAAACCTAGTAAAAAATGGGACACAGCCCCGCCACGCCGTTGTCCTTGGCCGTAATATCCCCCAAGAACCAACACATCCAAATGTTGTGTCATCCCAGCATAGTCTGGCTTGAGCTTGATCCATTTTTGGCTCCTGCGACTGACCTCGCCGCACATGTAGTGAGATGTCGCGTCCTTTAGAATCAACCCTGTCCATCCAATTGGTCACGATAAGTGTACATGCTTTTTTTTCAACCCGGCGCGCAGACCTTCGTAGCCAGCACCGAGTTTGGCGTCAACGTCCGCCATGACCAGGTCGTGTCGTTCTTGGGCACTCAAGGACGACGAGACGAATGTCTGGTCAATGCGTACAACGCGATGGTCGACGGACTTGAAAATAAGATCGAGGAGATGGAGTCGAGAGGACAAGGGCAGTCCTACGAAGTCAAGACAAGTTCATTTGTGTCAACTCGTGGATTTGTTAGACCCATGATGTTGGTCGTGTGGACGCCAGGGCACGCTTCTTCGACAAGAGCGGCGGAGACCGGGCCACCGAGGTACACCACATCCCACACGACGTAGCACATCCATCGGTGTTTGTTCATGCTACAAGTTGCTCGTGGAGTCAAGGATGTTGATTCCAGTGCATGTTACCCCTGGGGCTGTTCACTGGCGACAGTCTTGAGCGACCCAAATGGGTGGTATCGAAACTCCATGCTGTCCCACACCAGCATTTCTCCGTCTAAGATGCAGTCGACGTCGGCGCGCACCTTTTAGCAGTCCATGTCATGCCCATGACACGATGGAACGTCACACCTGCGCTTGGACGTACGATTCGATACATGGACCGTACTTTTCCGAGTAATTGACGCCGTTGCGTGAGAAGAGCTGCAACTCTCGCGTCACGCTGTCCTGTTTGCGTTGCAAGTGGCACGTGATGCGCTCACCATCCAGCTTGGGCTCCATGTAAAAGTCGTTGCCACTCATGGACTTGGTGCAGTCGCCAAACGCGACACGCTTCGCCAGCATCGGCGTAAACACTTGAAAGGGCTGAATTTGGGGAACATAACGCACCATGGAGTTGGTAAGTTCTTGGCACACCTGTGCCGTCGATTCCATCAAAACGAGAGAGGAAAGAGAGGACGACGTGCCTTCTGGAGGTCGTTCGTGTGGTTGAACATCTCGACAGCATCCGGGTGCATAAACTGGAGCACTCGTTCGTGTCGTAGCCCAATCTTCATGTCCTTGATGATAATGCGCATGAGCCACTTCTGCTCTTCGGCGGTGCAATGCGTCACGATGTGTAGAAATGTCTTCTTCTGGGCGTCTTTGTCCTGGCTGCTTAATGCGTCAAGCATCGCATTTACGTCTTTCACAGTGAGCGGTGTTTGATCTGGCCGTTTGGTCGCGCGAAACTGTATGACTTCCTGCAGCACCAACGCAAAGTCCCCGACGGCCCGGGATGTGACAATCGTCGGATCGGTCCAATGCAACAGCTTCTTGCCGTCAGATGACATGGCACTGAGTCCAAGAAGATCGACATACATCATGGCGATCTTCTTCTCCTTCAGGTTGTATGTCCTTTCACGATCCAAATGGGGGCAGAGGAGTCGAAGTAGAGGGTACAGCGACGCGTGGCCGTAGGATTTCTGGAGCGACTCATTAAAGATAAGCTTTAATTTGGACTCGGGCTTGCTCGTGGCCACCACCGCCTCCATGAGCGCGCAGAAGCGCGGGAACGGCAGCGCGTCCACCATGGTTGTTGCCGTTGCAGTTCCAAAACGGCATATAATTGGAGCAACGTTTTGATTCGTTTAAAATTTATCAAGGACGCCACTTGCATTGGCTATTCTGCCAACATATCAACCAATAGATGATCGTCCAACCAAAGCGCAGTAGTGTCAAAGAAGTTCCGATTTTGGTGGCGTGGTGGATGACGGATGCGCATGCGCAAGGTGCCGCCAGCTCAACAACCGACCCTCAGTGCCAGCCCTCGCAGCTCGGTGGTAGCGCTCGGTACGTTTCGTCGAGGTGCGTTCGTTGTTTTCCCTCCAAGCCAAGGCAAGTCATCGTGTACCTCTTCCCGTCGTCGAGAAACGGACGTGTTGACGCATACGTGACCCAACGCGCAGCGCTGCCTCCGCCGGGGTCATCTGCTTCTGTGGGTCATCTGCTGGTCCCTGCCGCGTCCTTGCAGGACCCAAGGAGTGAGGCCATTGATGATTGAGGAATGGGTAGTCGGTTCTTGAGAAGATTGGAATTGCTGGGGAGGGGACAACGAGGGGAAGATGCTCGGCTCCGTCACTGGGACACCACCGTACCATAGCTGTCTGTACCCGTCACACCTCGCACAAGAGGGCGGGGCATCCACGAGCGTGATGTTATTCACACTCGTTCAACTTTTTCCACGCCCATGTGAGCCGAAGTTCAAGAGTGTAGACTTCGACATCAACGCGTTGGACGACTGGTGGCGTGCCGAGCGCTGGTAGCTCCGCCATCGCATCACGCGGAGGACATTGCCGTGAAAGCTCGTCCAGCCGCCCTTCTCGATGATGGTGTTGAACTCGTTTCGATGCTTAAACCGTGGCACACGGCGACACGGCATGGCCTGCACCTATTGGCAAGGTGCGTAGAGCAGAGGATTTGACAAAACACGCATGCGCTACACAATCTGAGTCCACGTGCTCCAAACTACCTCGGTCGGGTGGGGTTTCGAGCTGAAATGGGTTTGATACGGAGCAGCAGCCATCCTTGTCCGAGATTTTGACCGGTGGAACTCTGCGCTAGGTGCAGTGAGCACATTCACCGAGGCATTTCGAGCGTCAGCGTGTATTGCACACGGCACCTCGCCGAGATTTTATATATTGCAATTAGTATTGTTGCCCTCGACAGGGATTGACATAACACGCCTTGAGACTTGCGGTAAAAAGCACATGCAGAAGCGCAGACATTGACAAAAGATGCACCTCTTGACGACAGTCCCGTGGAGTGGTACGATATTCCGTATTTGTCAAACTGGACTTGCCGTACGTAACTTCGACGAAGTTTTGCTGCTGCATGTCGCTCGCCGCAGCTAGAGAAAGCAACAGGTTCCGCCACCAACACCCCCACAGCGCTCCATGCCGACGGCTAACAAGCACGACAATGGCCACTACGCCGCGTACGCCGAGCGGCGTGCCAATTCGTCGATGCAGATGCTTGCGGATGCGACGACGGGAATGTCCATGTGGGTCGACATCGGGACAAAGGAGGACGTGTCCCTGTCGAAAACAGCGTCCGACTGGAAGGTCTTTTGCGCGAACCGTGCGACCACAACGATCGACTCGACGCTCCATTATGTCGTGCAGCGAATATTCCAGGCGACAGAGTCGTCCAACTACCGAGAGCTCATGCGCACGATGTGGGGCGACTCGTACTTGGACGCCCGTGTCATTGAAGTGATTGGGTCCGATCCAGAGACCGCCGCGTCGATGGCGGCCGTGACGCCCCAGAGTCGAAGCATCCCTTCGGTATTCCACAAGACACACAAGCGCACGTCGATCAAGTGGTTTACCACACTCGGCAAGTCCAAGCTCTCGAAAGCGGTCGAGTTCCACCTTGTCGAGGTACATTGTGTTCTCGTTCGATTCTGCCTCATTGCGTCGCGCGTAGTTTGTCGGGTTGGTGTATGATAGCCAAAACAGCATCCAGGCCATCTACATCTATCAGGAATCCATGGGCAAGGCCGACAACGCCCCACTTCCACATCAAACGCAAGTGTCGACGACGTACGATCGCGTTCGCGTCGACGGCCTCTTGATGAAATTTGAGGCGCTAGAACTTCCCTCGGGTGGTGAATACGTCATAATGTCGTTAGCGTTGCAACGGCAGCCATCCCTCTTGGATTTTGGCTTCAAGAACCCCGCCGAGGACCTCGTCTTCCGTTTCGCCAAGGGGTTCCGCGCTGGCCTTCGACGCGTGCCGACGGTCTTGCCGACGTCGTCACTCCAGTTTGCCGATACCACGTCGTGGGTGCGCGACCAAGACCGACCGGCCTGCTCTGTCTGCTCTCGATCGTTCCTCGCGCTTGTGCGGCGGCGGCACCACTGCCGGAAATGCGGCGAGGTCGTGTGTTTCCAGTGCTCGAACCTGTTTGCCGCGTCGACCTTGACGACAAAACCGGACCAACCATCATCGTCCACTAGCGATGTTCGGCTGTGCAACCGGTGCGTCGTTCAACAGCAAGCCGAGGCGGGCCGCCACTTGTTGGTTGGGGTTCTGGATGCGCATGAGCTCAAGCAATGGCTTGATGACGAGCTGTGTGAAAACAATCCCGACTTGTTTGACGTGCCGACGCCGGTGACGCGGAGGCCGTTACCTAGTGGCGGCGCCTTTACCGGGACACTTGAAGTGAACACGCTGGCGGCCACGATGAACCAGCTCCTGGATACGGGTAAGTGGAACCCGTCGGGGTCGGCGGCGCTGGACGCTACTTCATCGGACAGCATCACGTTGGGCACGATGATGCAGCAACTTCCTGGCTCGGGGGGGTCAGGAGGAGCTGCATCGCCACTTCCTCATCTGAACGCTGCAACCATGTCGAACCATTCCCCTCGTACGGCATCGTCGCAGGGCCGACTAAGTCTTGACAACAACGAGTCGAACCACGTGTCGACGATATGCCTTGGCGCCGAGCGACGCAACTTTGATACCCCGTTCGATGGCGAGGACGACTGCAACAACCAAATGGACCACGGCGACCGTGATCTTCGCCTTGTCGAGCCACCACGGCGGCCAAGTCACCCGCCCCCCCCGGTCGCGACGCTGGTATATCCGCCTCAACCACCTCCTGCACGCACGTCCAGCACGTCGTCGTCCACCTCCGTAAGCGTCGTTGTTGTTGTTAACATGTCTGACTGCGAGCTTGCAGCGCTCCCACCAGAAGTCGCCCCAGCCGCTCGACAACTATGCACTTCTGTTGACCTCGTCCTCGTCCAAGTCGATGGGTGTTTCGCCGACGGTGCAGCCACCACCGTTGCGACAGACTTCCCATCGCCGCACGCCCAGTGCCGATTCTCGACCGACGCTATCGGTAGACGAGGTGTTCACGAAGCCGTCGCCATCGTCAACGCGGCCACTTCAAATCGACCCGCGGTATCTTCCGCGGCACGGCTCGCAAAGCACTCCAACGCGGAAGGCGGCCTATCCGTTGTCCCTTGTGCCACCGCCCGCAGCGTCCGCCAACGTCCGCACGGCATCTGCTTGGGCTGGCGTCACCCACTCGACCTCTGGTACACGCTGCATCGTTCTGTTGACTGGATGGCTGACGTAGCGTTGTGCAGCGGCGGTGGACGCTGCCTTGCGTGATCTCCACACTCGGATTGATGGCCCAGTGCACTTTTTGGTCGTGTCGTACTCGGACGGTTGTGACGCCATTGAAGTGATGGCCGCATTGGAGCACGGCGCCCCCGGGGTGCCATTTATTGGCGGGCTGTCCGCACGAGGTACGGCGCGACTCGCTTCTCATGTTGAACCCACCGATGTGATGCAAGGCATTTGCGACGAGGCTGCATGGGTGTCGATGAAGAGGGGCGGCCTCGTTGCTCTCTGGGGCATTCATGATCCCCACGGGTCGTATACTGTCGCGTCCACTGGCTACGACGAACTCACGGCCAAGCACAACGCCGGCGATGCCGCGTTCGAGGCCCACTGTGTCACTCCGAACCCAGTACGTTCATCGGCGGTCTCTGCGACAGTGAGTCTGAACGAGGATGTGGCAGGCATTCTGCCTTGCGTACGCGTGTCCGTTGGTCGTCGACGACGCTCTCGCTGGTCTCCGCAGGGTCGTGCGCTGCCCCGTCCTCGGAGGATGCTCCGTCCTCTCTGGGCAGTACCAAGGCTACCGTACGCGGCGTCCTTCCGTTCGTTGACCTGACTCTGCATGTCCTAGTGCAAATCAGCAGCGCCGGCGGATCGACGATCGGCATGGCGATCGCGCTGTGTTCTCCGAGCGTCGAAACGTCCGCGGGGTGGTTCAGCGGGTATAACGTTGTCCACACAAACCCGAAAAGAAGCGATGTGCCTTCTTCGTCGCGTGCTCCTTGCATGGGGATGGTGACGGCGTCCGATCCACAGAATAAAGTCGTGCTGGAAATTGACCATCGACCTGCCGCTGTCGTGTACAGGGAGGTACGCTGAGGCATGGTATGATGAGGACTTGCCCTTAAAGACGATGTAGTGGATGGCGAATGTCCATGAAGCAGGAGTACCGATGAAGTTCCCGCGCCTCGGATACATGTACCCATTGGGGCAGATTGTGCACGAGGCGCTCCCTTCGTTGCAAGTCAATGCCACACCCGTCGTGACGGCCGTGGACGACGTCGCAGGCACCCTTACCTTGACAACGGCGATCCGCACTGGCACGACCGTGGCGCTTATGCACACTTCGACGGATATATTGAAGGATTCCGTGAAGCGCATGGCGACTTCGGTGCATCAAAACCCGTCGTTTGACATTGCGGACGTCGACGGGTGTTTGATGTTTCTCTCTGCGGGTGTGCAAGTCGTGTTAGGATCGTCCATGAGCATGACTGGCCTCGTGGGTGCGTTTAAATTATGGTCTGGCGGAGCAAGTTTTCTCGGGTTGACGTCGTTCGGCGAAGTTGGCCACTTGCCCCACCAGCCGACCCCTCTCTGCGACGCGCTCATGTTTTCGTACCTGATCTTCTCCACCCGTCGCCGACTCTCGTATGCAGGGGATAGGAGTCCTATTTAACAAGCTATGCCGATGTCCGTGCGAGTCGTCGTGTGCCAATCCGCTCCGCGGCGCCGCCATTGTAAGGGGTTGCGCGCGTTTCGGCAAATTTTTATTCGATGGCAAGTGAAACACCTTGACGTTTGTATATAAATTGAGGGAAGATAAAAAAAATTCTGGATTCTCGACAGCGACGCGCTTTGATTGGTTATTGGGTTTGTGGGGCTTCGATAGGACCGCTTGTTGGATTTTTTCAGTTGAAAAATTGCGTCATGGGGAACGAGCGCGACGAACGGTCGAAGAAGAAGCGGCACAGTCGCAGTCGAAGTCGTGATGTGACTGGAGACCGACAGAAGCGAAAGCGCAGCCGCAGCTCGGACGACCGCAAACGGAGCGATGAACGCAAACGAAGTCGAAGCGCGGATCGGAAGAAGGATAAAGATCGAGACAGACGAAGCCGCGAACGCAGCCATCGAGAGAAAGACGAGCGAAAAAGTAGTCGGCGGGACAAAGACGAACGAAGCAGTCATCGTGGAAGAGATGAACGACGCGACAAAGACAGCCGACGAGACCGCAGAAGCACCCATCGCGACAAAAAAGACCGACGCAGCAGAGATCGGGATGAGTCACGAGACGATGTGGACGACCGAAACTATCGGGAAAAGAGACGCCGATCTAGCTCTCCTGAGTCCAAGCGGCGAAAAGGCGACTCAAAAGCTCGCGACAGTACTAACCTTCCTGTTCTGGTGGGTGATGAGACTTCAGGGGAGGAATCATCGGTTGTTAGTGCTGTATCGGGACATCAACCGCGTCTACTCCCATCCCCACCAGTAAAGTCGGAGAAAACGTCGTCGTACGGTGGATTGGCGTTGAAAGATAAAAAACACAAGAAAGTGGAGAAGTCGAAATCAGTCAAGAAGCCTCCACCGCCGCCTGCTCCACCAGCGAACGATAGCAGCAAAGATGCAATTGAGCGCCGTCAGGAACGGTTGCGATTGTGGCGTGAGCAGCAGAAGCAAAAGGAAGAAGAAAACACTGTTGGTGGCAACAACAGCAATGTCGAGGGACCAGACGCACCGCCGGCTGTGGCTGGGTTTGTCGTGGACGAGGACGTTGTTCAACAAGTTCACATGTGGCCCATAGACGAAAAGGATGACAAAGAACCCGATCATGTGTCAGCAATCAGTGATGACCCAGAGATCGATCCGTTGGACGCATTTATGGCCGATTTGGGCAACTCAAGCAGTGTTGTGATTGAGCAACGGAATCTGGAGTTGCCCAAAGCCAAGGTCATCTCGTTCGAGGACATTATGTCCAAGAACAAAGAAGTGGACTTTTACGGATCGTTTTTACCCCCCAACAACGCCCTATTGCCTGCTTCGATATACCCGCCAAAGCAACCTGATGAGACTGAAGAAGAGAGAGACGCCCGAGAAAAGGCCGAGCTTGAGGAGTTTATGCGAGCGATCAAAGCGAAACGCGAGCGAGAAGAGGCGGTCAATAAAGAAGGAATTATTGGCGCTGCTGAAGACATCGACGATGACCTCAGGAGTACAGTGATGGACAAGAAAGCAGACACTGGCCGCATTTACCAAGGGGTGGAGGAAGATGCGATCGGCGAAGAGATGGCGAACAATGTGGATTCTCGTACGGCGTTGGAGATTTTACAGGAGCAGCAAAAGAAAAAGGAAATTCGACCTGTAGACCACAAGGCCGTGGACTACATTCCCTTTCGCAAGAAGTTTTACATTGAGCCAGCCGATGTGGCGAACCAACCCCAGGAAGAAGTTGACGAATTGCTCAAGTCAATGGAGATCAAGATTCGAGGCAAAGGATGTCCACGCCCAATTCAAAAGTGGACCCAAACTGGGTTGAGCCAGCGCTTGCAAAAGCTGATCGCTCGTCAAGAGTACCCAACACCGTTTGCAATCCAATGCCAAGCTCTGCCTGCGATTATGTCTGGACGGGACGTCATTGGCATTGCAAAAACGGGCTCCGGGAAAACGCTTGCTTTCCTCTTGCCAATGTTTCGGCACATTCTTGACCAACCTCCACTGGCAGATGGCGAAGGTCCGATTGGGCTCGTCATGGCCCCCGCTCGTGAATTGGTACAGCAAATCTACATCGAGTCGAAAAAATTCACTAAGGATCTGGCTCTCCGGTCCACAGCGGTCTACGGCGGATCGTCAGTATCGGAACAAATTGCCAACTTGAAGCGCGGGTCGGATATTGTCATTTGCACCCCCGGTCGAATGATTGATATTTTGACAATGAGTGCGGGCAAAATGGTGTCATTGAAACGTGTGACGTATGTGGTGCTGGACGAGGCCGATCGCATGTTTGACATGGGGTTTGAGCCCCAGATTACCAAGATTATGATGAACATTCGCGCGGACCGACAGACGCTGCTCTTTTCAGCGACCTTCCCGAGAAGTGTCGAAAGCTTGGCACGCAAAGTGCTGAAAAAGCCTATTGAAATCACCGTGGGTGCACGCAGCACTGCGTCTGGCGACATCAAGCAGTATGCCGAAGTGCGCGAAGAATCAGACAAGTTTATGCGACTGCTCCAACTGCTTGGTATGTGGTACGAGAAGGGCAACGTTCTCGTGTTTGTCAACACGCAGCAAGCATGTGACCAGATTTTTCAAGACCTGATGAAAGCCGGGTACATGGCGCTGAGTTTACACGGCGGCAAAGACCAAGTGGACCGAGACTACACGGTAGACGATTTTAAGCGCAAGGTGCGAACACTTATGGTGGCCACGTCAGTCGCGGGGCGAGGGCTAGACGTGAAAGACTTGGTGCTCGTGATCAACTACCACTGTCCAAACCACTTGGAAGATTACGTCCATCGCGTCGGTCGCACTGGTCGTGCTGGTCGAAAGGGCACTGCGTACACGTTTATCAGTCCACAAGAAGAAGAGTATGCCCCAGATTTGGTCAAAGCGCTGGAAAACGCAAAGCAAGAAGTGCCCCCAGAACTGCGTGCATTGTCGGATCAATTCAAAGAAAAGGTCCGGACTGGACTGGCCCGGTATCATGGCAGTGGTTTCAAGGGCAAGGGGTTTACCTTTGACGAATCGGAGAAATCTGAAGCCCAAAGGGCGGCTGACTACCAGAAACGTCAATACGAAATGGACGAGGGATTGGCAGATGCGGGCGACGACGACGACGACGATGAAAGTCCTGTGCCATCAGCGAAACCGACGACCTCGGCCCCAGAACAGTCGGAAAAATCCATCGAGGAAATGACGATGGCTGAAAAGATGAACAGTTTCAAGGAACGTGCGCGTATGGTGGCCAACATGTTGGTGGGTGAACCGAGTCAGAAAGAGGAGATTCGGCACTTTCGAGACGAGCTCGAGATCAACGACTACCCACAACAGGCGCGATGGAAAGTGCTACAGAAAGAGTCGTCGGACCTGGTTGCCGAAATCACGGGGGCCGCCGTCATTCGCAGAGGAACGTACGTCGCTCCGGGTCGGAAACCCAACGTTGGCGAACGAAAACTCTACTTGGCCATCGAAGCTGGATCAAGGCAAGCTGTTGCAGAAGCCAAACGCGAACTGCAACGGATTTTGGACGAAAAGACAATGGAAGTGGGTATCAGTGACGACCGGAAGTATGGCAAGTATTCGATATAGGGGTAAGGCACAATCACATCAACATAGAAGTTCACATTCTTGTGTTGCACTGTGCCCACGATTGCCCCCAACTTCTCTTTTGGCATCGTTAGACACCTTCCACCAACGTCGACAATTATAGCGGTGGCTGAACGCCCCTTTATCGAGGGAACTAACCGGCCGCCTCACCCTTGTTGTGAGACTGTTCCAGTTCAAAGAACCCACACAGCAGCTACGTAGCCGCACGGCTAAAATGGAGCGGCCACACGTTTCGAAACGTGAAGGAGGCACGTTCATGTTAACACCCTGTGACGAATTTCTTTACTTGTCGCCATCTTAGCCCAACGTGTCCAACGACCGCATATCGTCAGAACACACCTCATTGTTGGCTAAAGCGGTGCGAGGGACAGCGAAGAAGTTGTTTGAGGCGGGCAGGAAGGATGCCATCACCACCCGCATCGCGATGGATAATGGCGCCTCCATCATCCGCTTCTGCACGCAGCGCCACCAACATCGTGGAGCGCAATGGACAGTAAACAACTGATGCCACCCACCTGGCGACAAAAAGCACAAGGTGCTATTCCAAACCGTTGAATCCAGTGCATGTCGGAAGGGAACCCTCGACCCGATGAGCCAACGTGTGACCGGACCATAGAAGGCATCGACAACTCGAGCGCTTGCAACACAATTGGTCGACATCATGTCTCGTGGCATGCCAAGGTCCGTTTGATACGAGTGTCGTTGGTGGCCTCAGTCGCCTGCCGCCCAACGCCAGGAAAAGGCCAACTGAACGGCCACACCACGTCGAGGTTGGTCCATCACAATGGATGCTTGCATGACTTGCAATAAAATAGGGTACGAACAGCACACTACGACAACTACAGTGGCAGTCGATCTTACACCAACGGGTTGAGGAGGAACGACAAGTTGAGCTGTCGAGAGAACGTGGCCTTTTCCATGCGACGGCTCAGTTCCTGGTCGTCGATGGCTACGTCCGGTTGGAGGCCGAGAGGCTTAGGTTGCATGGACGGCTCGATCGGGAACGCAAGGACGACGGGCTCCCCGCTGCCTTTGGTCGCTTGTTCTTTCATGCGACGGCGCCGCTCGCGCTGGTAGGCATTTCGCTTGTCACGGTTCTTCAAGTCGTACGCCTTGGCGTACGCGAGGATCCTGTCTCGGTTGCGAGCGTACCAGCGTTTCTTGCGCTCCAAATCGCGGCCCAAGTTCTTCGCCCGGTACGTTTTCAATCGGTGGAGCTCGGACTCGCGGTTGCGCTTGTAGTACTCCTTGCCATACGCGCTGAGTTTTTCTTTGTGGACCGTGTCGTGTACCTTCATGCGGGCATGGTCCTTGTTCTTGGCATAGGACGTCTTGCAGTGGTCTGGGTGTGAGCTGCTGGACACGGCGCTCACTTTTGAATCACCCGACGACGCATTCGACGCATTATGGGACGAAGCCATGTTGTCTTGGCCGGGCGACGGTGGGGGTTAGTTTGCTGTGAATTGCAAAGTGCCCTTGGCGTCAACTTGCTTTCCACGGAGTTGGCTTGCGTCGCTGACGCCTTTCAACTGGTGCCACCCATTGGCTGTGTTTGGCACCAATGCACACCATGGTATCGATCTCGACACATGCCGTAAATCCCGACACTTGGACATCGTGGCATTGGCGTCTCCGTCTGAGCCTTTGACGTGCAGATGGTGTCCCATCGAAGCAGCACGTGTCAACACAGGGCCATCGTTAGGGTCCGCCACAAGACCGCGCGGCGCGTTCAATTTCTCGTGTACCAGTTGGTCCTGGAGACCACCGTCAATGAAACCCCTGCCTTCCGCAGGTTGTCGCAGCCCCAACCAAACGAGGGGTGTCCACGATGTTGTTTTTGGAGTGTTGGGGTTGTTTGGAGTGTCCAGGATGTGGCCCGGGCACGTGCCGCACGAGAGCAACATTGGGAGGTACCCAGATATCGACGAATGAACCGTTTGCTTGAACGGGAGCGTCGCTCCTCTGCGGGACGAGATGTCGACACGAATTCGGCCGTAAACCGAAGGCAAATCAGGTTTCATTCACGGCGGCGAGTCGACCATGTACGGCTTGATGGAGATTCGATGAGACCACCGTGGCAGGTTCCCGAACGCGATAAAGTAATTTGCACAACGTGTTGGGATTGCCCCTCCGGCTGCTGATCCAGCGGTTGGGATCAAGGAACTCCACTCTGCAGTGGAGTTGCACTCGTGGTATGACGTGCACCAGGCGCTTCGTTGCTTGCACCAAGCGACAGCGTTCGAGTTGGCCTTCTGATGTGCCATGTTGAGCGTCTTCGATCTTTCAGTCCAACGATGGCTAGACAACCCAACGGCGTCGGGAGATCGATATTACGGGGTTGTGAGCGACTCAACGCCGCCATCGTGCTTGGTGACAACGTAGTTTGCAACCTCTGGCAATGGTAGTCATCGCTCTTAGAAGGGTTCGACATCGCAGGGCAAGTGGCTTCTTGGTTGCATTGGGGATTAACGTATGCCTACGCACGCCTGCTCAAGGCCAGCCCTGTCTGGGGTGGCGAGTTCGATCCCAAAGGCTACAGCAAGGCAAAGCTCCCCTAGGTGTCCGTGTTGTTTGGGCAGTCGCAACGCTGTGGCCCGTTCGTCCGTCTCTGGACTTCGTAGTGTGTGCACGGAAACATGTTTATCTGTACAAGCTGAACGTGTATGCTGTGATATTGTTTGTTTCGCTGGCGGACGCACTCGTATGGAGCTCAAGTGGCGAGTGAATGGGTGGTTGTACGAGGCATGCTTCTGCCTGGACAGAGGTGGCGACTCGCTTTACTGCAACAGGACGCTCGCAAAGCGCACATGTGCGGGAAGACAGGAGTGTTTCATGCATGCAATGAAATCGACGGAAGATGGTGGTCGCCCAACACACCGCAGTTGCCCTGAACTGCGACGCAAACCTTTCCGAGCATTCGTCCAGCGTGTGCGCGACACTCCATACAAGAGCTGGAAGGTTGTTGGCGCCACGTGCTGCCATCGACATGTATGGACGCCATGAGTCGGCTGCGCATGTCTGTGCCCGTCCTTTCTACTTGTCATGGGGGACGCAACTGCATGACACGTGGCAGCCATGCATGCAGGATGGAGTCTCAAGGACTTGTGATATGGGCAAAAAGGGGACGATCCTTGTGGCGAGCCAACAACCGCGTCAACAGTCTGCGCACACGACGAACGGGGACCAGCCCCCTGGGAACCATCCCCAGAAGGAGGTCGTATGCCACGTTGCCTTCACACACAGTCAGGACCGATTTCCAAACGATATCTCCTGATCCAATGCGAAGAATCATCGATATCAGAGACTGTGGATCCGCATGCATGAGCGCCATGCGCCGACCACAGGCGATAGCGTGCGGGGGGTGCCACCAAATGCTCTGACTTCTCCTTCGTCTCCCCGGCGTTCATGGAGCACGCGCGCATAGATGCCTCTCCCATGATCGAAGTCTCAACAGTTGCTGCATGTCGCCGAGCACCGTCGGTTGTGATGGCTAGAGCAAATCGCTGGTGCGAAGGCTAGATGAGATCTTCAACTGTGAGCACAACCGCGTCAGCACCAAGGGACACCGCTTTTGGTGGAAGGGACGACGGCGTTCCCACAAAAGTTGTCTTAAGACAAAAGCAGCGCCACGACAACTCGACAAGACAGCCCAAACCGAATATCGCAAGCATCGGACTATCTGACGTCTTTCTTCTCCACGATTCATGCCTTGGCTGGCCGTTTGTGCGGCAATCGGTCGAATGCGCAGCCTGCCATCCATATTTGAGCAATCGTTGCCGTGGTGGCCATCCATCTGCTGAGTCTTACCCAAGTACGTCAAGTACCCATCGGGGTGGGCGTCTTGGAGCGGGCCACCGTCCCAAATCAAGTCAAATCCACCCACCTACGGTCAGGACGATCCGTGAGCTCATTAGCTTCTCCAACGTGCGTGCATTGGGTGCATGCACACAAAGGGCGTACGTGTCGCTCCGCGCCCGTTCGAGTTTTCAGCATGTCCACGACCTGCATCGTGTGCGCGACTAAGTTCCACTTCAACCCGTAGTCCTCGTTCGTGTCTGCGTCGCGAAGGCAAGTCAGCCACATGGCTGCAAACCATGCTGGCCACTCGAGTGACGCTCGCCATGCGATTGCCAGTACCTCCTGTGAGAGATGGCGACGCGTTGACTTCGACGAGCCATGGCTTGAGGTCGCTGTCAATGAGAACGTCGTACCCGTACAGTTCAAAACAGTGTTTGTCCTGAATGAGAATGGGCTGGACGGCCACGAGCGATTTGGTGATGACGCTCTAAAAACCAAACAGCACCATCGAGGCTTCGGTTTGCAAGATCCATGCACACCTGAATGTCGTAAAAGAGGCTGTCGACGGCGCGCACGCCATGCTTGGAGACCAAAAACTGCTTGATCGAGTCGAGTGGCCACTTGGACCCCATGCTCTTGTCGTAGTCGTGCGCAGTCTTTTGCACGGACGCATTCGTCAAATGCATGTCTACACGAGGGGACCAGCAACGACCGCATGACTTGACGACGAATCTCCACCACACTCGACGTCGTACACAAATTATCCATGTCGGCCTTGGCTTGCGAGTACCGGGCGTTTGAGAACCGTCCAAAGCCTACGGATCCCACCGTCGGAGGGGCTCGGTCCACTCCACATCGTCAGAGACCACCTGCGCGGTACATCCACACGACCAGCGGCGAGAACGACGTCACGAGGACGTACAGCCTCAGATCGAACTTCTTGCCTGCATGACGTGGCGAAAACGTGTTAGTCGCATGCTCGATTCACCACGTGCGCACCGCCGATGGTGTAGGGATTCTGAATGTACTTTTGCACAATGTACGTGTCGGAGGTCTTGGCCTGGCGCGAACGAACGAACGACCGGTCCTCCGATGTTGACGACACGACGATCGGCGTACCTGCAGCCCGTCCGACTTCCACGTGTGGTCTTTTTTCCAGTCGCTGATCTGGCTGAGCTTTTCAAACAAAAAGATGCCTTTTCCTTGGGCCTTTCCGATCGGCTTCATGATCCACATGGCGCCGGGGTACCTCTTGAACTCTTCCAGGAACATCCCGTACTCCATCGGCAGCACAAACGTCAAACTCCAAAAGTCGGCGGCGGCGACGCCGACCTCCCTACGTCCACCGATTGATAGGAGGAGAAGATCATTCCCGTACGTTTTGGCTTGTTGCTTCTTCATGCGCTTCAAGTTCTTGATGAGCAGATCCTTCCGCGTCAACTCGTAATGGTTCTTGAAGTGATTCAGGCGCTGGTGCTCGTGCAACTTGGGTTGTACCAAATCATAGTACTCTCGGATCCAACCCACGTCGGCCCAATGCAAGTCCCAATCCATTTCGCTATCGGTCTCTCCCCACCCGTCCAAACTCGACATGACGTCACACACCGTGTTGTGGAGTGACGTACGGAAGCGAACCTTGACATTCGGGTCACGCGGGGACGGCGCAGGCCTATATCCGCAGTTGCTTCTCACGCCGACGACTTCGTGGGAACCGTCGATGCACATACCTTCTCTCGCGACTGTCTGGCCGCAGTTGCCGCTTCCGCAGGTCCATGTCGGTTCCCTGAAGATCTGGCGTCCGGATAAAATCACCCGTAATCGGAGAGACACTTTGCTTGGTATTTATGGATACATTGCAGACGAGATTATGACTAATATATTAAATAGACAAGGTATTCGGGGATGCACAATAGCACAGAATATAGCGCTCAATATATACAAGGATATAAAGTGAACTCTCCTTATCAGCCACGATCGCCGATCGAGGCGTGTGATGCTGCGCCGACGTTCGGATTGAGATTGACGCGCCAGCGCATCTTGTTGCGTGCGACTGCTACTGCTCCCTCTGCGCCATAAAGCGTAAGCTGTCCGTGTCCTTGGCAGAGTAGATGATGGCGTTTCAACCTACGCGTTCAACACGCACACGGCCAAGAACTCGCTGTGCACGTGTGCGGCATCCCATCGTTCGTCTGTCGTACTAGAGTAGGCGTCACCGTCGCGTGCCTTGAACCCGGGACATGGACGCAAGTGGATCTTCAACCCCATGATGGCGTCCGCTGCCGAAGTCGAAGCAGCATACAAGAGCGTCGAGGACGCTTCGTCCAGACCTGGCCTTGATACAGCTCGGTGTCCCGGCAGAGTTGCCATGGACGGTCACCCGCACCAACACTATCTCGCTGTCGACACACGGAAAACGCCCCTGGGCAGGCCCCACGCGCCATCTCATCCCTGTAGACAACATACTGCCGCTCACACCACGGCGCACGAGCAAGTGCCAGTCGCACCACGATACCGAACGGTCGCCATACAAGGTGGTTCACACATCCAAAGTACGGTTGGCGCTCGCGCGGGCAGTACCTCCTCTTCGCCGCGAGCCAGCAAAGCCAAACAAGCAAGGTCTTTCGCGCGTGATACTTCCGTGCGTGAGGATTTCATTCCCCTTTGTATCTCATGTTCTTAAGATGATGTCCGACGCCACGCGGCCCGTGAACAGGCCCGCCCTCCCTTGCGCAGTGCCGCCCCTCCTCCACCGTCGACGATACACCATATACGCCACTCCATCACCCACACCGTGCACGTCTGGTTGAAGATCACATTCAACTTGAACTTGGGCATTAGTTCGTCGTGGTTTTGTGTCGGCCGCGCCACCTCCAGCCGTCCGACCGCACGCAGTGGACGGCCGGTCGACTCGGCCGTGCGGCATCGCGCCCGTGCGCCAGGGTCCGTCGCCGCTCGGGACGCCCCCGAGGCGCCTGGAGTCAGGGAAGGTAAAAACCTCATGTTATTTTCTCAGGATATAAGGTTATAGGTGAAAAGCAATAAAACCTCAAACTGAGACATTAAACCCGTACGTTAAATTTGGCATTCTGGTCCCCCTCTCCGAGGCTTTGCCCGCTGGATCCTCGGCGGAGTCGTCCAGAGCGTCGTCGTGGAACGCTGGCAAGTTGCATTGGATGACAAGTGGCTTGTCTTTGGGGTCAGGCGGTTCCGAAGGATTGCATGCAGGAAGCCAATTTGTAAAGCAGTTCGTCGCCGACGCTGCGCTCGGCGCCGCCAAAGGTTGAGGGCGATCTGCAGTAGCTTGAGTCAGGGCTTGCCATCGATCCGCAAGTCGCTTCCAATGGACATGGTGCCATTGGCCAGCACCCCGCGATGCGCAACGAATGTACATCCTTCTCTTGTTCCGCCGCAATCGGCTCTTTCATCCCATGGCTCGAGGGGCTTGTCGTCCATGGGGAACTTGTACACGATCCAAGGCGCTAGTCGCGTCGTCACCACGCGGCGGATCCGGTTAAAACGTTGAATGTATTAAAACCTTTTTTAACCCTGTTTCGAGCCACCGGTGGACTTGACGTTGAAACGAAAAACCTTTCCTTCGTGTAACAAATGTACTCCGAGGGTGGAACCGGGGCATGTATCGAGGCGGGACGGCAGCAGCAGATCCCCCAGCCCCCAACTCGCTCTCCAACTACGCTCGAGTGCGTCGTCGTCGTTGTTGGGACCAAATGTTGTCGTTCGGGAACAATGTTGTCGTTCGGGAACGCGCGGAAACGAAGTTTTTTAATTGTCGAAGGAACGTTGGACTGTAACGGCATTTCGAAAAGGGATTGCGATGGAGAAAGCAGACCATCACGGGTGGAGCGCGCTGGTGAGCGTCGAGACGGCCAACCTGTTTGTCGGATCGAGCTGGAAACATCGGGCGTGGAGCTTGGATCGTGGCATCTTGACCATGGCAACGGGCAAGTACGGCGGGTCGTGTAAGCATCGCTTGAAGTATGGCGGGCCGTGGCTGGAAAAGGAACTCGGGATCCAGGTCGAGACGGTCGACGGCCAGTGGTTTCGAGCCATCGCCACGTCCAAAGTGCACTGGGCCATGTGGATGCAAGCATTCCAATCGCTGCATCCGCCACGGCTGCCACCGACGTTCTCGCCGAAAAAGGTCAATTTCCATGGCAAAGTCCGCATTCGGTTGATTCCGTTGAAGTCGCCCGACGAAATCGCACAGCTCCACTACTCGGACACCGAACTGTCCGCGATGAACGCCAACGACACACTGCCACGCGATGCGCTGCGCATGAAAACCGCGCGGCCGATACCGCATCAACCCCATCGCCACACGAAGCACTTTGTATTCCTATGATCTAGTCCACGGTGACACACGTTGTTGCTACATGTTAAATATTTAAACCGCGTCGTCGTACCGTTCAATGCCACTTGGGTCTCTTTCGCTTGACGTTCACGCCGTGTTTGATCTCGCTCGGATCCCCGTGGCATTTCTCGAGACTCGGAAGTCGTGGCGCAGGCTGGTTTCTGGCCATGGAAGACGCTTCTGCCATCATGCAAGCTCGAAGCTTGTCGATGCCGGTGCCCCCGACCTTTGGCGTCCCAAGACCGACGAAGCATGTCTGGATGGGGATTCTAAATTGTGACGGACGATTTCGCGCACAGACAGCACCATGTGCTGCCGCGGCAGGACGAGTGGATGCATCGTGCTATTCCGTTCAATCGGTCGAATCTCTCGTCCATCCTCCCAACGCGTGGAACAAATCGATGGCCGACGCGCCCGTGACATCGCCATGTTGGATTCGACATAAGATTAATGGAATAGGTTACAGGAAGGACCACAGATGCGGCCTACCGATCTTCGTCGTCGGACAAAGAGTTTGTGGCCATGTCGTCTTCGTCGTCCGCGGCAGGGATCGTGCGCACTCGCACGTGTTCACTAAAGCTGACGAGTTTGGCCGGTGTTGATCGTGTGTCTTTTACAGGGTTCAAGTTCTGGAACGCTTGCATCCACATGGCCCACTGCGTTTTGTTGTTGGCGACAGCTTTCATCCACTTTCCATCTTGTGTTTCGACTTGAATGCCGTGCAGTTTGCCTGGCCATGCCTTGCCTTGCTGGACAAAGTACGTGTTGAACTTGCGTCGCTCATCCGTCGACACGGTCAGCATGCTGTCCGTGAGCGTCCACACACGGTCTCTGTACCGCTTTGCGACGATCCATCTCGGCTCCTGCACACGCATGAACGACGTCACTTTTCTCGAGCTGGCACGCTCGGCGGCCATGACGGATCAAGTGGAAGAATGGCCGCCATCGCGTCGTCCAAACAGCAAGTTGCCGTTGGAATATATATGTGTTTTTGTATGCGTGTCAGTACGTCGTTTACAAACATGCGGTTCTCGAAGCGCGAGAACGAGGCAGCCGCAATGTTTTCGCAGCAATTCGCGTCGTGTCATGAGAGGGACGCAGTTGGGGGGGGAATCGAAGCCCTCGTGAACATTCAACCGAGGGGCGATGCTCAACGAAAGAGAGAGAGAGAGACGTAGCGGTTTGGGGTCTCGGGGCGAACTTGTGTACAGGGGGGTTGGGCCCCGCATGGTTGTATCGCTCAACTAGAATGCATGGGGGCGAAAATGGAACATGGAGCACGCTGTGGGGGATGTAGACGAAGGGCGAATTCATCCCACAACCATGAACGTGACTGCAGCCTATGGACCTCGACGAATCGACACCCGATTTGCTCGCGTTTCGTGGCCGGGAAACATCGCCCTCCTTCCCAACAAGCCCCACGAGGGACGATATCCATCGCCACCTGTCCAATCCAATGCGTACATTACGTCGGAACACGTGAGTGATGGTCGTTCCCATCGATGCTGCTGTCTCGAATGTTCTCTTTGCATGAGAACCTACTAAAGTACTCCCTCCGTTCCTGAAAATGTACTCCTAAGAAAATATGAACCTGCAACTGAACCGCGCTGCCTCCTGTAAAGGCAAGGCAACGGGCGATCGAGGCTCTGTGCATCCGAGCTTGCGTTGGGTGTTTCTAGTTCTTGGGCCACCACCACCAGACTTGATCTCAAATATCGTCGCGGAGGCTTTGGGGTGCAGTGGTGTTCGACGAGTCCGTGTAATGACAGTCGTGGTATTCTTGTGTTGTTCCGAGTTCTCTCGTGACCTTTTTCGGTTTCTCAGGCGCCCCAGGACAAGGGTTGCAAACCACTCTGTGTTTTTTCCTGGTTGATCGAGCCACGCAATCTGTCGTGCCGTGGAAGGTCTCCGACGTTGCCGCCAACATGTTGTGCTCCAACGGGTCCTTGCTACATGAGCCATGGGACATTTCCTTCGGTGACGGGACCAAAGACTCAATGGGCAGCAGAGGGACTGGACCATGAGCAGATTTGGAGCTACAAACGGTGAACGTGAGAAAGGCAAGTGCGATGTGTGCGCCCTTCGTACGTTGCGGAATGCACTGTGAAATACCCTATGTAAAACATTGTAAAAATGCGTGAAAATTGCTCGAAATGTCAAGGCATGAGTTCTTCCTAGCTTCGTTTGACTACAGTACCAACACCGTACATCATGGCTGGTTTATCAATCACTAGAGCCCGATATGTTGTGTTTCATGTTGAAAAGATGGCTTACATGAGCATATTTCGCGTTTGAAGCTAAAGAACTTTGACTTGACATCGTCCAACTTTGCAAATATTGGTTAACTTTTTCGGTGCTCAGCTCGACAAGGGGAAATACCCTAAATAATTCGCCGCCTCGTCTATGTTCTACAGCGGAATGTCGCGCGACCACGACGTTTGGTGGCATTTTCAAACTAGCTTCGCCATGCACACTGCACCTCCCATGAACACGAAATCCGTCGTGGCCGTCCAGGAACGTGGATGGCTGGTCGGCAAGACGTTCCGCGATCGCATCTGGAGCTTGGAACAAGGCATGCTCACGATGACAACCAACGAGAACCCCACAAAACCTGTCAGAGTTCACGTGAAAAGCGGTGACGTGTGGCAGGGCAAAAAGGTGGGGTTCAAAGTGAAAACCGACGATGGAACTGTCTACCGCGCCAACTCGAAAGCCCTATCGGCGGCGTGGCTCCAAGCTTTACACAACCGAGCCCAAGTCCACCACAAGAGTCCGCTTCAGTGATGAAATCCGTGTCTGCCTTATCCCGAGCGACGACGACGACGACGACGCGACAAGCTCTTCGGATGGCGAACATGACGATTGAATTTGCGACCCCAACAATCTATGCCCCCCTCGACGACCCCCAACCGAGCAGCACAACCCTGTGTGATGGGTCGGACCTTCCCCCTTGGCGCCGAGCGAAGATGCCAAACGGGTTCAAATAGACGAGAATCGCAGCACTTCAGCTTGAAGGCCTTTGCATCCCAGCTCCGGTAGTAAATCCCCGCTTAACTCTTGTATAATGTCGTTGTGACACGAGCTACATGCACCGAGTGTACAATGATCGTCGTCGCACACCGTTCCACGAGAGGTAGTAAACTGTCTTCCCACCTGACGTGCGCTTTTATATCGCTCCACCATCCGTTCATGAACCAGGCTGCATACAAGAACCAACCGGCGCCAAGTAGCTGGATGCGCACTATTGTCTGAACCAACCTTCTCGATTTTCTGTGAGACAACGTTCGGGCAATCGCGTCGTCGTCCCCGCGTGCTTCATC